TTGGGACGCGGTATATGAGTGTACTTTCGACAGCGATATCAAGGAGAAGGATATATAATTTCTGAGGAGAAACGACGTTTACTAGCGTCTCCTGCCTAGAAGATGAAGACAAAAATTATAATAATGAGGCATAGACGAGGTACAATTATTGAAGTATCCCCCAAGCTGTGAGAGGTCATACTAGAAAAGAAAACGATATAAGCATTCTGGCAGAGCTTGGGTGCGTGGATGTCATGAGATGATATAAGCTATATGGACATCGGCAAAGTCATTGTAAGCAGAGGTTCGAGTTGTGCGATCTTCGTCAGCTTTGAAACTGTGGTTGTGGTGTCCGTATATTTTAGGTTTTCCAGATCCATTGATCCCTACGTGGACTGGCTAGATGCACTATTAATATTGTTTATTGTAATGATTAAATATTTAAATAAAATATTTTTAGTAACCTGTTTTAATGATAAATAAATAGTAATATTGCTTCAATTAAAACAGATGTCACATTTTTGTTATTGTTTGGTATATTAATACGTATTTTTTATTTTTATTTATTTATGTATGACTCCTTTAATAAACATTTTTCTTATACTTTTATTATAAACTTTTCAAAGTATTAGTTTGTTAAATAATCGGCGATAACAATTTTAATTTATATCCTACGTCATAGCAGCATATGCACAAACCTGTTGCTTTAATCAATAAATCCATTACACCTCTTTCAATTCATATTAACCTGTCTTGTGATGCAGTTAGATAACATAGAAACGACATACCCAAGAATCTCTGAAAACTGCGAATATTGTCAAACATAATATAATAAATATTCATTTGCATTTTCGAAATTTAGCAATGTTTTCTTAAATCAGAAATGTTTTTGTAAGAAGAACCGGAAACATGGAAAATTTAATTATTCTAAAAAAATATAATTATAGTGTTAATAATAACTAATTGAATTTTTCTATAACAAGTAATTTATTGAGATATTTATTTACTTAAATAATAATATTTATTGCAACAGAAAAATTGCAAAACAAAAACTCAATACAATAAAAGAATAAAAACTGTTCACTTATTATATTGCTTAAAATAACAATACTAAATATAGTTTATATAGTTTTATTATATATTTCTCATTGAATATATATATCAAATATAATTAATATATTTAATAATAAAGTACAAATTGTTGTTATTATTTATTAGATGAGACATAAGTAATTATTATGCAATCTCATAAATCATATCATTTGATTTTATAACAATATGGAAATAAAGTGAGATAGAAAAAGTGTATTAGATATAAATTAAAATCTCACAATTGTCTATTGTAGTTGCTCCTGTTGCTTTAATAATAAATGCTGAAATAATGCTGTTTTAGTATTTTCACTAACCCTGAAAAAATAATTGAAAACATTGATAAATAAAACTTTTTTAAGTGAACAAATGTAATTATCATGTATACCTGTTGCTTAAATCAATACTTGCATTGCAACTGTTGATATACTTATTACCCAGTGTATATGTGCTAACCTGTTGCTTCAATCAATCATTCCATTATACCTCTTTCAATTCATATTACCCTGTCCATGAGCACAGTTAAATAACATCGAAATGATAAACTAAAAAAGAATCGGAAAAATGCAAATATTTTCAAAAGTAACGTGTTTGAAGAAATATTTCTTAAAATAACTTAATAAGTATTTATACATACATGAGTATGTCTGAACAAAACTGAGCTATCACGTTACATTTCCGAAATTTTGCGATACTTTTTGTTGAATTAGAGATTTTTTTGAGAAATTTAAAACATTTTCTCCAAAAAACAATAATAAGCTATATAATATATAGAAATTGATAAAATATGAAAGATAAAATTTAAATATTTTTTTAATTCAAAATTTTGCTTTAATTTATTAGACGAGACTTAAGAAAATGTAAACAAACGATAACCTATATAAATAATATCTTTTTAAGTTTTCTTAATTGAATATGGAAATAAAGTGAGATATAAAACAAATAAATTAAAATCTCATGTCAATTGTAGTAGCGATTAAATATTTAAATATATTCTTTTTGTCCTTAAACTCGAATAATAAACACTATATATTTAATACTTTTGTTTTATTAAAACAAGTAATTAATAAAATAAGTGAATTAAAATATAGAAACATTCATATATTAAAAAATAATAAAATGTATTAAAGAGAACAAATGTAATTAACTTCCAACATAATAGCAGTCAGTATAAGTACTAACCTGTTGCTTTAATCAATAACTGCATTACACCTGTTAAATAACATCGAAATATATTTATTTTATATTTTTACGTTAAAGATCTTTTTTCACAGATTTTTTTTAATTGAAATTATTATTAGAATTATATCGCGTTTCATTATATGATGCTTCGTTCATCTCTTATAAATCATTGAGTTTTTGGTGTACTTAAGCTTCTCCTCCAAACGCTTTTTGCCACTCAGTGTCATTAGTTCTGGAGTCATCTTCATGGAGAAATCAGACTAACTAGTTTTTTTTAACACTCATATTAAAATAAAAAGTAAACAAGAAATAATACAAACATTATGTTTTCTAAGATATATATTTAATATATATATAAATCAACAAATAATTATTATATCTTAATAAATTAATAGTTAATTTTTGCAATTTGTAAATAATTATGATCAAAATAAATAATTTTTGAGGAGAAAATATTTTAAATTTTCCAGTTTACATGTACTTTATCTCAGATTTGACAAAAACATTGCTAAATTTCGAAAACGCAACACAATAGCCCAATTTTATGCTGACAAACTCTCGTATGTAGAAATACTTATTCAAAATTTTCAATAAAGATTTCTTTAAGTTCATTACTTTTGGCGATATTCACATTTTCTCGACAAACATTTCGATATTATTTAACTGCGGCACATGACAGGATAATATGAATTTAAAGAGGTATAATGGAGTTATTGATTAAAGCAACAGGTTGACACTTATACAGCCATTAGTTATATGTTGTCACTATATTTGAAACTAATAATTTGAAATAACAAACACTTACTACACAATGATTAAAAATCATTAGAGCTTCAAAACTAGTATAGAAAAGTATTTTATTTCAATATTAAATTACTACTACAATAAATAATTGTGACATTTCCATTTGATAATAAAAAAAAAGACAAGTTATATAATCTTACCCAACAAGTTAATTCTGGATTAGTAGTCCGGAAATAAATGGTTTAAGTTTGCAATATTTATGATGTGTAAATGGATCGAACTTACTTGTCATTATTCGAACTTATTTATCATTATTTTTAAGGAAGTTTAGCGACCCTTGAATTTTTGCAAACAATTGTTTCATTCAAGTCACGAAGATTAGAATTGAATTATATATTATTACTACATTCTAATTAAGAACATCATTAACTTGGCTCTTTTCATTTTACAGTTTATTGTTTAAATAAATAATTAACATATAAATAAATTACTCATCAATTTTATATTACTCATCAAATTACGTATCAAATTGTAATGATCAAAATATTTCAATTTTGTCTTGAAAATATTTTAAAAACCTCGAATGTTCTTCCGTTTCTTAATAAAACTTCCATGATTTGACAGAAACACATTTATTTGTGTTTATCGTTTCGATGCTATTTAAATACGACACACGTCAGGGTAATAGGAATACAAAGTGTTGTAATACAGGTATTGATTAAAGCAACAAGTGAGTACGTTTAATATTATGATATATTATTTTACTTATGTTAAAAATCTGTCAATAAAATCGTTGTACTATAAACTTGCTTCGGAAATACATATACTAAAATTGTACTATAAAAAAAGAATATTTAAAAATAATAAATTCTGTATTCATTTTTCATGAGATTACTTATAAATTGTAATTGCAATAATTATGATTAGAGTATGTCATTTATGACGTGAAAATATTTTTTAAAATTTGCTTATAATATTTGAATTGATAGAAACATCCCAAAAATTCGGAGATGCAACATGAGAGCCTAGTTTTGTGCTGAGAAACATATGCATATAAGATACAGGTATCAAATACAGGTATCTCCCGACTTACGAACTCCCAGACTTACGAACAAAATACTAAAAGCTCTAACTTATTACAAGGAGATATATAATGATAAAAAATTAACTGTCCAAACAAAGATTTGATAATTTCTCTACTATCTGTTTTGTTGAATATGTTTCTTTTGTCGTTTTTTATTAAATAATTGTGATGTCTACATAGAAAAGTAAGTATTTTGTTTATTTTAATCTATTTTTTTCGAATTTATGCAGTCATTAATACGGAATTTAGCATATATAAAAGTAAAAACCATGATAAAGTGTGGTAAGTTAAGTATATTTTGAAACTAACAACCCTTTGGAACGGAACTACTTCGTAATTATTAAGGAGTTCCAACAGCAAGAGTGATGTGACCAAACAGTTTTGAATAAAATAAAAAATGCTTCCAAACCTAAAAAATCCGACCGGATATACAAAACGACATATTATAATGAAATTATATTTAAATATATGTCTTTAGGTCCAATCTTTTTGACTAGTCATAGTAAAAAATACGAATTCATAAATTATGGTAGGTTTACTATTAAAATAATCAATTTACCAGTTCATATGATAGTAAGACATGAATTTAACCTGATTACTCATCTGTTTCTTTGTCTTCTAATTTGGCGAGTATTTTTTAATTTATTGTATAATAATAGTAACAATATACGGCTAAAGTAAATTTAAACTATGCCACTATAATTAACGTTGGTATAATAAAATTTGAATATTAAAATAATATTATTGTTATTATACTACAAAATAACAATAATATTATTTTAATATTCAAATTTTATTATTTATGATTTCTTTTAATACAATTAGAAAAATGGTGACCTGAAATATTTTTTAATACGCCCCTGTAGCGTTTGCATTAGATCGTTGCGGGGACCTGCAAACAGTAGGTCGCGCAATCTATGGGCGTCGCTGGTAATAGGATCAGTGTGTATAGAGAAATGGCGGCGGTGTGCAAGTTGTTCCGCAGCTGTCATCTGCGGAAATCCTTAGAAGGTGTAAGACGTTTCAGCTCTGCATCTAAGAATGTAAGAAATGGGGCGAGCGCCACCCTTCAGGCTGTCTGCATCGCAGGAGCCACTGTCACCATTTACACCCTCTACAAATGTCAGAAGGGCCAAAGCGTTTTGGCCGCGGTGCAGCAGAAATCCGTAAGTTCGTACCTCAAAAATACCTTGAAACGCGACTCCCCTCGTTCACAGTATGCAAGAGGACCTAAAACATTCACCAAAAATAAACATGACCTCCTTAATTCAAACAGATATAATAAAAATAATATAGATGTGTGCTATTCCAATAATATCAGTATGAATATTACTGAATTGAATTAGCTTCATCACAGTTTTGAAATTGTAATCAAGGAACTGGATATGGGTCTGCGATACCGGCTAATCAATGATGTAATACAAAACAAAAAAGTGTCAAGGTCGTTATGATTTTTTACTACGCCTTGTTTATAATTGTATTTAATTAATTGTTTTGTACCATAACTGTAAATACTATAATTACACATAAGTATTAATAAATAATTTACTTACCAAGACAAACAATGATCAATATTATAAATGATATTGGTAATTGAGCTATGATCAAAAAGAAGTCTTAGAAATACATATTTAATTTTCTTAACTTCAACTTTCTATATTTGCATCTTATATTCTATTATTATCATAATGCTTTTGGTTCTATTGGTATTATTATGTTATTTGGCACCTTTAGCACCAACGTATGAATAACTCATTACACAAGCTAAATTAAATGTATAACATTTTAGCTATTTAATTCCGATTAATAATAATAATAACAATAATATTTATTGCAACAATAAAATACAAAATAAAAGCTTAAAATTAAATAACAAGTCAACTACTTTTCTGCTCTAATTCCGTGTACAGTGGAACCTCACTTAACGAGCATAGAAATATAGTCAATTGGAATTCCCATCGAAATAAAATTCCTATTGGAATCTAATCAATTGGAAATCTCATAAAAACCATAGAAATCCTATTGGAAATTTTATGGAAATATAGTAATCCTATTAGATTATACTATGCATGGAACATTGTTTCTGGAACGGATTATAGTCGTATAAGCGAGGTCCTACTGTACCAAAATTAACGCAAGATTTGAATTTGCCGCCATTTCTTCAGTAAAGTGTTGAAAACCCCAAAAAAAAACAATTTGACACTTTATTTAGGGACAACCTTTATAAATGCCAAGCCAAGTTCATATAATTAGCTGAAAGTATTTGATAAGTAATAGTATCTTATTTTAAGTAGTAGATGTTTGCATTTATTTCATATTTTTGATAATTATATTATAACAAATATCATCAAAATAACCACTGAAAATTACAAGTAAATTAAAAAAGAAAAACTTGTTATCAACAATGCACATATCGATTTTGCTTTTCATATCTATGGTTATTTTTATTCTTTGACTTTTTATTCGGACACATGCAAGTATTATTAAATTTTGCACAAAAAAAAAATCACAAATAACGTCTGAATACAGCTTAATAATTATTCAAAAATACTCATATTATGTATACACAAGTTTTGAAAATGATGCAATCCGGGACTTCTCTTCTCGTTAAGCGAGTAATTTTAGTACTATTTATTTTGCTCGTTAAGCGAGGTTCCACTGTACTTGAATTTTATCTGTAACTGATATAATATATAAAGTACATATATTGGTGATTTTTTTTTACTTAACTTTGCTAAATTATACCTAGAATCATTTTAAAATTATGTAGAAATTGTAACATGAAAAACAAATTTCACGAAACGAATTATCGTTTAGTTTTATAAATAACTAGTCACAATTTTTTTATTGATCTATGAAACCAAACCAAAATTATAATCAATTTCTTCAGCTGTTATATAAATATATAATAATGATTAAAATTGAATATTCGAATTGATTTCAGAAATCCATAACTAAATTATATAAGGTTAAAATGTCAGTGACAAATTATTGTACTTAATTATGTGTTTTGGGTGCATATAAATCAAATTTATCAAACCATTTAAATTGTGATTAATTTTTCATTTAAAATTTGCAATCATTCAATTTGCAATCAGTCATGTAAGATGAAATATTGATTACATATAAATATGATTCACTAGAAAAAAATATTGTTTTATGTTTTGAAATATAAAAACAAAAATTGTCCTGATTTTTCAATATATTTAAATATACTGGCAAATCAAAACATATCATTTGGGCTTATGTATAGAAACTAGAAGATGTGATATTGAGACTAGTAAACTGATCTGACAAAATCTAAGAAACGTATACCATGCACTATTCTTGTCAACAATAACTTACTTAAACGACATTCAAAGATATCTATTCTACGATATAAAGGTTAAAACAAACGAGAGTACTAAAAACCGTACATGGATTAAAATGGGACAAGAACGATGTACAAATCTAAGGAGCAATATTAAAACCAGAATCGATTCTTAACATTGTACATAAAATAAGGAAATACCACATTCAATTACATACAATAAACACCCAATAAAATTGTCTACTGCAATACCACCAGAAAGCAATAGAAATTAGAGACAGATATAAGCAAACAACATAACTGTAGAGTTTTTATTCTCAATCTTTAATTACAGATTTTATTGAGGAAATGCTTTAAATGTTTGTATTACATGTAAGCAGGTTTCTGTTTCCTTTTATTATCTTTTTTTATACATAATTATATACAGTAAAAGTATTTTTGAGTAATGAATACAAGAGGATTTTTATAAAAGAACTCTTAAATTCTAATAGTAGTTACTAAGTGGATAGATTATGTAATTACATTCTTTTCGTTGAAATCTTATACACTATTATAATAATAAATGCTTATTTATATAATTTATTAATTAATTAGATTGTTATTTTTGTTTAAAATTACTATATACAGATAAATGATTATGTAATAAATACGTTACGTCCAATAACAAAGATAATATGAAAAATACTATTACATAACAAACAATCTAATAGTAATTAATAAGTGAAAAGACTGCTGATTTTGTGTATATACTGCTTTTAATTATTACATAATGATATTAATTAATATGTGTTTATAAAAATTAATTAAATTGTTGTTTTATTTTTGACAATAAATTATTATTTTTAATTAAATCAATATAACAAATATTGCATCATTACGATAGAAACCGTATGTATTCTCAAGTATTTTGTGAATGGATGATTGTAATAAGCAAATTTATTTTTTATATTACCAACAGTCTATTCATATTACAAAAGTAATTATTAATAAATTATAATAAAACATTTTAAATCTGGTTTGAAATAATTTGAAGTTAATTCTGTGGTGAAATCTTCTTTATTAAAAAAAATGCAACACAAATCATAAAAACATATTATCACCACGTTGATGATTTTTGAAACATCAAATAAAGTAACGAATTGCTATAATTAATGATTTAGTTGATTATCGAAGAATAAATTTATTATCTGTTTTATTAAATTAATATTAGTTTTAAAAGATAATTTGTACGACAAATCGAAGAAATTGTTTCAAAATCGATACAAATATTTAGGTATAAGATATAATAATCGAATAATTCATCGAAATTCCAATAAAGCACTCAATATTTTCATTGAAATTTAATAGCAGTGATTAACATCAAATGCATTTAAAATTAGAATAAATAAATTTTATTAACTTTAGAATTAATTGATATTTACCTCTTTTTGAAAGTTTTTTTTCTCAAATAATTTATATCTCTTTATATAGAGATTTTTTAAATTAAAAGATGGTCCAAATTAGGCAAATTTTCATATTTGTAGTCTTAATTATAATGAATTGTAAGAAAATGACTTAACGCGCAACGTTTCGTATTATGTTTTTATAAACAAACACATGTATTATTATGAACGTTCTGAATGCATATTCTGTTGTATGAAATCAAATGAAAGATGTCATTCAGGACAAGTATTATATTTTCTCGTATTTAATATGAGTTGTCAAAGAATTTCCGTTAGATTTATGGGCGGTCAAGGAATTAGGCGAGTGATTAGACGGAATTGTAATACGAGAATCAATCACTGGGGGTTGCTTGTATTGTGAGTATTCAAGTTTGTTTGAGTGAAACAGCCCCGCGATGTCAATGGCTGATAGGCCTGAAAGCTAATAAATAACTCTATATTATTGACCGCCTGTGTGGCCCAGATCACTCTCCATAGATGCGTGCTTCCACAAATACTGATCCCACGGCTCACCTTCATTAGATGAGTTGTAGGAAAACATAACTCTTGGGCCCTTTAACCCTCCCATTACTTAGCAACTTTTCCCTTGAACTTCCACCCTTCGGCGAGACAACGACACGAATATAAAAAAAAATCAACGTACACTCACACGAAACTGATATTCTATATTTCCTATACGACATCAAATTTTATTACAATCGAAGGTTCACTAACCAGAGAAGACGCTAAAAAAGCCTCTATTTTTTAATTTAATGTTCAATTGTGAGCATTTAGAATAATGTCTTCATGATGCGAGAGGATAATTCACACCATACACATCTGTTCGTAGAAGGATATGTGCCACAGCATAATCTCCATAAGGATTAACTAATCCCAATTCAATAAATAACGTGTAATTAAAGTGATAATTCTTAATCCCATGTTTAAAAAAACTCTCTCCGAGTGTGGCAGTACCAAAAATAGGATCGATTTAAATCCCTCCAGCTTTTTAACACGTACAATTCAAATTAACAAAATTGTAATTCATCTGTTAGAATCGCAACTAATAACAAAATATTAACGGATTTACAAATTGAAATGATTTATTTATGTTAAATTCAACTTTAAAAAATGATTTATATAAAATAAATAAATTATTGATAATTGACAATTGTTGTCAACAAATTATCTGTAAATATTCTAGCAGATTGATGGATACTTCTACAATCATATTTTCGGAAGATTGTAGGTAATAATAATCTATTTGTACATTATCTGCAAGAAATATATCTAAAATAATTATTTTAGGATTAAGTTATGTACTATTACATACATCAACACAGTTATTCATCTTATTTATCCTTTAATTATTATAGCATATGCCTTTTTTCGTGAAACTACATTACTACAAACATGTTTCATATCACCAGGTCATTTCTATCATAGCTGTGTTTCATGTTACCTTCTACCAGATGTTGCATCAACAGGAGACGTTGTTTGTTGCTCCGATGTAAAGGCGCCCCTGAGCGAAAGACAAAATATACCTGCGACTATTCGAAAACTACTAACCTCGAATGTGCTATTCCTAGAAATTCTTCCCAAAGAGAAAAAGATGAACGTATATTTAAATACTTCCATAAATAATATTTGTGATTTAAAGATTAAGTTATATTTAACAAAATTGCCACTGGTCAATTATTTATGCAAAATAATATATATAAATGTAAATACATTTTATATTAAGAACCAAAAAGTGTCCGTAAATGACCGAAATTTTATTTATTTCTTAAAATATTTTTGTTTTCATAACATAATATATAAATATGCTAACATTATATTGAAATTTGTCTTTTTAACTCTCTAATATATTTTTTCATCAAATATTATTTTTGTAAATATATTTTATTTAATTTTTTTTAATTAGATTTATTTTGCACTATAAATTCAAAACTCGAAATATTGTTAAAAAAAAATAGAATAAGAAAACGTTCCAGAGACAGTTCTTTTTTATTTAGTCTTTAAAAATAATAATTCTATTTCGAAATACAACAAGACCTAGTTACAATAGAATAATTATGCAATTAATTGTCGGTTTGTATGAAATAATGAGAGCACAATTAACTTTTTATTTTATTTTTGTTAATGAATTAAGGTTTTATTATGTATTTTTATTATTGCAATAAACATTGTTATTATTTTTAGATTAAATTTTGTTAGTTAATATAGGAGATTAAAAAAATATTGATGGATCAACCGCTTCGCTGATTTTCCCGATTGAATGTTCCGATTTCATCCTTTTTTTTTCATTTTATTCTGTTGAGTACGTGCAGTGAACCATTATATTCTGAAGAATTTAATGAAATCCGACGTATTCGGACCAATAAGTCAGAAAATTAAGTGATGCATGAACCTCAAGCGCCGACATCTTCCTCGTACATAATTTCTCCTCTCGTGACCCAAATAAAGAAAATTCCCTAATCCTGCCTCGAAGGAATTAAAAAATAATCAACGATTATTTGGCTAATGAACATGAGAGGAAAAAGGACTACAAAAAAAAAATAACGGTACCGCTGGGCATCGTTATATTATGATTGTGAAGTTATATGATATGGAGCTGACGTTAATTTCATGTAATGAACGAGTGGTCATGAGATGCTTTATGTAATTGTTACGCATTGTCGAGAGATCATGTTCCCGGTTTCTCGGAGAAAATAATCTCATGTGCGACGGGGGCTGCGGGCACCCCGTAATCGGGGTTGACAAACATAACGCATAGACCATTCCTCGTGTCATTTCAATATGATAAACTTTACACCTTTTGACTGGCACAAAGTTAAGCCCCCTTATCTGGTGCCGGCATCAAAACAGGAATTCTTCAGTGGCCGTCGCAGCTCATAAAACACCCCGCCCGTTCGGATCGACTCCCCCGGGCCCATAAACAACTTACATTAATTATGTAATCATGAATTATGAAAATTATCTTGTAAAGAAGCGTTTATCAAGGCCCTTTGTGCTGCTTTATGCACCGTACTTTACAGCTACCACCACCCCGTTCTCTACTCGGTCCTTTTTTTATTATTTGCCGCCCCGCACCCCGTGCGCACTCAAACATTTCAAAGTTAATAGAATACCCAATGTAATCCCTTTGTTGAGGCTTTTGTCATAAATAACACTTGAAAATGGCCGACTTCTCAATCACCGAGATCGTAAATAATATTATCCTTGAAATTCAAGAAAGAAAAAAATAATTTAAATATATGATAACTTAATAAACCAGGCGACAAAAAAAGAAACACTCGCAGAGAATAAAAAGAAATATAGGGTTTTACTACAAACAAACAAGAAATAAAATATCCGCAGATAAACGAGGGGTTGAAAAAAAAATACACAACCCATGAAATTAAAAAAAAAAATCACAGCCAATTATCTCACTCTAAGCCTGTGGACACGATTTATCACCCTTCACCAATTACCATCGCTTTCAGCGGCAGCCCATCTACACACGTCAAGATAATGCGATTGCTAATTACCTATGATTTGTCTTGTCAAAACAGTTCTCAACCCTCGTATCTTTGCCATCTGGATTTCGATTCAGTAGAATTAAAGAAAATAGTCTGAGGTAAAAAAAAGATTCGAAAACAAATGGAAAACGAGCGACTGAAGGAGTTAAGGAAGGACGGAAAGAAAGAAAGAAAAAAGAATAAATAAATAAATACACGTTACACCGAGACAAATGAGTGTTCCGACAAAATTCAACATTAAATAGCGGAATAAATAAATAGGGTTGATAGGGCGCTGCTTTTTGGGGCCGAAACCATTTGTCACCACTGGCTGACTAATTTATGGTTACCGGAGTAATTTTAAGGTTCCCTTTTTTTCCCTTCTGTCGGCATTAGAATCCAATAATAAATAATCCCCTTTTAGCCCCGGAAGATCCTTTATTGATAAAAGCTGGTGTAATATTTTTCGAGTCCGATACTAAGAATTATTCCATAGCAGAACGACAACGCCACCCAACCACGACCCTCCAACTTACCCCCTCAGACCACGCTTATCAACCACTGTCCGAACTCTGAAATTGATTTCATTTCACATTTCAAGATGCGAGCTCGTAAAAATGTTGGAAGACATAATATATTTTGTTGATTCCGACTACCTTGCGAATGTTGAAGATGACAGTTTACATGGATTCTGGAAGAAATATAACGTACTTTCGGGATCCGAAACGGCGGCGACACCTACCGAGATTTCAATCTTGTCCTGTGTTTCAGTTTTACCGTTCTTTTTTTTCTTCTGTTCCTTCTTCAATCTCTCAGGAGATTTATAACATAATTTGAGGGGTGGTACCTTATTGCTTGCAGATTTGCCTGTTGTCGGGGGGTAATTCAATATACTCGTTATTTTATTGCTTCCCTTTTGATCATTTCTCGATAGAAAACGAAGTTAATAATTGTTTGAAGTTATAGCCCCAAACATAAAACATAATCTATCTTTATCGTTGCTGAATCGTAAAATACTGTTATCTAGGGAGGTCGCGTTGATAATTGTTCTATGTCGGCAACCACAGAACTGATAACAATTATTGTAACTCTTTTATCGACAGGACGTCAAGGTCGTAAAACTCACCACCAGGGAGAGGCGATTCATCCGATTTGCATCGGTTGAATACGATGGACAGCTGTACATGACGCCACAAGATTTCCTCGAATCTGTTGTTGAAGCAGAGCCTAGGCGTAATACCTTCCGAGTTTATTTATGCAATATCAATTATCTTAACATATTTTTGTATAGCACGATTGAAACGTAAACTTCTCTCGGTCGAAGAAATCGAGGACATTAGGAAGACGACCCCTAAGCTGAGTCAAGGATCGGCCACACTCTTTCGGAGCCTTAGAGACAAAGGAATCATCTCGTATACAGAATATTTGTTTCTGCTATCTATTCTCACAAGTGAGTTCTCTAATTATGCAATTTTNNTTAAGAGCCGCAATCGGGTTTCCGTATTGCCTTCAACATGTTCGACGCAGATGGAAATGAAAAAGTTGATAAAAACGAGTTTCTTGTGGTAAGTTGTCTACGACGGATATACAGCCAAAGAATAAGTATTCCATGCAGGATTAATCCATAGACTATTCCCATTTTATTTGTTTCACATGATTTGATACTGAATACCTTCAACTTCAATTTGTACAAAATTGGATAAGTATAAAAATATATTACAACAGTATAGAAGATCATATATATCAAAATATTAAGGCAGAAAAGACCTATGGTCAATAGCTCTTTGCATGCTACAGTTGATCATGGAAATAGTATTTTGGCAGTTTAGAATATGAATGAAGTTTATTTCTATTCACTGACATGAAATTTAAATTTTAAAATATATTCTGTTCTACTTTCAACAAAGAAAATATGGAGATTAAAAATATATTCTCGCGTGAAGTAAGTCAGCAGTAATAATATAAATATATTTTATATAGTTTATTCAGTTTATTCATTAGAAGATTCATGAAACGCACTAGCGATTTTGATGAACATTTATTTCTATTCAATAAACAAATTGTCATTTTTGTGGAGCAGTGGAAACGTTCAAATTATTAATTTAATAAACGCATTTCTTAATGAGTTTTATTATGAATTTTACTACTGTAAAATCCAAAATAAACATATGAAACTATTGATAAAATGGAGTATTCGTTGGAGAAGTCCCAAATATGCATTTATTTATTATTTATTTGATTTAATAATATTTCGATTACATTATATAGGTTCGTACTTTATTGGCGGGAAAGCATAAAGATAGAAATAGTGTTGAAATAAAGACAGTGAGTTGAAACCAAAAACAAATAAGATTTGCAAAAGACAAGTCGCTTTAAATATACGCGCTCAATAAAAACTACAATGAAAATATCCAAACCACAAGTTTGGGCTTCGACGCTTTATGCTAACTCTGTTAACTGTTTTCTTATCCTTCCTCTTCATTTGTTTTCTTTTTCTTTTACCTGTTTATAAATATTCTTTTAATGAAACAGATTCATAGAATCTTGGGTGGTTACATTAAAAGAGATCGGGCTTTTGTAAGTTACTTTTTATTTTATTTATTTTTTTTTCGTTATTTGTTAACTCTTATAATTTGTTTTAATTTTTTTTTTGCTGTGACTAATCGTGTGTGGACTATGAATGTTGCTGTAAATAAATCCATGTTTACTGTTCTTAAATTTTATTAGCCGTTATATGTGTAGATGGAAAAAATATTTAGTCATGCATGGAAAGGGAAGAGAGGGATGCAGATGGCCGAAGGGCTGCAAAATAAATTGCCTATCCAGGATGATTACGTCGATGATGAGCAAGGCTTGCAACGGAGGCATATCGTGGACACGACGCTGATTGTCCACTTCTTTGGCCAGAAAGGAACCGACGAACTAAACTTCGAGGATTTCCAAAAGTTTATGTTATACTTACAGAAAGAAGTTTTAGAGCTGGAGTTCAGCGAATTCTCCAAGGGTCTGCCTACAATATCCGAAGTCGACTTCGCGAAAATCCTTCTCAGATACACTTATTTGGATACAGACGAATACGATAATTATTTGGACAGGCTTTTAGATAGGATCAAAGATACAAGAGGTATCACATTTGAAGAATTCCACGTATTTTGCCAATTCCTAAACAATCTGGACGATTTCAATATCGCTATGAGAATGTATACATTAGCCGATCATCCTATATCGAAAGGTATAACAATTGTAATACATCATTCAATACGTTTCAACTACATCAAACTGTTTCAGACGAGTTTCATAGAGCTGTCAAAATATGCACAGGCACCAATCTAAGTCCACATCTAGTCCATACAGTGTTTTCCATTTTTGATGATGATGGAGATGGCTTATTGAGTTATCGCGAATTTATTGCAATCATGAAAGACCGTTTGCATCGCGGTTTCAAGGTACGCTCTTCGTATTATGTAATGCACACGTTGTTATGTAATTCGAAAAATATATTTGCAGTCGTACGCGAAGAATGAAGGATGGGAGGCGTTCAAATCATGCATCAAACAAGAAATGAAAACACCGTCTTAAGTACAAAATAATTCGGTTTTATTTTCCTCCAACATTTACTAACTTATTTTCTGAATGGTTGTGATTTATTGTATTATTTTCATTATTGCCATAAAAAACAGTCACTATATTACTTTATATTAGGATTTCCCGCTTTCCAATTGAAACTAGCGCGAGATTACACAATAACCTAGTCCATTTACTTTAAAATAAACTCATAATATTAAAGAAAACTTTATCAACTAGTAATAGTACAATAGTGTTCATTAAGCGATTAATCACTGCAGTATAATAAAATAAAGAAATTAATGCTAACAAAATTAAAGTTGTTTATTATTGTTAATAACTACAAGTACATAGCCAGAATCAAATCATATTAAAAACAGCATATGTACATATACACGTACATATATATTAAATATTATTTATATATCTTTTATATGTACATATCACTTTGAGTTGAGTAAGAACTGAGTTGAGGCACTGTGCAAATTTGTATTGGCAGATTTAAGATTTGGAAGAATTCCTAACTTGTTAGCTAAACCATTACAGATAATACTTTGAACACTTTAGAAACTGTCATAAATGCTATTAAGAATTAAAGCTATATTTAACAACCAGGCACTATTGGAACAAAGCCTTGTCTACTGTTTGCCAACTTCTGTCGCACTAAGAAAGTGGCTATAATATCAGCAACCTGTTCTGGCTGATCCTCGTGGATCGCGTGACCAGAGCGTGGTAAAACTTGTAGTTGAAACTTTCCTACAATCAACATGTACATAAATTCTATGCTATACAATTAGTATAATTACTTTACCTTGCATTTGACCAACAGTTAATGCAGTATCTAGGCCATATATGTTGGCAAGCAGCAATATTTTTGGAGCGTTAATACTCAGGAACTTCTGAGAGAGCCCTTTGAACCAGCCAGGCCAATGCTGCTCTGTCTTAGTTAAATCAATTCTCCAGGAATACTTGATTTCGTCAGTGGTACAACTCGATCGAACTGCAGTTCCTGGTAATGGAGGCTTCATCGACGCTGTATCTCCTTCTTCAGCATCTTCAGTTTCCTCTTGTATTGAATCTGCTGCTTTTATTGGCTTAAAATCAATAGAAGCAGCCTCATCTCCTACACCTTCAGAATCAATTTCATCTGCAGCCAACAGCCCATTATTTACACTATGCAAAGAAATAAAAAACAAGTATTAAATTAAATATTATTAAATGTAAGATTTACTGACTTTATAATTTGACCGGGCATTGAAACTCTGGCTGCTTCCAGGTTCTGTGTAGATCCACCACGGAAACTAAAATTGCAATTTGTTTAGTATAATCACTTATTTTAATAAATTTCCTTTTTTACCCCCATTGCACAGCATGAGATATGCTTTTGAATCCACTAGGACGTCCCCGCAATATGCTTTGCATTCCAGAGAGAGAATCTAATGCAGTCCCTTCAACTACATCTATAACACAAACTCCAGCTAGGTTTTCCAATTTTGAAGCAACTTCGACTACTACAGCTCCTCCAAGACTATGACCTATCAATATTATCTTTGGCATTGCAGCTCCTGCATAAATAGACTGTATGACTTGGAGAACATCTTCAGACAATTGCTCCAATGATAAATCGTATTCCTTATCTGTTTTAGTCTTCCCATGTCCCCTCAAATCAATTGCTAATAACTGACAGTCAATTTTTGTGGAGACATCTCTCTAAAATGTTTAAAATTTCAAAATTGCTTTGATATTATTGTATATAAATAAATACAGCAAATAGCGCCCAAGTCAAAGCAGAATATCCACCACCATGAATGGTGACAAGTAAAGGACCACTTCCATCTTTAATGTAGCAATGAAAGGAATCTCCATTTACTTTGACTTCCTTATAAGAATCAAAATAATTATTCCAAGTAATTGGGGCGAAATCATTAGCAGTAACTCTCGATCTATTCCTAAAAACAACAAAGATTATGAAAAATCATATCCAAATTACATTGAAATGCTTACAATTTGTAAGATCGTCCTCCTAATACTGTCTTCCTTAAATTTGACATGGTTGAACTAAAAATAAAACTCTGATTCTAATTGAACTAAGTATTGTTTAGATTAAGTGAAACCAAAATAAATTGCTGAATTACTTAAATATTGTCAAACAACTTGACAATTTAGTGGCCTGAAGTTGGCAACGGATGTAGTTCAAATTTTTAGCGGTAGACCGAACCAACGAGTTTGCGCAGCAACCGTACATCTTTCTTTTACATTGAAACGTGGGGAAAGGCGAGAAGGTTAGTTCTAACTCTGATAATTCCTCTTTTTTCTTTAACATCGCGTTAAATACGGACAAAGTAAGAGCTGCTAAGAAATCCTGTTATATTACTATATGTGGATATAACAATATTTCTTTAATATATACATTCTAAATTGTTGAAAATTGTGTGAGTCTTCGGACCGCGTCAAGTAACCATTTACATTGTTTTGTTTGTTGTGTATGTTTGGTGATAGTATAATTTTGGTCACAAACAAACACGCGAATATAACTAGTTTGTAGTTATAAATTCGACTTTAGTTAATATTGTGGTGTGCTTTCAGTCTCCAAAATGGGTAAAGGTAATAATATGATTCCAAATGGCCATTTCCACAAGGATTGGCAACGCTACGTGAAGACTTGGTTCAACCAGCCTGCTCGCAAATACAGGAGGAGGCAGAACAGAATCAAGAAAGCTAAGGCTATTGCACCAAGACCTGTAGCCGGAGCTCTTCGCCCAGTTGTTAAGTGCCCAAGCATTAAATATCACACCAAAGTTCGTGCTGGCCGTGGATTCACCCTCCAAGAGATTAAGGTAAATTATACATTGAAATCTTATATATATATCATATATTGTAATTGTTTGTTTATTGCAGGCTGCTGGACTCAATGCCCAATATGCCCGTACCATTGGCATTGCTGTTGACCACCGTAGGCACAGCAAATCTGCTGAATCCTTACAATTAAACACCCAACGCCTTAAGGTCTACTTGTCCAAATTGATTTTGTTCCCACAAAACCAAAAGAAGATCAAGGCTGGTGAAGCTGATGCTGAAAAGTGCAAGGTATTTATTCTTATAATCCATTTATACTAGACCACATGTTGCAACTATCATTATGCATTTCAATAACATTAAATTGTGAGTGATTTGAAAAAGGTATAATATTAAGGATAAAGTAATTTGATAAATCTATAATATTTACTAAAATTAAGTCACATATATTAAAAAATAATTAAAATACTTCACATTGATTAATTAACAATTTAAATAATCAATCAGTAATTGAAATTGCTCTCTGAATGTTACAACTGCTATGTATTTATATTCCAATTAATGTTTGTTTTTTTTTTCTATAGCTTGCCACCCAATTGACTACTCCAGTTTTACCTATCAAACAACAACAAACCAAGTACAAGGCTCGCGTCATTACTGAAGAAGAAAATAAATTCAGTCCATTCTCCACTTTGAGGAAGGTATGTTATTCGTTGATATTGTTTTTATTGTGCAATGGTGTTCATGGGTTCATTGATCGTTTCAGGCTCGTGCTGATGCCCGTTTGGTTGGAGTTCGTGCTAAGCGCGTCAAGGATGCCGCCGAGAATCCCGACGACATCTCCAAGGTTGGAAAGGCTAAGGCCAAGAAATAAGTGTAAATTACTATCAACTATTTACATAATAAAATTTTAAAATAAGACAATATGTTTGGAATAATCATTTTCTTCAATCCCTCAAATGATAACATCTTTTTAACGTGTTTAAAAGAAATTACTTGTCAAGTATTTATCCAATATTATATATAATTTCATTATTACTAATCATTTAAATATGTAATTTCAACAATTTGGCAGCCTCATAGTTACCAGAATTACATATATGATTAAATAACATTACGAATTCTATGGTTTTAAGCGTTCAGTTGACGTTAAAGATTCACGTCTATTAATTTTACTTAATATGTATTTCCCTGCAAACATCATTTACTTTGTGAAGTATTCCGGTAATTTATCAAAATTTACTAATATTACGAAGTCTAATGGTCTTTTATGTTATTTGAGCTACAACAAAATAATATGTAAATTTAAACCGGTATACTGCCCTTTTTTCTGGTATTCAACAAGTAGTACAATATTAAGTAAGTATTTTGGTAATATAGTGCATTAGTCGCCAAGAAAATTCAAATTTTCTACTTGGCTTATTTACAAATTTTTATGACTTAGGCTGGGTATAAGGTCATGATTATGTAGGCTTCAACGCTAAATTATCTTTGTTTTGACTAGTATTATAATTACCTAATAATAAAATTGAAGAGATCGACGGTCAAAGTAAATTAGACTAGAATGAAAATGATATTTTTCATTTTATAGCTATAAACTAAATCATTAAAATTATGCTTTGAACCATATCTTGTCTGAAAAGTAGTGAAGAGCTTTATTTTAGTGCACAGATAGACATGATTCTTCATGTAAGCTCCTAAATGATGAGACGTTGTAGAGGGCGGATGTAGCAAAAAATGTGTTGCAAGGGTGCCGTAGCAGATGGTGAAAATAAGGTAGGTAGAAATGAGTAAAAGAAAAAGGCCAATCCAGGGTTTCAGAAAGGCAACAGATTAACGGTATTGTTTACCTGGCATTGTTATCACCAGGTATACTTCTGGATGGAAATTTCTATTGAACACAGTTAATAATTGAATTGGAAAGAAGTTGAGGAAAAATAATCAATCCAAAGAAAATACTTTAATGTTAACTGTTTGAATATACGTACATTTTGTTTTGTAGTATTCAACATTGCCGTACAAAATAAATATTTTTTTTAATATTGAACAATATTAATTTTAAGAAAATTGCTTACTACTTCTATTCTATCAATAAGGAATTATTAAGGTGACCAACGTAATCTTATGGAAAGTTTTATATTACTTTTTCATGAACTATACTCTTTTTTAAAACCGTACTCTAAAACTAATTCTTTACATTCCTATACTTTTTTCAAAATATAAATACAGTGATTTTTTCAGTCTATTGAAATCTCGACGTTCGAAATCCCGGATGTATTAAAATCCCGACAATCAAAATCCCGATTACCATAATCCCGACAACCAAAAAAATGTTATTGTAGAAATATATAATAATATAAGACAATGTCGGGATTTTGGTTGTCGGGCTTGCGATTGCCACCGCAAATAACATGTCTTACCTATCAAGACCAGTTGTAATTTGTCAATATTTATTCTTTTAAAAAATAAGAAATTACCATCTTTGTGATCTTTGCAAATGTTTACACTGTTATTACAACTTTAGGTTGACTGATACAGTACAGTGTTATAACTCTATGTGAGAGCAACATATTATTAAAATTATATGTTTATTTTTCTTTGAATCTGATGCTATAAGACTTATTTTGAAGAAAGCAATCTATTCCAATAATATCAAGATGTTATTAGAAAAAATATAGGCGAAAAGTGGTGCTAATGCTATAAACATATACTTTATGAAACATGATTTTTATACAACCAACAAATATGAGTCCTTATATACCAACAATGAAGTAAACATTATTTTGAATAAGGGTTCTTGAGTTTAGAGTCATGTAGAACAGTGATTTTTTTAGAGCAAAAAGTTTGAGAAACACTGATATAGAAGACCAACGCTGAATTTTCATGAAATAAAGGAAGGTTACAAATCCGGAAAAGCACCAGTTCATAATATTTTTTGGGAAGTATCAGAATCAGCAGGATATATGAAGAAGAATGTAAAAGCTGTAAAATATAAGGGTAATCAGGCGCATCGCTTTTCGGGATTTGTCCCTATTTTTTGTTTTATATTCCAGTGTTTCCGAAATGTGGGACCATTCTATGTAAAGTAATGAGAGAGAAACACAGTCTAGTGAAGAACTGAGTCATCCCGATCTGAGTTTTAATATAATATCGTGTGTTAGAAGAATAAAGTAACAATGTTGGAGGAATCAAATCAAGGGATTAAGAATCCAGCCATTTTTCATTCCAACTTTGCGGAATTAAATTGTTTGCACTGGACTTTTATTGTATTAAAAATAGAATGGAGAAGATGTTTCTTCTCAGTTAATTTCATTACAATGAAACAATAGAAAGATATTATTTTTAATGACAGTAAATTTTGCACAAAAAAATAGGTGAATACTTTCTTGAATAATATTTTCAATTAAATGCAAAACAGATATAATAACAATTTTTTGAAAATAATCATAAAGATTATAATTATAAATTTGTTTAAAAAAAAATATAAAAGTTTTATTTGTGATTATTAAAATAAATATTATTTATTAAATTATCGTAACATTGAAGGCTAATGAAAAATTTATAAACAAACAAAATTTAGCATAGAAAATGGTATAAAAATTCTAAATTTGTTAAAGAATTTCAATTAATTGTATACTGAAATACAATTAAATTGATGAGCGAACATTTTTACTTCATCTTTGAGACTCATCGGTGTTTCCAGTCAGAGTTCAAATATTCAATATAAATGTTGATATCAACTACGACAATTAATTGCAGGTAATTGTTTCAATCAATATTGCCAGTGTTACATGTGAATTTAACCTATAACCAGCGTATTACATAAGTTTCAAATTTCCCGCCTGGGATTTAAAAGTAATTAGCATAGTATCGCAATCAGATGTTTATATAGATTTCATCCAGTTACCTTAACAACTTTTTTTTTGTCGATAATTTGCTTATATAAATGGCTGTGTTATAATAGTGAAATGATGGCAGATTTCGTGGAAGATTTGGAAGCAATAAAGAATTCGGTGCTCTTAACGACATTCACTTGCAAGAAAAAGCGATACAAAGTGTTTTTCCATCAAAATCAAATCATATGGGATAAGGAAAAACCACCATCAGGTAAGAGGGTTAGACTTTGGAATACACAGGTGTTAACTGGTTATGTTGTTATTTTCTAGTGCAAGTGACAGTGCCAATAGAGAATGTTATCACTGTGGAACATGTTAACAAAACAGCAAATCATCGACTTGATGATCCAACCATTGACCCTCACAGCTTTATCATACATTATGCGAAGAGGAGAAGCAATTGCACTTGGAAACATGCAACTATTGCATTCAGCCACACTGACCCCATCCAGGTGGCATCCTGGGTGAAAACATTGCAAAATACATTACAAAGTGAGTCCCCCCTTAATAGTTATATAATGAAAACTATTTAATCAAATTTTTGCAGCTTTTAACCAAAGACCGAAGAGCATTTTATTATTCTTAAACCCCTATGGAGGCAAGAGGAATGCCATGCAAATTTATGAGAAACTAGCCAAACCTTTATTTCAAATTGCTGGTGTTGATGTGACAGTTAATGTTTCTCAGAGAAAAGATCAAATCAGAGATTTTGTTACATATCATAATTTGGATATGTATGATGTTGTTGCATGCGTGGGAGGAGATGGAACTGTATCTGAACTATTTAATGGACTTATAATAAGAGAATGTCAATTACATAATTTAGATTACAATGATATTAATATTGATATACCAAAACCTAAAATGCCAATAGGAATTATACCTGGTAATTAATCACGTTTATCAATGTAAAAAATTATAATTATAAATAAAATAATTTTAGGAGGAAGCACAGATACCATAGCGTTTTGTTTACATGGTACAACAGACGTCCAAACTGCAGTCCTACATATAATATTCGGCGGCCGTATCGGTTTAGACTTAGTTTCTGTTTATGATGAAACCAAGTTGTTAAGACTATATGCAAGTGTACTTAGTTATGGATACTTAGGAGATGTAGCTCATTCTAGTGATAAATATAGGTGGCTGGGACCGAAACGATATGATTATTCGGGTTTTAAGAAACTGATTTACAATATGGGGTATGAAGGGGAAATCGCGATGTTATCAGAAAAAGATGATTTTACTAGCTCTCGATGCTTCGAGAGTTGCTCAGAATGTTCCGTGTGCATCGATAAGACGACGGAAAAGAAAGAACTTGTATGGAAAACGATTAAAGGAAAATATTTTATGGTCAGCGGAGCAAATATTAGCTGCGCTTGTGATAGAAGCCCTAATGGTATAGCGCCAAACAGTCATTTGGGAGATGGCAACTTACACTTAGTTCTGGTCCAGCACACTTCGCTGCTTAATAATGTGAGATTACTTTTAAGATTATCGGGTAGGAACAAGGAGATACAACAGTTCCCCTTTGTGGAAACGCACAAGGCGAAAGAGTTCTGTTTCCGAGCCATCAACAAAAAGAGCAAATGGAATTGCGACGGGGAGGTCCAGTACCAAACGGATATTCGCGCTAAGTAGCTATTATTTCCAATCATTTTTGCATTGTGATTCATGTAATTCCTTTACTTTCCAGGGTACGATGTCAATTACTTACTATCTTGGGTAGAGGAATGCCAGTGCCTACAGAAACTGTTACTAATTGTTGTTCATTTTGCTGACGTTGGAGCAAAAATAATAAGTATTTATTTGTTCTGTGTTATGTTAATAGCTAATATTTTTGGTTTAGGGTCAGATTACTAGGCATCGTTTTTTTTGTTATTTTGGGTGTCTATAGTATTTTAAATAATATATTTATTTAACATAAAATTATTGCATTTGCCCAAAACCACTGTGTTGCATGTCTATTATTACTTACAACAATGTCTTAACCACTTTTCAATTTAATTGAATGTGGGTAGTTTCATTAGAAATTTATATGTACAACGAAGTTTGCACTATAATGTTCCAAGGATTTTACATTCCGTAAACGATAATTAAACTAGTATTTAACTCAAAAACTACTATTCTATGTGATTCTTAATTTATTTATATATTTTTGTTTGTTCTTCTGTTTCACTATTATGCAAGGGATATGTTATTTTCATTTTATTTCTGTTAAAATATAAATCTATTTTTAACTAACTTAAATATTTTATTTTATATAGAGCTTGTTACAGGTCAACAACTACAATAATGCATTAGAAGACATAATTTATGGACAAACACATATTTTTTACACCTTGACAGTGTGCTAACTCTGATCAATAGATTCAAACATATTTTTACACTACTAACAAATTTCTAAAGTAACAAGTCTTGGATTATATTTGTCCACTCTTATTTCTTGTTAACTCTTTCATAATAGCTTTTTAGAAAGGTCCAGTACAGTAGACTTCGGTATAACTAACCCCGTTATACCGAAGTCTACTGTACGTTCATTGTATAAAATCGTGTTCTACGAGATTTTTTCTCATATAACAGAGACAACATGTTTAGGGAATAACATGCGTTTTACAAGAATCGTGTTACATGAAAAAGGTTATCCTAATATTTTTAACGCGTTGTAGGAATTTGCATTGTAGATACTCGCAATTATTCTTAAGTAAGATCGGCAACTTTTTGTAGCAAAAAGCCATTTTTAAAATATATTCTGTTTAAAAAGAGTTTAGGGAGCTGCACATAGCGATACGACCGAACGGGACATATTTTTCATAGTTCCACAATTAATGAGCTGGATGGGATCAAAAGTTCGCGAAGAAGATAAAATAAATAAATGAAATATAGACAAACAATTAACTCTACAGGAATAGTTGATAGCTTAATGATGTATAGATAAAGATAGAAAACGACTAACCGGAAACATTCATAAAGTAGTTCTTAAGAAGGACGTTATAATATTTGAATTAAACATAACGACTATCTGGAAGCATTCATAAAATCGTTTTTTAACGATCTTAAGAAGGACGTTAAAATATTTGAATTTAGAAACTCAAAGAATTCAATAAAAGGTATCAAATTTAGAAAACGTGTCTTCAGTAGAAGTTCCTTAATTTCCCATGAATAATAATATTCGCATTAAATCTTGTAAATTAATATAAAACAGAAAAGTGATCGGTGAGTTGCCTAAGTTTCAATGTTTTTAAAATTATTCGGCAAATTCAGAAAGTGAATCATAACCTATAGAAACCGCCAAACCATACATGAAATTATAGAAGATATAATTGGGTTATATCACTGTTATCGTTTATTTTTGTTACTTATACAAAGTACATGACTATCTTATAAGTGTTTATTGTGCCTATTGTTTTAATGTAAATAGTTAAGTTCATGTGTAGGAACTCCAAAATACAGTTAACATGGATACAATACCGTAAGCATAGCCTAACATTACATTTACAGTAATCATATAGCAAAACTTTTCTTAGGTACTGGAAAAATATCTACAAGACTGTAATAAAGAGTAGCAAAGCTTTGACTGATAAGAATATCTTGGAGGTGCTGACCACAGTCAAAAGTGAATTGAAGTTGGGTATTTGCCAATTTAAACCATATACTACGAGTAGCTATAATGAGTGGAAGAAGAAGGTCTCCAAAGAAAATAGACAACTAGAAATTTTGATACAAAAAATTTCTAAGTCATTGGTAATTAGTAAACGTAAATATTATATGAACAAAATGTAATTGTTATTTGTTGCAGAATCTGGATTGTACAATTGCTTACAGCCTGTTTTGTAATTATGTTATGTTTGAATATTATGGGAAAGTTGAAGATATCATAGAGGTCTCAAATTTTGAGCAATACACAAATCATTTAGTTGTGAAGTTATGGCATTTCTATACGTCTGAGCGTATGTTTCTTTTGAAAACAGTGAGACATATTTTTGAAAATAAAGATGTTGAGCCCATGAAGACATTTTTGAGTAAATTGAATATAACAGAATGTAGGGATAATCTGGTGGAACAAATGAAATTTTCTATAGATGAAATAAACTATAAGAACTCTGGTAACTGTGTAGATATAAAAAATTGGGTTGCAAGAAATAATGTTGAACAGTTGGAACTGGTCATTACTTTAATTTTATTTAATGACTTCAAAAAACCAACACCAAAAGATGCATTAAATATGATGGTAGTGTTTCAAGAACATGGATTTGCATATAAACCACCAGACTTTTTCGAGGCAATTTCTTTGTCAGATCCAAGCAGTATTAAATCGGTGACTCACATGGAGTATACAGCATTACTCCTAGCATTACAATATTTGTGGTAATTACATACATATAATTCAGAAATATTTTTAATTACTCAATTTTGCTTATAGGAATAGTCCTAATTTTGACGTCGATATGACTGAGGTTGAAAATGTACTAAGTAATATTGTCAGTATTCCTGAACATAGTGTAGTATTGCTTTCATGGTGTGTAATGATAATGTCAATACCATCACTGTTGGCTGTACAAAAGTATAAAACGTTCATTCAGGTACATTTAAAAGATTGCTTCAATGACTGTGTATTTGAAACATTACTAGAAATATTAGAAAAGCCTTTCTTACAAGTAAGTTTAATTGAAATCAAACATCATTATATAATATAAATATATATTTATTTTAGGGTAATATTCTTGGAAAAATTATCAGAGAAGGAGTATATGGTTTTGTGAATCAACTTTGTTCGAAGAGTACTGATCATTTTATGATTTATCAGAAGAAAGGATCAGTAGATGTTTTGTGCAAGTTGATTGAGGATGAAACTATTGCATCAAAAGTATTTGATACCAATTATTCAGTACACTTGCTTATTTCTACAGCTTTTAATATGTATCCATATGATTTTAAATCATTCACAGGTTTGTGCAGTACTTTATACAAACACAAGCATTATGAAGATCAGGTAAGTTACTGAGCTATAAGAGAAATAGTCAATTTTAATATAAATTTTGTAGGTCATTAGGCTCCTTTTGAACATTGAAGTATACACAAATGAAAATGCGTTACCATTACCTACCTTCAAAGACGTTAGAATCCTAAAAGAAACCACACCGTTGCATAACTTCACTATTCCAAAATCTTCCATAGTGGGCACTTTGCAATTATCCCCTACTGTTTGGTTGGCGCAATGCCGAGGAGATTTTAGGTATACGTATTTTCATTACTTAGAACAATATGCTTTAGCCACGGTCGATTACTGCGAAAATACTACCGATTCTGATGGGAAATTAATCCCAGCAGTAGATCGACTGATCGAAGGATTAAGTTTCATTGCAGAAGTTGTAAAACATCCACAACTATGGAAAAACGTATTATTCTGTCAACTAATAAACCACGTCAAATTCCTGATGACGAAAGGTGGTATCCATAAATATCCGAATGCAGGATTGATAAACAGTTGTCTGAAAATTTGCATTGAAATGTTGTCCATTCCTGAAGCGAATCCATCGATATTACATATACTGACAGCTTTCCATTGTTTACATGCTATACCAAAGGAGTTATTAAGCATCGAGCAGTTGCAGAAACTGAATGTTATAGACGACTCTAACCTTTTACAATTGGCTGTTCTCGCTCGTTACTCTGCCAAGTACGACCTCATACGCACTTACCTCAAATTACTCAACCACACGATGAAGGAAAACAATCCGGAAAAGTTCCAGCTGCGCGGCATCATATTCTTTATGAGAGAAATATTCCCGCAACACCTGAATTGGAACTATGAGGATTCATTTGAGAAACATATTATTACAAGAGATATCCTTATGCACATTTTCAATATCTTACAATTTTACAATTCGGTAGAAGAACCAAAAGAGATTATGTTAACATACAACTTTTGCGTGGAGACGTTCTTTAATTATGAACCTTTCATCAAAGCGTTTATCGCTATCTTCAGATCACCGAACCATTATTTGGATCATCTGATGTGCATGGAAACCGATTGGAAAGATGGAAAGAGTACCGAAATCATACGCAATGTTCGTAGATGTATAAGTATCATACTGTTGTTGTTTAAACAACACGGCTTCGCCACCATAAAAACAACAAAGTTTTGGGCATATTTTATCCATTCTGGAGCCCAGTCCGCGAATTGCATAAAGGTCATCGTAGATTATATCATCCACAAATATGATACTATACTTCCAAAATTAGCGTGCCGCCTGTTAAAAACAATTGCTATTGATTCGACGATACCTATACTGTCTTCTTTAGAAATAGACAATCACCAAGTTCAATGCATGTTTTTAGAACGTCTGCGTGATCGTTTGGAAGATGATGATATGAAAGTGGCACTTCTTGATATGATTACCACATGTACGAAGAGTCAAAATGGAATGACGGTGGCTTTCTTTAATCTCTCATCGCGTCGTAAATCTTACTGCTCCAAACCTATAGCACAATCTGGAGAAAGTGTTTCACATTACTTAGGTGATTATCTTAAAAATATTAAGATATCCCCGGAATATTTAAAAAGTCCCATCCAGGCCGCTATGTTGAAATTGTTTCACGCATTATGGGTTGAAAAGAAAACATTACTCATTAAAGATTTGATAGCAAAAGATACTTTCTGGGAAATAATATTGGCACCTTTGATGCAGGATTATAACTTGGCTAATGAAACGTATAGCATGATTCTTGATATATTAGCTATTGAGTTATCAAAGACTGAGATTGATCCTAAGCTGGAGGTATTCCTGAAAGGCGTTTTCGCAAATGAAAAAGGATTCTTACAAAATTTCCCTAAATATCTTATGCAGTGTTTGAAAAATGATTGTCGTAATCCCGATAACGTGAATCTTCTTTTAAGTTGGAAAAAATTCATCATTTTTTTGGTCAGAGGACATGACGATATACTGGATAACAAACCAAAACAAATTATAGCAGATAACACGCTTAAAGGATTCATCAATTATATCGATAACCCAGAGGAAATAAAATATGTTAAAGAATGGGCGGATCTATACTTATATTTGTTAACAAAATGGGGTGATAAAACTCCAACAGATGATGAGTGTTTCAAATTAAAATGTATATTGTTTTCTCACATCAGCAACATATACGATTACCTGAATAAGAAGGCGAGAGAATCGGTGGTTTCGATAGCGTTGAGAACAGTAGACCTGCACGCAAAAGCTTTTGAAGAAACTTCGACAGACGTACTAAACTTTATGAAATCTGTGGGAACAATAATCGAGAAAGAATATGATACGTTCATGAAAAATCGTAAGAAATCTCAGGTGTTGTACATCGATTACATTTCTTGGACAATTTTAATCAGTTTATGTAACAGAGTGGTACAAAAAGAATGTTTCCAGACTTGGTTCTTCTATACGCAAATATTTAACAAAGTCTTCAACACCTTGGGATTTCTGATGTCCAATATTGAGACAATGCCTTTAGTCAAAACACTGACTATATTTCTCACGAAATGCGTAAAGAGTCCATTGTCATACGAATTTCTCTACGTAAACTTCCAGACATTCTTTGACTCTATAAAATTGCCGCAGCAATTTTATAACTTCTCATTGGAAACTTTAAAAGAAGGAAACCCCTTGCATCTCGAAGAGTTTTGGATCACGTTTACTAGCCTAATCAACATGAATCTGTCGTTGATCGATAAATTCGGCTTCTTCATGTTTTATCCAATATTGGAATTCATGAATATGCACTATACAGAAATTGTGACCATTATAAAACTACCTCAATATACGGTCAACAATTGCGCTCTTAAACTTGTTTCAAATACTTTGAAACTCTGCAATTCTTTGTTTAAATGGAAACGGAAGTGGAGAATGTTTAACGAACCCCTCTTAACAGCATTTTATGTAAGTAGTTACTCAAATCCTATTTAAGCAATAAATCTAATTTTCTCGTTTTTTTTTCTAGAAAATAATCGCAGAGTGCCTTAACAGTTGCATTAACATTGTACTAAGTCCTAAGGTACTGAAATTTTATAAAATTGCTGATAACCAGAAGCTGCACACAGTTGAGAAAATTCCAGTTGAATTCCTTGTATCGACAATGGACAGGTAATTATATTTTTTTACAATCAATTTCTTTCAGTGAGAAATATACTATCATCAGACAATTAATTTGATAGTTTCGCGTCCATAACATCATTAGCAGTCATACAACTGAAATTAATGAGAATTTTACAAAAAATGGTCAACATCCGAAAAGTCGCTCAAGAACTCGTAACATTTCTTCTGATTTTATTTCTCCACTTAAAGTATTTTATGCAATATCAGCCCGCATTCTCACTATTTTTCGTTTATGCCCGTGGACTTAAAATAAAAAGGACGGCACTATTACAGCTATTTTTATAAATATTAATTTCAAGTTCTGAAAACGAAATTTTAATATTAAATTACCGTTATTACTTGTCTATATAAAGTCATGAGAATTGTTCCATAAAATACATACATTATTATTATGTATACATAATTCATTGCTAATGAAACAATTTGATAAAAAACTCTTGTTTTATCGAAACCGTGAGAAGGATTAGTCAATAAATATCATTGAATTATGATTTTTTTTTTGTTTAAAAAATATATTTATTTGCATGTTCAGATTAAAAATGATTTAATACAAGTTTATTAATAAATAAGTTTATTAAGAAAACTTTGTATCTTAAAATCACATTTGTAAGGATATTTAAAACTAATATTATTTTTTTTCTCTTCAGGGTGGTCGAAATAATTTCTTCATCGTGCTTGTGTTTGATCAGTCTATCGCCACGGATGGTAGATTTACTTGCAGAAAGTAAGACGCATGAAAATTACTTCGACGGATTTGATTACGAATTTCACATACCAAATCCAAATAATCCGCACGATATTTCCTATAAGTTGACCTTCGGCGGAGTTCTTTGCTTGGTTCATTACCTATGCAAAACTATAATTCAGGTAATAGTTTTTTGATAAGTTATAATTGTTAGTTTGTGTATGCAAATGTAGGAGAGGAGGGTAATTTGATTTTCTGTTTCTTGCATAAAAGGTTTAGATATACTGGTTTTAAATATAGTGTATTTCTATGTACTCATAATTGATTTCTTTCTTTTTAGAGGCGGATTTACGTCAGAAATTACAATGAAATAACACGGATATGTTTTTCGAGGTTAATCTCTGAGAAAGGTAGTAAAATTTGTAAAAGGGCAAACATACTAAAAGTTTATATTTCTTTCTAGATAATCAAAGGAAAAACAACTCAAGGTTCTATATCAACAACTACTCTACTGGAAATATCGGATCCAAATAAAGCATCATCTCAGCCAACAGCACCAAGTAACAATAAATACAATTCATCTTACGTCGTTCTAGTTTATCCTGACTATTTGGGAGCGACGGAAACATACGATAAGTTTAATTCAATACAACGATTTGCCAACTCGGAAATTTATAGTTTGACAGCACCTTGGCTGTCCCAGATGAACAAAACGCAAGTAACACACTCCTTGGAATGTTTGAACACTCTTCTGGCAACGCACATCTTCAAAGCAATTGCGGAAAACTACAAGAATCAAATGATGTTGCAATTGTTAAAGCGTGACCTATGCTCCGAGTTGCAATTCTTTCACGAATTTGTTAGGAAAAACGATCCTCACAATACCAAAAACAAGGTTGCGCCTCAGCGAGCAGATAATGCTGAAGATTATTTACTAATGTTATCCCACTGGTTTATGGATGTATGCCATCTGGCACCATGATCATTTATTTTCTAATTGCTGTTTTACATTGAATAAATAATATTAATTTTACATGGAACAGTTTAAAACAATACCCAGAAATTCTTCAAATCCCAGAGTTATTACACCAGTGTAGCCTGTGTCATGGGCCCTGAAAGCATCAGTGAACTTCTGTATCTGCACACAGATAACGATAAACTGATCCACAGACATCTGCTTGTGGTTCTGCAAATCACTTTTTTTAATTAAAAAATTGACAAACTCTGGTGTAAATCTAAAACCCATTTGTTGCAGAGCTATAAAAAGTCTCCTTTAAAATTTCAAATATTTGTATTTCATTGGAATATATACCATGTGAGAGTTCACCTTCCTCGATATGCCCAGTTTGGTCTTTATCACATGACCGGAACACAGCTAGCCACTGGTTTATATAGGAGTATAGTAACTGGAACTCGTGGACATCAATGGTACCACTTCTATCATGGTCAAACATGCTGATCATCAAGTTGCAAGCCGTGTCAGAGAAGTTGCTACCCTGTGCTGTGATCAAAGCTGCCTGAAGTTCTCTTTGGCTTATTTTGCCAGAGCGGTCCTTATCAACATGGGTAAACAATTGTTGAACCTCAGCCTGCACTCCCTGATTATATTCCTACAGATTTTTTTTTATATTAATTTTCACTAAATCATTTGTTGATCATTTTCTGTTATACCTGAGATTGCATCGCGCCACTTATATATATATATATATGTAAATTCAGTAATGGTATGCAGAGCAAGAATCAATCAATAAACGTCACAGAGACTGACAAATTTCCTTTTTTGAACTGCGAATCTACCGCATGTCAAATATAACAACTACACCTAAATCTCCAGATTAAAAATACCTTCCCAATACTAAAATATAATTTATTTACATTATCTATAAATATTTACAATTGTATCATCCTGACATTCCTGACAACAAAACTTTGATTTTTTTTTCCAGATTCCTTTAGAACTACCATAGTAGTTCGAACAAAATCCAAATATTTAAACGATACTTTTCCTATTACATAAACCGAGGTCGGCAATCTTCTTACATCAAAAAGGCATTTTTTAGAAGCGTTACAATTGCTATTTTTACTTATGAAATGAATTTTTCTACATAACCACTATAACCACCGTTGCGAGATCTGAGAACCACAGAATGGCTAGAAACTATCTATTACATAATGAATCATCGAAAAATGATTTATTATTCGTATTCTTTATTATATAAACAATGATAAAAAAGTAGAACGAAAAGTTCGAAACTCTTCTACAATAATAATTAAATTATTATTTGTAGGGTTAATTAATTACTGATATTGATTTCTAATGTTCATTTGCAATAAGAATTTAAAGTGATATTTAAAAAAAATCACGTCAAAGCCCATCATCATGGAAGAAGGATATCTAGTTAATTCGTATTTAAAAATTTTGAACATATTGTTTAAGTTCTACAAATTTTAAAAAAAATCCATTATACAGTAACCTTTGGACCATAAGACGCACCCATAATTTGAGTCCATTCTCGAACCATTTTATCTCTTGGGAGTGGACCTAATGTTATATGAAAGTCTTTTTTGTTTTATTTTCAAATTTAGAGACGATTTATAAAAAAATACTATTTTAATTTTGCCTTCGGACCATAAGACGCACATATAAATTGAATCAATTGTTCTATGTAAAAAAAGGTGCGTCTTATAGTCCGAAAAATATGGTATATGCTTTTGTAAAAACGTAAGGTATTACGGGTTTGAAACATTCATCCGAATTTGACCGATCAGAAGATTCGATTGTCTTCCACATCAGTAATTCTCAAAGTAAAGGTACCCATTCTTCGAAGCTCCTTTATTTTTTTTAAAATACAAAATAGGGTCGTGGAGCAAAAAGTTTGAGAAACACTGTTCTACATCACACTGAACTTAATAAAAATCTAATTTTCTACGATTATTCAAAATAATGTCTTCTTCATTATTCGTTTACTCCGGTGGCAATCGCAAGCCCGACAACCGAAATCCCGACTATATCGATATCCCGACTACCATAATCCCGACAGTGTCTTTTATTATTATAAATTTCTATAATAACATTTTTTTGTTAGTCGGGATTTCGATATAGTCGGGATTTTGATATAATCGTTATTTTGATATAGTCGGGATTTTGATTGTCGGTATTATGGTAGTCGGGATTTCGAACGTCGGAATTTCGATACACTCGGGATTTCGAACGTCGGGATTTCAATAGACGGTCTTACTCATACTCATGTTTGTCGGATTTATAAGGTTCATCGTATTAGGAACAGTTTCCGTCTATATCATTTATTTTCTAATAACTTTGATATTGACTGTTTTGTCATTATGGGATACATTATTTTTTCAAATGTTAAGTAAATTTATTTTATGAATCACAAGGAAGCTCATTTTGCTTAACTTTAAAGGAAAACCAAATATATTATGAAAAGTAAATTCTGAAAAAAAAGAAAACATAAAAGCGATTTCATATTATTATCTTTGAGAAATTGTAGACCAAAGTTCGAAAATTACTCCTCAGTACCTTTAATGTTATATTCTAAATGATAATCAATTAAGAAACTGCATTGTAAACTATATTCTGATAATTAATCTATCAATGTAGTTCATCAGTTCAACCTTATTAGTATATATATCGATCATGAAAAGTTGAATAAACTGATTATTTTGAATGTGACCCTAGTAAAATAAGACAACAAAAAACTTCATTTTAAAAGAATAGATAGATTGTGATCATTTTAAGTAAGAAAGTTGATTGTGATCCCTTTTTAGTATAAAAGTCGATCTCAAGAGCAAACAAGTTGTCAAATAATGATTTTTTTGCTTTCATACTCTAAATTCATACGAATTTGTCATCGGATTAGGCATACGTTAAACATATGTACATTAAGCGAGCACAAACTGCATATATTGTTTATATTATCATATATATTTATTATGTAAGTTATAGCAGTATAATCCATTCAAAATACTTTGCTAAATAATTTATGTAATGGTAATTTAGCAATATATAATATTACCTAGATTACCAGACTTACAATGCTAAACAAACTCTGCTAAGGCGCAGACAAATGTGTATTTGAAAGGATTGTTCTTAACTGGGAAAAGGTTGCTTTGCAAAACCTATGGAAAAACGAAGCACATTTTACATACATTTATTAATAGCTACACAAGAAAGAGCAATACAAATCAATTAATACTTGACCTCGTTCTATTGAAGCACATCATAAAATCTGAACCTGCAGCATAAATTACTATACAGGACTAAAACCTGTAATAGTTTAGGTGGGATCTACAAAGTTAACTAGAATACATCAATAGTACATGTAAAATCCAGTTAAAAAAAATGTTTTACCCTGATACAAGCATAAACCTATATAAACATTTGCCAGCGTTAACTAGAAACAGTTATAATTGAATTATGTAAATTAATTGGAATTTACATAAATTTAATTTATTTTATAAAAAAAAATAATACAAAACATACGTATTTATATGCATACATACATTGGATATGTATATTAGAATACTAATAGTTTGCTTTGGTAGACTTATAATAAATTACTAAAATACATTCTCTTTCATCAACACAACTAAATATAATAACAGGAACTTTAAAAAATAATTTGATTATAATCAGGTACACATCTCTCACTCAAATCCATACAATAAATCAATTAGTAAACTATTAGAATGGTAAAATATAAAACATGAAATACTGTTCAATATTTTATTATCCTAATAGCAATCTCATAAAATAAATGTCTTATTGAATATCAGTAATTTTAGTAATTACATTTCTAAAGAACAGTGTGAACCATAGTTGAGTGCCATTGAATGTGTTTATCACATCATGTGCATCCTGATAGTTCTTGTTAGAAAGATGCCTGCATATCTGCAAAGTCTTCTCCTTCAAGTTTTCATCACAGTATGGCTGTTTCCACTGACGAGGGACATCTGCAATAATCTTTTCCATGTCTTCTCCAGAATTTAGCAAAATCTTGTGCAAGCTTGCCATGAGCTCTTCCAACTTAGGATCACTGGGACTGACAGGCAATGAGCTATCAGTTGGACTGAATATGGAAGACACAAATTTCCTCTGTGTTAACTTTGGCTTTGATGGAGTCAACATAGCTGTACCCAGTGGAGGAGGATCATTCCATCCAGGAGTACACTTTGGTGGTGGAGGTAATGACTTCTCTAAAGGAAGAAGCAATAACATTAAGTTTATCATTGTTTTATACAACTTTTACTGAAACATTACCTGGTTTACTTATAGTATCTTGTTTATTAGACATATTTAGGGAATTTGCAGCACAACTAGACAGAATATAATATCGGTGTACAATGTTGCCTAACTTGATAACTTGTTAGAACAATGGTTGTCATCAAGTCATACCAACATTACTTTATACTTGTGCTATCTGTTTGAAGTTTTATAGTTATTAATCAATATGTGATTTTTTCACAACTATTACCCCTTGACTATTTTAATATTAAATGTTATCAATTATTATTTAATTATTAGGATTGTTTGTATGTTGGTAGTTCGTAATTTGTCACCTGTCCATTTTTATCCAGTTTGTCATGTTATATGTTTTATGTCCTGTCAAACGTGTATTAATTTATAATTTCCTAAGTGTTAATTTTTGTTTAATTGCTTTAAAATTTGTTAATGTTTGATGTGTTCGCCTAGTGCTCTTTAATTCGTGCTTTGTTTTGAATTTTTGGTTTCTTTGTTTGTTTGCAACTGCTCTCTAAACGACTGGGATAAAATTATCCACTTGATGTTAACGTTAGTAAAATGAGCTCTATTGTAAAACCGTCAGCTCGTATACCTAAAACAACTCCGATTAGTGTCGATTATGAAATATCTAATAATGTCCTGGGATTGGGAATCAACGGTAAAGTGGTGGAATGCTTCTCGAAAAAAACCAAGGAAAAATATGCTCTGAAGGTAAAAATTATGTCCATAATATATTATAACATAACTCATTGTGCAATTGTAGGTTTTGCATGATTGTGTCAAGGCAAGAAGGGAGGTGGATTTGCACTGGAGGGCTAGTGGCTGCATACACATTGTTAACATTATTGATGTATATGAAAATACTTATAGCAACAAGAAATGCTTGTTAGTTGTGATGGAATGGTAATATTTTTATGAAATTATCAAATGCAAATGTTAATGTAATGTTATATCATTTAAGCATGGAGGGTGGAGAGTTGTTCCAACGCATACAGGACAAGCCAGATGGAGCATTTACCGAGAGAGGTAATATTCCAAAAAAAATAAACTTCTCAATTGTTACAATGTTCAGTCACAATTTATTTTGTAGAAGCTGCACGAGTCATGCATGAAATTTGTATTGCTGTGAAATTTCTACATGACACTCACATTGCCCACAGAGACTTAAAACCAGAGAACTTACTTTATTCTCTTTCTGGTCCTCTAGGAATACTTAAGCTTACAGATTTTGGTTTTGCAAAAAATACTTTTAACAATGCTACTTTACAGACCCCATGTTACACTCCATATTATGTTGGTAGGTTTTTAACAATTTAAGTTTCTCAACTAAAAATCATTACTCCGAAAATTTTATTTTTAGCTCCAGAAGTTTTGGGGCCAGATAGATATGATAAAAGCTGTGACATTTGGTCATTAGGTGTTATTATGTACATACTGTATGTTTAATTGAGTAGATTATACATGGAAATATTATATATTAATAACTTGCAGGTTATGTGGATTCCCTCCTTTTTATAGTAACACTGGCATGCCAATTTCGCCAGGAATGAAAAAGCGTATACGCACAGGACAATACAACTACCCAGATCCAGAGTGGCAAAACGTTAGCCAAGATGCTAAGGATTTAATTAGTGGAATGTTAAATATTGATGCAGATAAAAGGCTGACTATTGATGAAGTTATTAAGAACAATTGGATTGCTGTGAGTATACATCTATTACCATTATTTCTTAGCAATATCTATAAATGTTGGATCAGGATAGTACAGAGTTCTGGATGATTTCAGCAATATACTGCAGTGCCTCAAACACCGTTACACACGCACAAGATGTTGAAGGAAGGTGAAGAAATTTGGCCTGAAGTGCAGGAGGAAATGACCCGCTCTTTGGCTTCGATGAGAGTCGATTACGATCAAGTTCACATCAAGGCCCTGGAAAATTCGAACAATCCGCTGTTGAACAAACGTCGCAAGAAGATCTCCGTAACTGAAAATTAAGCGCATCAAAAAAAATTGCACATCACTTAATTCTTAAGTTTAACAATTTTAAATTGCTTCTAAATAGAAAAAAAAATGTTCATTTGACTTGTGTCTTGTTTTTGCCAAAGAAACTTTAAATCAAAATTAGAAGATTTTCGTCATTTTAATATATTCTTAATTTCGGCTAAAAGCCCGGTCAAATATTTGTATTGATAAAGCAAGAAAAAAAAAAGCAAGAAGTCATACTTTATATTAAAGCACATCTTTAGGAACTTTAGTGCCTTGATACAATAAGCATTATACATCCTAAGAATGTATTTAGATTACATACAATTATTTTTACATAGACACTTGTATTGTTATATTGTTGCTAGTAATATTCACCCAACCACTGTGTAAGTGTGGTTTTATTAATTATTTTTTTAATGACAACTTTTTGACTATGACTTTAACAAATTCAATTATTTAACAAGAACAAATAAGAATGGTCCATCTTTGATTTTCGACATGCCGCGATTAATTTACGATGATTACCAAAGTACATAAGCGAGTAATGTGATGAAATCCGCATTTCGTATTTGCATTTGTTTTCTTGAACTAGTTTTGTTAAGTTAATGAGAAGGGAAAACTTAAAAGAAAAACGCTTCCCCTCGCACGCGTTTCTATGGTGAATCAATATTGGAATGTTGTTTTTCATTTTCATTATAAGCTCATCGTCTTTAGAATAATATTATTTCTGTTATCTTATATTAAGATCATTTGACACGCAGAATGATTGTCAAAAGGTTGATATAGGGTGCAATGTTTTCTCGCCTTTCGCACAATACGAACGAAGAAAAATTGTACCGTCTCCCGCCATATAATTGTGTACATTTTGACTTATGCGAAGTTAAGTAACTTATACGAAGTATGCGCTTAAGCAAATCGGAAAGAGGATTGCAACAATGTGTTAAAGTATTATACGTTAATTTATTCTTTTATTAAAAAATAAAACAAAATTTTTGAACAACTATAAACTTACGCGCTGAATTAGTTTGTAAGAGGAATATATACTTTATTACTAAAAAAAAAGATGTTTATTGTTGAATAGAAATATTAATGAAATATATATATTAATATCCTATTATTGCATTATAATGATTTAATCTATTATAATTGGATTAGATTACCTAAATCAATATATCACAGATATATACAATCTGATTGTTTCAATATTTTCTTTTATCAAGATATTCGTACGTCCACAAAACACCTAACGCTTATCATCGTTTATGTAAAAGAAATTGAAAAGAAAGGTAAGATTAAATGTACAATAGTACAAGTTTAAAAAAATATGGTGACAGTAAATAAAATATATTCACAAAACAACTAACGCTCAATGTTCTATGTTATGTATTGGAAAATGAAAAGAGGAAAGATTATATCAATGGTTCTACAATGTTAAAAAATAAATCAATTTTTGTTGACAATATTTAAAATGTTTTTACAATATTATCCTCCTATATTTATTGAATAGTGTATGATGACAATATTGAAAGGTTTTCCTACAGTTGAGAGAATGTTTACCTTATTGACAGTGTATTAAGCATGTAAAAATATATATATGTGTAATTGATAATATATAATTATTTTCCTGAAAATTTATTATTTACAATGTTTATTGGACTGATTATGAAAATTATATTTTATAGTAAAAATGTCATATCATTGCACAAGAAGTAATGTTAAAAAATTGGAATGTTATTTGTTGAATACCAATTTTAATAAGTTTCTGTAAGGAAGGATGATATAAGAGAATTATGTCATTCATATGGATTAATTGTAGATATTTTTCTGCTACACAAATAGAAGATTGAACTGCCTAAACCGGTTTGTGTGGGATCCAAACACTAGTGAAATTATACATTCATGCACGATTTGTAAACAAGAACTAGCTATAAAAAAAGAGGTAATCTTGTGCAAAATGAGATAAAAATTTTGAGAGCAGGTTATGATAAGTACGACACCTAGCAAAATCCGCGTAAGAGACACAATTCAAAATCTCGCAAGGAAGGGTCACAGGACAGGTTGAGAAATGGTAAGGAGTGGCAAATTTTCATAAATTAATATGAAATCCTTTTAGGTAGGCGAGGGATTATAAACTTAAAAGGTGACCATCATATCCAGTATCCCGTACTTAGTATATATGCTAAAATATTATCACATTCCCATAGATACATTAATCAAAGTTCATACACCCGAAAACCGGTTGACGTTCGGAAAAAGATGCAAAGTTGTGGGAAAAAAGTGAGCCTCAACAAGATATTCTCGCATCTCCCAGAAAATCTTGTAGCGACCGATAGTATTAAATGAAATTGAAATATGACCGAAACCATAAATAATTATTATTAAAAATAAAAGTTACTAATTTTTTTTTAATTGAAAAATAATGTTCAATATTATAGGTAGATTGCTGGAAAATTTATTTGCTTTTCCTGTTTAATATCCATTTTTTCTTTCATTGTCACGAGTGATGCTACAGTTTTATAGCAATGTTGTGTTAATAATAATTTTATGTTTTTAAGATATTTCCGGTATTTTATGACGAAATTTACCGGTAATTTCTTGCCCGGTAAAACCGGTACTAGTTAATATATCTTAATTGGATACTCTTAATTTTAATATCAATTTAAGGATTTGTTTGATACTAAACCACAATATAAGTGGCAAATTATAATAACTTTATAGTTTCATAATTAAATATATGAAATCACTATTTAAATTATGACGGCACCGAATTTTGACAAACCAATCCCAAAAGCTTCATTCATTACGTTACATTCAAAATTAGTTTTTGCAACATTTCACATTATAAGTATTATTTAAAAAGTATTTCAACATTATATAAAATTGGGCTGGTAAGTTAAAAAAAAAACAATTATCTTATGAATAGCAAAAAGAAATTTGAATTTTAGTATGTGTTACATAGTCAATATGTAATACATGTTTTTAGTTTATGAATTGCCTAATCAAATTAAGACAGTTTTTTGAATGATCAGTGTTCTTTCCAACTAATTTGACTCTTATTTCCTGATAGTTCTAGATTATCCACATGTCTTTGTTATAAGATAATTTGGTGCAATAAAGGGTATTTTCTTTTAAATTATATAATTCGAAAAATTGGTTTTTGAGAATATGAATTAATTATTTGATTAAAAACATAAACATTTTGACAGAAAATCTGTCTGTTTAATGAAACAAGCTGAAAATTGGGAGGGAATTAAGTTTCATTATTAATTGATCATGATACAAAAATCGAATCATAAATCTTCAAGAAGTCCTGCCTAAAAAGGGAATTTTTATATTATACAGTGGAACCTCGCTCGCAAACAACTCAACTATTAATGAATTTGATGTTGCTATTTAAGTTACTTACACAAGATTTCCTGTGGTCTATTTCAAAAATGTGTATATTTATAGAAGACTCCCAAACCGTTTAAATATTATTATATTTGAATATTAAACAAACAAATAAGTTGATACAATATACTTCGCTAGATGGCGACAGCGTTAAGAAATGGTTATAATACCTCAAGTATATACGTTTTAATACGCTTTAAAACGGTAGCGACTTCTAATATGATTACTCTATTAGAAATATATTTCCATTGGACTCTAAATTGAAAGTGAACCTAACCTTGGACTCATTAATAAAATCTGAAAGATCATAAGTGCAATATGTAATCAGCGATTCTTTCCAGATACTAAAGGAAAATGGAAATCAAATTTTCCACTGTCTGCAATGCATATATTTGGTCCTTATTCAAATGTGGTGATTTTGATTAATCAACAAGGACGTTTCTCCGTCCTTTTTCCACTTGATGTGATTTGTTGATAATAAATGCATTACGCTTGCAAATCATTTCTATACGCATTCGTGCGTAACAAACTGTGTATAATGGGCATAAATAATAGTCGTTCGAAAAAACGTGTGCAGTTTTTGTTTCATGTTTCCTTTGTCACAATAATTATTGTATTCCTAGTGACTTGACATTTTTGTTTACGAAAGCAAAAATCATTATTATCAATATTAATTTCAAATGAACGCTAATATTATTAAATTGTATTATCATAATAGAAATCATAATAACGTGAAGTAACATCAAATATTAAACATGGACATGTAAAAGCTATGGCTTATAGTAATGTCTAAAATAATAGTATTAGTAATAAAATCTGTATTTCCTAAGAGGTTTTTCTCCAATCGTAGTGTTTAGATTAGTGTCTAAATCAATCCGTTTACTATAGTGTCATTCTGTTTTTATCTACTTAGAATTGTATACAAACTGAAATTCTTAATACCAATCCTTACCTACTTATCATGTGATAAAATAGAATAGTAGTGTTGTGTCCAACCATTATTATTATAATTGTTATTATTAATATAGTGTATTAACGAACTACAGACATCCACGGCGTCTCTTAGTCGCATTATTATATAAGCATACACATCAGCATAAAGGTATCTCTACCGTGATCCTAGTTTGATACACTTTAATATGAACAAAGAGGACCAAGCGTAAACATTCCCATTGATACTCCTATACCTTTATTCCGAATTCAAGTCCTTATTATAATGATCATTACACGTACAATCGTAATCGATCATCTTTTTCATATAAACAAATGCATAGGATTTTGTCCCGGTCTTATAATAAACAAAACCACCAAGGCCGAATCCCGTGGGAACGCTTAATCATCAATATATACAAGCCCTACTCCTCGTAATAATAAGAATTAACTTTGTAAGTAGAATAAGTATTTAGAATTAGTCTCAGTAAAACATTAATATGATGAGCATAGTCTCATAAAAACCTAAGATGAGCATAGTCTTAGCAGAAGACCAAGTAACGAATAAAGTTGTGTAAAACCAATTGAATTATTTAATTCCTACAACTGAGACTCCACAACGACAACACCAGACAATATTCCACTGTGTCCAGAATTCCATCCCTGGGACACGACAGTAGTGATGTCCATAAAGTTGCGGTATAAATATAAAATCAATATCCTGCTTCATTTGTTTCTAATTGAATTTCAATTAATTAGGGCTTCCCCGAACATGTCCTCTTTTCCATGCTCCCGAAGACGTCATACCGAATCTACGTATGAACTGATAAAATATAGTAGTCGTTATGTGCATAAGGTTGAGTCTGTTTAAAATCGATATATTGTTTTATTTGTTTCTAATTGAAGTTCACTTAATTAGCGCTTCCCCGAACATGTCCTCTTTTTTCATGCTCCAGGAGACGTCATACCGATTCTACGTATCATGTGATAAAATAGAATAATAGTTATGTATAAAATCGAATTCCGAAAATGTTCTTCTTTTTCATCCTCGGAAAAAAATTATATTATTTATATTTGCCTAGTAAATTATTTTTAACATTTAAAGAATATTGTTTGACATTTTTTCAAACATGATAACCTTAAATTAATTATATAATAATTTAACGTTTATGGTGGCGTAATACACATATTTTGAAACTAAAATTATCAAAATTAAAGGACTTGTAATTTGACAATCATTTGTACAGTACTTACTATTAATATATTCTGTCTTTTCTAGAAACGATCACAAGACAATTTCACCAAACAATTATTACAAAAGATGCAACTTTTCTTTTATATACAGATATTTAAAAAAAAAAATAATGATTTATCGAAACCGGTATATTTTTAACGGGAAAAGGACATGACTAGGGTATTTTTGCAAGGTCAAAAGAGTATATTTTACGAATGAAAGTTGCGTATCTATACTATGTTAAGTTAATTTATTTATGTCGGGCATTAAGTGTCAAAGGTCTGGTGATATATTCATTTATCTATATTATATTTGCATTCCTTTTCAGATTTTTTGGACCATGCATTTCTTGTAATAGACTTTGTTCATGTATTTTGAAAGTCTAATATAATCAAAATAATTTTTATATATTACATATTGTATTTTTTGATATTTGGCAATTGCATATTGCAAAGTAGTTGAGAGAAATTTAACTCGCTAATTATAAATAAATAACATATCATTTTCAACAGTAATTGTAAACAAAGTTTTTTTTATCATACATGTGCTGCAACACATCCTGTTTTGACATTGTTTTTCAAACACGATATCTAGAGTAAATGTATTTTATAAACAAAAATCAAATTTATTTATTTAAGAAATGTGAATTCGATTCAATTCCATGAATCGATTGAATTTCAAGTTGTTTGACTTTTGAATTAACTATCCTTATTAAGCAGGGCCGTTCAAAAAAAATTTAATACCTTTTTTGCATACCTTTTAAATACGTATTTAATTGCGGCTCGCGAAAAATTTCAAATTTTGAAAAATGGCTCGGAGCTTGACCACCCCTGTTATATAAACTTTACTTGAAAAGTGAGATCGTGGAACTATGCGAGGAATAACAATATTGATGGTTTATTTTACAGCACCATGATTTAATATTAAAATCAGAGAATGGAACCGGAACGTAAAATTACTCAATTGAAAAACCGGAACGAAATTAGAATAACGGTTCATTTCGTTTCAATTTGTTTCCATGTGGATATATCTAACTTCTAGACATTTCATTTTAATCACAAAACAGTTTTATAAGATTTTTTGTCTGAATCCGGTATCATTCGGAACTTTTTCACATTTTTATTTTGTGATAAAAAAAACTTTGTCGGTATATTTGATGTTCGATTCAATTTAAATTTTAACTTTTACTAATTTAAATTGTTTTTCTTTTTAATTTTAACCGGAACTGAACCGAACCGAAATTTTTAGACCAACAGGAACTATAAACATTTACTAGGAACGTAACCGTAAACCGAAACGAAATTAATTTCGGTTCGACTCTCTGATTAAAATAAATACGCAATGTACTTTTATCTATAAATCATTCATTTTTAAGCATTAAAACACTAGAATTTATATTATATAGAATTTAAAAGTCTAAAACAATCAGTTCGGATTCACTATAGTTCGGTTTGAAAATTTTCAATCAAACTAAATTTGTATGCATACTTTTTTTTCACTTTATTCATTCAAGTCTCTTTTTGATCAGTTTTGCGGTTTCATTTTTTTCTATATATTTAATTTACTTCCTCGATTATCGGACAAATTAAATAGGATGTTGACGAAATCGATTACCGGGAATATTGACTTTTAAAATGTATTCTTTTCCGGCCTCTCATTTCCATTAGACTGGCGTTCATTGGCAACAATTATAGTAGTTAGAAATTTGATTATTACTTCTTATTCACAACTGTATATGGATAATTGCAATTGTTTACAGAATTTTAGTATTGATTAGTAGTTGTTGTGACTGTTAAAAATTCTATTGAGAAAGGATTTGAGATTTGTTATTTTGGATATGCTGTACATAAGAAAGTAATTATAACATTTATCTATAATTAATACTGTTTTATATATAGACGATATTAATTATGGACTGATAATATTTATGTATATTTTAAGAAAATGTTGACTAAATGAATAAGAAATCAGAAGCTTCATCAAAGCATTGGAATTATTCCAAAAGAAACATTGACACATGCAGATTTTCAAATATTCAATTCTATATTTATATAACTGATGCGAAGTTGATGCGAGTTTAAATCTTCTGTCTCTTAAGTTTGCCGACTACTGTACTATACTAATTAGATTTTTCAATTATCCAAAACAACTAGAAAACTGTATTTTTCATATATTATATGATTACTTCAGAATATATCTTCTACTGCGTAGCAATTGCTGTTAATGTTGATGTAATAATAATCAATTATAGTGGTAGATTTACAATCTGCTTTCACCTTTTATCTCCGATTTCCATAACAGTTTTTGTGTTCCACAATATTATGTACAATACCGAATTATAAATTTTGTAGCTAAGTTATACATGGATATGTAGTTTCATCTACATTAAATACTATCACTACTCGACTTATGACGTGTTTATTTTGCACATAAGGGCGTAAGTCGTTAGAATATCATAAAAAATATACATAAAAAATAATAGATTTTCATGTTTAAGTGTTCAATCTTCAAATCGACTTTTCTACTTATAAAACGATTTAATTTCATTCGACAGAAATATTTTTTGAAAAAACGAAGATTATATTAAAACATTAAAAGTAAATTAAAAATAGCAAACATTGTAGAAAGTAGTGCGAATAGCAACAGTAGCAAAAATATTAGAAAGTTGTGAACAAAGCATTTACAATTCAATTCATTAATTGATATTTATTTTTATTGATCTCAATAAAATTTAGCAATAATTCTGTTGTAATATTTATTAAAAACATTCAGACATGTTAAATATTATTTTAGATTGTTGACACGCCCATGTTAAACGGTTCGTGACCGCTGAATACTTGATTATACGTATAATTATCTCAAAAAACGTGTCTACATGTTTTTTTTGAAATAATAAATATTATTTGGATTCTCACTTAAAAATATGTTTATATAAATAATGTTTTTTGGAATAAACATAAAAAAAATAAAGACAAATTTATATTATAGTAAAATGTTATTATGTAAAGCACCATCGTTGTTTAAAATAAAGTGCGAAATATATAGATGGGTCGAAGATTAGTTTAATCCGTTCAAAAATTTCCGGTTTTTTACTCGTATAGTGAAACATATACAAAAATACACATAATATGCAAGTTTTAAAAATGATGTAGCAGGCGCGCAATCCAGGACTTCTCTCTCATCGCCACTCGTTATGTGAAACGTCGCTCGTTCAACGAGTCACTTTTCTTACAATTCATTTTGCTCGTTAAGCGAGGTTCCACTATATTCTAAAAAAATCTTTTAAAATAAACATAATGTAAAACAAATGTAAAAAATGAAAGAATATAATTATCACAAACAAAAATACATTTAAATGCACAGTTTTTAATAATTTTGCTATTTGGTATAACAGTTTATACTTAACGTATCAAAAAACAAAACTATTCTCTAATTTAACTATAGTAGATCGGTATTTTATTAAATAGTTATTTCATGAAATATAGTATTACACACTTAATATAATTTAACATTATTGCATTATTTGTAAAATCTTTTAGAAATAAAGAAATATAACTCGAAGAATAGGTAAAACTATAATAATAACAATATTTTTGTTAAATCTTGAATGTGTTGAATCTTGAAATCATGAAAGTTTCATAAAATATCGAAATAAAAAAATTAATATTATTATCATCTGACCCAATTACTCTCAGAGAGCCCTAAGATACTATTTTGAGTAACTAAAAGAAAAAAAAACAAATACACAATCTTTTTATTTAGTTGATGTCCTAGATTTTAGCTATACAATAGGTCTTGTTTTTATTGACTTTTCTGCTTAAAACGTGATCGCGATCGACTTTTTAAGTATATATCGCGATATACCTGATCTAAGAAATAATCAGTTTAACTATTCACAATTGAACAAAATTCGCTTCGCGGTCGACGCGTTGGCCGTTTCTGTAACAGATCAATACTTTACTTGGCTATTAGTTACTTTCCTTTTTATGCTTTAGAGATATAATGATCAATGTAGATTTATGGGTATATATCTATATTTAGATACTGTTAATCATTACAACGAATATATTTGCTAAAAGCGATCTGATAACAGAATAATGGATGGATTTTACAATTTTACTTTTATAGTAATTACGGTAAATTGGAAAGTACCACAACGAATGCAAATACTTCTTTTTTAAATATATTCCACTTCCACTATATTAAAATTGTTATACAATGCTTCTATATATATTATATATCTCATACATTGCAATTATCATTTTGCAAACCGTGAATATCGATTATTTTTAAATATTAGTATGACGCAACTACCATAATCATTATGATTGAAATTATGTATTTGCAATAACTGGTATAATCATTTTGTTCTTCGTTTGAATGTGAAACAATTGTGAGTTAAAATTCAGACTTTATAATTAAAGGGGACGCCTTTCTGCTGTATATAAAAATCGGATTGAACGTAGTCTATTCAGTCTGCGGCCCACAGTTGACGCGTGTTTGTTATTTCAATTATTCAATACATATTTTTTTGTATAGTTTTTGTGTGTTCTTATTTTTGCCTCGTTCTCCTCTCTCTTTCTCGCTGTGCTATATAAACATATATTCGTTTTTGCCATCAACAGGCGATTTCCAATTGAAAGCTGCTTTTACTGCACGCAACTAAAAGTGAGAGTGGATTCTGGGTGTTTTCGAGCAGCAAGGATGTCTCTGGTGAGTTGTTTTCTTTTGCACTTCCGCCAAGGAGGCGGATTTGGTTTTGGGCGCATTCAGTCGGTAGTAAATAAGTGTTCGTCGACATTAATTTATCGCAGTAGTTAGGCCGCAACCTAATTAGGTTGATCTCCTTTGCTGGTCCTTTTCGCTGTGCTGTACTTCTTCCTCAAGTAGTCTAAAGTTTTAAACTTACCACGGGCAACATGTTGAAGGTTCGCAATTAAAAATATCATTTTTTAAATTAGTCCCAGTAGCCAATTGCGGGTTTCACAGCTTGCCGAGAGGTGGGGCTTTCATGAGGTCGTCTTCCAAATGGGATATCGGGGAATAGATAATGAAGGGATTTACTTGTACGCAATAAGGAAAACCTTCTTCAAGAGAAATTCCGATTTGTAATCATGCGCTTCGGTAATTAAATGATATCCGAATGGTTATACGACGAAGACGCTTTCTTTCTCACTTCTTTCCTTCATTAGTATAATCGTGTATGACGGTTACGTCCCACGTCAGTTTAGTGAGTACGACCGAGAAGTGAAGTTGACCTACTCGTGCCTACATACTTTCCAATTCATCCACCTTTTATTAAGACTTGTAAAAAAATCGTTACAGGGTCTCACGAAGCAGCTGACGAGGTTACATCAAGTTTCCCACTACCGTAAGTCGCGTTGCATAACTGTTATATAATAGACGGTTCTATATACTGACTTTTATTTACTAATCCATGCGTTTCTATGCTTAGAGTTAACGAAACACTTTACAACCATGCCTTGTCCGTTTTTGACGAAGCTTACCACAGCGTATGTGAGGAATTATGCTCCCACATTATTGAAAATGTACGGAAGCCAATGCCCAGTCATGTCGCAATCTATGAGCAGCATGGCTTCAGCGAGTAAAGGTAAGAAATCACCACGAACATAGCAAGATTATGAAAAATTAACGATATACCATCGCCCATCAGAGCTGGAGGAACCGGATAATTCAGTTACCAAGAAATGCCCATTTTTAAATGAAGTAACTGATATGGTGAAGGAAGCTAGTCAAGAAGACATCATAGAGCTGGATTCAAAGCCAGTTAATGGTATAAGCTCGTAAAAATATTGCTGTGGTATCATTTACATTGGATTTTCATTTTAGATGTATTCCAATATGATAAGTTTTTCCACCAGCAAATTTTAAAGAAGAAGAAGGATCATTCATATAGAATCTTCAAGAAGGTGAACCGTCTCGCCGGCCCTGGCCAATTTCCCAAGGCCGTTGAGTATTCTTGGGGTGAGAGACCTATTACCGTCTGGTGCTCAAACGATTATTTGGGCATGTCATGCCACCCAGAGGTGAAAAACGCGGTGCGCACAGCTCTTGATCAATACGGTGCTGGTGCCGGTGGTACCAGGAATATATCAGGAAATTCGATCTACCATGAAAAACTTGAAAATACCCTTGCCGCTTTGCATCAAAAGGAAGGCGCTCTTTTATTTACTTCATGTTTTGTTGCTAACGATTCAACTCTCTTCACCTTAGCGAAAGCACTACCAGGTTATTATAAGTTAAAAGTAATAGTTTGGGTAGATAGTTAATATTGGTTATTGTTTAGGTTGTCATATTTTCTCGGATGAAGGTAACCATGCCTCCATGATTCAAGGTATTCGTAATAGCAAAGTACCTAAGCACATCTTCCGCCATAACGACCCTGAGCACCTAGAGGAGCTCCTGAAAGCCGTCGACGTCAATGTACCGAAAATTGTTGCTTTCGAAACTGTGCATTCCATGACCGGTGCCGTCTGTCCCTTAGAAGTAACAAAGACCCAACTTAAGCACGGAAATCTGTTACTAAATAATTATGTTTTAAGGAATTGTGCGACATCGCCCACAAGTACGGAGCATTAACTTTTGTAGATGAGGTTCATGCTGTTGGACTCTATGGAAATCACGGCGCGGGCATCGGGGAAAGAGATAACCAATTGCATAATATGGACATAATATCTGGTACATTGGGTAAGGCCTTCGGTAACGTGGGTGGTTATATAGCTGGTAGTGCGTCTCTCGTGGACATGATCAGATCATACGCTGCTGGTTTTATATTCACCACTTCACTACCACCGACAGTGTTGGCGGGTGCCGTCAAGGCTATCGAGATATTAGCTTCCGATGAAGGCAGGGAGTTGCGAACACGCCACCAGGAGAATGTCAAATATCTAAGAAATACCTTACTTAGACATGGTTTCCCTGTAGAGCATACCCCTAGCCACATCATCCCAATTAAAATCGGTAACCCTCAGCAATGCAACCAAGTCTCGGACATGCTTATTAAGCAAAAAGGTCATTACGTCCAAGCAATTAATTACCCGACGGTCGCGAGGGGACAGGAAAAACTGCGATTGGCTCCGACGCCTCACCACACCAAGGAACTCATGGATATGCTCGTCTCGGATCTAGAAGAAATATGGATCAAGTTAGGACTCTCATTCACCGGCCTTCAATGTAGCAAAGTAAGTTTACTTATAGTGTACCATCTAATGTATACATAACTAATCTCATTTCTTTTAGGAGTGTAAGTTTTGCAACAAGTCTATTTTGTTCGACTACTTCGAAGAGCGCACCAGGAAATGTTCAAATGAGATCATTTGCAATATACCGAATTGCCCACAAATGGTAGCTGCTCTCTAATCGCGCAGCCTTATTTCACATCAGATAATATATAAAGTAAATTATTTACATTTTATTTTAAATAAACAAAAGTATCAATTTATATTCGTAATTCATGAGTTATAACATTTATTTTGTAAACATTTCGCATGAATTCTAACATTCTATCTATAAAATCTCAAGTTTCGTTTATGTTTACTAGAATCCACAATTATATATTGCTTTTAACAAACCAAATTAAGCGACGACCTACTTATCAAGGTAAGTATCATAACGAACGCTTTAATCAATTTATGCCAACAACAATTATTCAAAAAGTTTTAATTCATCAACAAATATTTATAATTAATAACCGCAGATATATAAAGCTATAATTCAAAAAAAGAAAAATATTTTTTACTATAACAAATGTTATGTTAACTAGGAAACTCAAAAAGTTGATTTTTAAATGACGTAATATAAAATATTCATATAAAGTTTACATTTAAGTTTTTTTTTGTATTCTATTTTAATTGATACATTCTCGACATAACTTCATACTGTTTGGTTGTTAAATTTGGGTTTGTTTAAATTGCTGACCTTGAAGATGTTTTCCTCCGTATTAGCAGTGTAAAAATAGCATTTGTTTAATTACATTGATGGCTCATGAGTTGATGAGATACTAAACGTAATTTATGATTGTATAGAGCAAAATGTAAGCATTCGTACAACAAATATTATTGGGTTGGTGCATAATTATCAGTCGTTTTTTAAACAATATTTATTATGAAAAAAGAAACATAAAAATGTTACAATAACATTTTTAAATGATTATTGGTCAGCATCTACTTCAATAACTGCTTCCCATTTTCTTGGAAAACAGTCAATTTCAAAGTAAACAAAACAGAAATGTTTATTAACAAAAAACCAGAATTTAAAAACGTCTGATAATTATGCACCAATAAAATTAACATAATTAATTAAATATAATATAAAACTTCTGTTATATATGTGCAATAAATATAGTACTTTTATTTCAACTTGTTTATGTTTTATATAAACCTGTCCACTTAATCTTCTGGACAAATTATAATATTTTAATTGGCTCCATGTCATAATTTATGAAATTTTGTATCATACGTTAATAGCATAGTTAGTAGTACAAAATTAAAAAAAAAAAAACATTTAACTCGGTTGGAATAATAATAAACATAATTTATTGCATATTTGCTCGTACATACATACAAACAGGACTTGCAATTATCATAAGTTAAGAAATAACATTTTTTTTTGTTACAAAATTGTACTACATTTTAACTTTGAATATTCGAGCACGAAAGATAAAAAACTTTGAAGTAGATTATGAAGATTTTAGTATTAGGTAACCACATCCTAATATATAAATCATTATAAAAATAACCAATTGTATCATAGGATAGATTAGTATCTACAAATATAAAGACAACGTAACTTTAATGTTATACTCGTATGATATATTTTGTCGAAGGTCTAAGCAATATCAAGAGAGGCCACTGATCAATCTTCTAGTGATTGACTGATACTAAATCCAAATTTATTTCGCATGATTTAGAATAACTTGTTAAAAAAATAAGAATTATATTTTATACTTAGCGTACTTATTTATTAAATTTAATGACGTACAGAGCTGTCTATAAAGAAAAGATGTCACTATTATTTTAGCTGTGAAGATTCTTTCAGTTAAATTAGAGTTATTTTTAAGAATTTAAGATTATTTTTAATTATAGTTCCTACTTCATTCATTTACTATATTACTCAATATGTTTACAAAATGTATTTGCCTTTTCTTTGTTGCTTTTTCTTTATTTTATCAGATTCGACATAGTTTCTTTTTCGGATTTTTTGCTTTTAATACCAAGGTACCAGGTATTTTAATTTGTGACAAAGGACTAACAACCGAAGTCTTTCAGACAATAAATATTGTTATTGTGTATTTTAATAAGTAATAATAATATTTATAGCAACAGTAACAAAAAATATAAATCCAATTATAACACATAAACCCTATATTTACTTACCTTCTTTTCGCCCATTTTAATAAATAATTCTATATTTAGAACTTCCTTCTTTACTATGTCCTTGGAACTTTACCACTGAGGACTCTCGGCTAACACTATTTGGGGTCTTTGTACTAACACAGTATGGGAGTCCTGTGCTAATACAGTTTAGGGCCCTCTCGACTAACTTTACTTGGAGACCTTTGATCAGGGCCCTGGGCAATAACTCATAAGTATCTTACCTAAATCCGCCTCCAGTCCTTCTTGACTTGTTTGGTCTGAAAGAGTTATGGTTTTACTTCAACACTATATTAATATATTCTTCACAATTGCACCAGTGTATATGTAATTGCCTATATGTTGACCATTAATGTGTAATAAATTTCAAGATAGAGTATCACAAAATACAAAAGGTCACGACTCCGAGGAATCATATGTTTAAAAAAAAACGATGCAATTGAAATAACCGAAAAGCATCAATTAACTGAGTCGTCGATTTTAAACCATTTATTTTAACAAAATTAGAAAAATATACATCCATTTATTATAATTATTTACCTTATATTTTCCAAGACATAATTAATTTATTTACAAATGTTTATTTGTCCTAATTTCGAGCAAAGGGCTACTGCCATAAGTATTTCTTCCTAAAATGCTTAATTTATCATTTAAACCAGGAAACAGTGTATTTATTTGTGGTAAAGTGCTTAAGCATACTGTAGAATCTAGTCATACTTTACATCTGAATAACATTCAAAATATAAGAAATTAAATTCACTTCCAGATGGCCCAAACAATAGGATTTGAAAATATTGATGAAAATAATATTAGAAATTTATTGAATGCAGAAGATTCGATGACAGAAACCTTGTTAGCAACAAATAAAATTAAGAAGAAATTAAGAATTAAAAACGTTTTATTTTTTTACTAAAATAAATCCTGATGTAGCAAGTAGTATTATTTTTAAATGCAATTATTCCACATAAGTAATTGTTTGCATTTTCGTATGCATTATATTCGATAATCGAAGTACTGTACTTAAATTATCAAACATGGTTAATTGTGTTTAATATTTAGACATTTTATATAATCCCGGCTATAGTGGCTGGTGACAATAAAAACAATTGGGAATAAATTACATAAATTCATACAATTATATATTTTATGGCAGAAGGTCCGTACTTCTTTGCAATGTTTATTAATTCTGGTATTATCAAATTGTTACCCATGATGTTTTTTAGGAGTTTGTTACATCTTCAAAAAATAAGTTACAATAAACCACGACTGCGAATATTATTGGAATTTTCGAGTTTTTTTTACTGCTTTTTCATGAAATAGAGACTTTTTGCTTTAATTCATAACTAATTAATTGTACAAACTAAGATAATTTTTTCACAAAACTATAAAATTGTGTCTGATATTTCGTATCAAATTTCCGGAAAAACTACATATTTCTAATAGAAATAAAATTTACTATCAATATTCTTGAGGATCAAGATCAGCAAACTTCGCTGAAATAAAGTGCTTGTAGTGGGGTTTTTCACACTGCATAATAAATGGGAATATGTTTAAATTTGCTAAATTGGATACAATAATTTTATAAATCATCAAAATGAATGAATTATGAATAATATATTTCATTCTATTGAAGAATATCAACTTTTATTAAAGTAATAATGAATGTTTAAAATGCTATTATTATTATATCATAATTTTATATTGTTTTTTTAATGTTTATATCACCTTTTTTATGATGATAGAATCTGATCTGCCGTTTATTTTCTACATAAAAAGATACGCTTTAATTGTGTAAATAAACTAATTTATTCTCTTTTATTTTATCTAAAATTTGCTAATAAAACAAATAGGAAACAAATTATTATTTTGTATTAGTTTTCTTGTACTTTGTCGGATAACCTAACGTCTTTATAGACCTCCCATACAATCGACTTAATAATTATAACTCTTCTCTACAATTCAATTTTGTTTGAGTTAAACGTGCATTAGCAGTTAAAGATATTGTAAGATTTTGTGATAATATGCAGGGTCTCATAAGATGATAACTTCGAAATATTGGACTATGTACCATAATAACTTGGAAAGACCACTGTTATTGTCTGTTCATGTCTAGAAAATCGCAAAACATGTTTTTGAAACTTATACATTTAATTAATTGCATTTCAACTTCCTGCAAACACATTTTGAGAGAATATTTGAATTTTTAATACTTCTAAAGATAAATATAATTAATATTTTTTAACACAGTTGATTTTGGTAAATTAAATTATACGTTATTTTCTTATTTTTTTACGCAATTTTTATATATAATAACTCCAGCCTAGCTTATAAATATAACTATTTTTACATTCAAATTTTTCATGTTTAAAACTTACCTTTTTCAGATTCACGTGGAAGTGCTTGATTCTACTTGGATCGTATATTTATTAGAAAAACTTTTGTTTCAATATTACAAAAACGAAATTCCATGACTGCGAAAGTTAAGTATAATTTATAAACCACAACATTGGATTAAGTGTATAAGACGCACCTTTTTATAGAGATATCGTCTTAGAACTGACTTGACTATTGAATCTTATGGTCTCTTATAGATCACGGTTTCCAAAACTGTGTTCCGCGGAACACTGATGAAAACCTGAAATAAAATAATTACTTAATATTTAATGAATGTTTTTCTCATTTTTTTTAAATTTTATTGATTATACCTACCTCAAATAAGTTGTTCCGTGAAAATTACAAGATTAGCTAAGTGTTCCGTTGAAGGAAAAGTTTGGGAACCCCTGTTATAGAAAATAATATAAATTTGTAAAAATTGTCTCATATGTTTTGAGTGAGTGTTGTCTTTCGGAAAGTAAGGTAAATATAAAAAAAGGACTCAAAATATTAGGGTTTACATTTATTTCAATATTGAATAAGTTTGAAAAGTATAATAATTAGGAGTTTGTTTAAATAAAATATAATTATTGTAATTTCTACTAATTAGCAATTTTTATACATAGATACATACAAGTTAATATATATTAATTATGCAGTTTGTTTAGCAATTTTCATTGGTAGTAGTATCTAAAGAAATGTTATTACACAAATTACCCAAATGTTATATATACATATTTGTGTAATTATTACTGAGATACGAATATAAGCAATTTTTGGTAGGACTTGTATTTTTGCAACAACAAAAAAGGTTCAACTCTTGTGTAGGAAAATATATCTTACAATGTGAGCATTTCAAAAGGAGTTTATCGGATAGGTCGTAAGCAGATGTTCCCGATGACAGGTGTCCGAATTACCTTCAAGTAGCCACTTGCTGTTTACGTACACTGGCTATACTCGTTCGCCAGATTTAATCCGACTGTCGGACCGATGGCGCTCAACCAGGAAACAAGAGGATTTTTACTAAACAAAGAATAATAGATTAAAAGAAAAACTTTAGTTTATAATGTATGTTAATCAACCTGTTTGAGCAGAAATCCATGAATTCTGAAGTTTTACAGGGATGCAAAGTAAAGAAAGGTCTCTGCAGAACAGGATGATCCTAGATAGAGAATAGAGTGATCCCATTAGAGGCGCTAGATAAAAATAGAGCATCATCGCGATCTTACCATCTGAGTTAAAACTAAGACCGGTTCGCCGTCGAAGCCCAGAACATGTATGCATTCGTTTAACTGCAGCATAGAACCATCTGTAAGATGCAACGCAATTATAAGCCACCACCGCATTGGTTGGTCGTGCATAAAATATTGTAATCGTAGTGTATTTATAGCATGCAACTCGCTTCTGACCTACCTGTTCTAAAGACATTGAAGCATAATTTGGGTACGCCGTATGACAAATCGTAGACCACATTGTACTCGAATAGAAGCAACGCTTCCTCGAAGAGGCGAGGTACCTTTTTCGCCAGGTACGCCCCATTTTCGGTACCCTAAAACCATGTAACCATCTTGCTCACAGCTGCACATTCATTTTACTGTAGATTTTACCGTTTTTCCAAGAATCGCCCAACCATCTAGTAGCTCATCGGACAGCGATTTCATTTGTGAAAGGTGCTTACTAAATTCCTCCCAGTCGAGCATACTTCTGCAACACAAACAATAAATAATATTTCTATTTTATTTAACAATATTATTCAACCCATCTAAGATCAAATGTTTCTATAATTCTGAAAATCTCCAATTAATTTTCTTTCGGCACAATTTTTTTTATAAATATATTTTATGTCCCCATTAAATATCACATTTAAAAAAAGATTGAGATCAATAGTCCTTTGTATATTGTTATACTATAAATTATGTTTACTATTATTAATATATAATAAATATGAAGTATTTCATATGAGCTATTTAAAATATATTAAAGATGTGAAAATCGGTTTCCAACTTATGTAAATTATATTACACGCTCTCAATTTAACAGTACAGCAATAATAGTCCGGGCAATCTTTTCCGCCAATATCCCGGATCGTTTGAATCATACCAATTTAAAACCACATAAAAATAAACCGTAAAGAGAAACTTAAATTTTTTATCGAATCTGGACTATGCGAGGTATTGCTGTATACTTTTAGTTACTAAAAAAAATGACTGTAAAACGACTACTAAAGTATATGTATTTCGTCCTAATCAAAAATTATTAAAGACAATGAAAGAACCTTAGTGTTGTTTTTTAAAGCAACAAAAAATAAATATTGTGAAATAAGATTTTCATTTTTGTAAATCATTAAAGATGATTCAATTAACCGCAGTCAACCATTATAATTCTCTTTGGAAAATCACAAAACAATAGCTGTTTGGTAATTTGCATAGTAAATGGATAATTTAAACATTGCTATTAAGGCTAGATGGTCTCATTTAGTAAAATCTAGTCATTAAAAGCAATGGTCTAAAATATAGACTTTTGCTTTTAGACTCAAATGTATACTTTAAACATGTACATATGGAAATGAATGAAATTAGCAAACTATTAATGGAAATATTAAATAAAATGTATAGTTTATTATTATAAAGATTATGTTTGTTTCGTCGTTTGGATATTTTCGGATATAAATAATTAAAGACTTGGTCTTATAATTCTACATTCACAATGAAAAGTTCATAATTGCCAGGTTTGGTCATCGAGAAAAGAATATCGCCGCTAGAGAAAGTAAAATTTCATGAAAACACTATTGAAGATTAACCTGGAAATACTTCATTCTAAAGCAATTGAAAATAATTATGGAAAACAACTAGCAATTCGAGCATAGAAACTAAGAAACATTATTGATACAATATGGTACAAATGAAAACTCCTGTAGAAGATGAACTAGCATAGAATAGAGAACAAACTCTATTTAAAGTATAATACATATATAGTTATATAATAAATATGACAATTTTATGTTTTAATTCTTCAATTAAAATTATTGTCTTCAGTCTATTATTTTAATATCGTCTACAATGGATAACAATTTAAATTTTGTTTGCAACTGTAGTAACATTTACTAAATTAATGTTAATTATTAAGTTTAATTAATAATTAATTTAACAATTAATTAATTTGAGTTAAGTATAAAACAACAATATATCAGTTTAACATTTGATTTACTTAAGTTCTATAAAAAAAACTCAATTTCACGAGCAACAATATCATCATAAAAATATGTAAATATGTGTAATAATTAATAATACAATAACATGTATATATAAATTACCATTGTTTGTAATTTAAAAAAAAAATCGATATCGTTTTAAGAAATATGAAATATTTATTGTATAATGATCGGTTAACGTTTTTAAACATATTTTTTACATAATCTAAAATGAAGTTTTTAAATTAAATAAAAAAAACATAATCTGCAGCAGTTTGATTTAGTTTCATTTTTGTTACTATGTTATTGTGTCAAGTAGATAATTTGTTGCAATAAATATTATTATTTATTTAAATATATAAGTCATTAACATGTGCAATTTGTGAAGTTATTTTTGTATTCTCAATACCATTTTATTAAGGGAATTGATATAATTAAAGAAATATTATAAGATTATAGGAATTATAATAATGAAGCCTTTGAATCAAATTAGGAAATGTAACTTCGATAGTCACATTCACTAATAATTACAAAAATTCAACGAAATCGAAAGTGCATTATCATTGTAGTAACCATTGAGTCTATTATAAATGTACTAGTTTATTTTCACCAACAGTAAACAGAACTATGATAACCGCACTCATAAATAATTCCAATCACCAATGTGAAACAAGCACACTGTAAATGACAATAGTGCGTTTATCTTGGAGTTAGTAATGAATATTACAATTAGTCAATCAAATAATAAGTAATTACTTAAATATCATTCATAAAACGTTAATGAATTAGATCGAATTAATAATTTCAATCATTTTTTGTAGTACATTACTAATGAAGGTAACCGTAGGAATCATAGATGTCGTAGTCATAAATAATTCCAAACACCAATCGCATTTATAAACAAAATGCATAACAATTGTAAGTGCGTTAACCTTGGAGTTGCAAACGTAGATTACGAATAGTTTACGCTGTTAATACACCAACATGAACAATTTTTTTTTAACAAAATTATTCATCAGATCTCGGCAAAATGAAAAAAAACGTGAATAAATATTTGTTTAGAACGGAAGAACATGCGTGTATGCAATAATTTATTACTTTTTAATTATGAAAGTTCTATAATTAATGTAATTCTGTTCCATTATTATTTTGCGTTTTATTAAAGTACATTTATAATATTATCATCTAACACATTGATTCCCATAGTGGTCTATATCAACCCCTATGGGTCTACGTCAGCGAAAAAAAAAATTGGGGGTCCATGAAATGAAAATTGGGGGTCTACCCAAAACCAAAAAACATGGCAAGGGGTCTACGACACAAAAAAGTTTGAAAACCTCTGATCTAACAGAACCGGTTTATTGAACGTTTTAGTTACTAAAATTTATATATATTTAAATAAATTATATATTTCATTAAAAACGATAACATATTTACTTGAAATCGCAATGGGCATAAGTTTATTAGAATAAATATCATTAAAACTGAATATAAAATTATTATTTGAGATCCATAAAGACAGTTTTTCAGTCAATTTTATGTCAAAGTTATTGCAAGTTATATTTTTTTACTGATTTCATAATTTATAAATTGTACTCTATAAAAACAACTTTTGTTTTAATAAGTAAAAATAATTTGATTTTTTTTTTCATTATTTAATTAGATTTATATAAGTTTTTTTTTCTATAAATTCTACTTATGTGAACATTTAAGTTCTAATCTATAAATACATAAATTAACAAATTAAGAAAATAAACTATGAAACAAATTAAAATTTTCATGTTGTTTTAAAATAATGTAAAAACAAGGTCATCTACACTTTATTTTGTAACCCGTAAATTATCGATATGTTTCTCTTCGGCTTGCGCAGTAATTCAGTACGATTTATTAAAAAAATATTGATTGTGTGATTATTATTCTTATATTTAGACTTTTCGGGACAAGACGGTATGTATATAAATAGTATCATTTGTACTTTAAATAGAATAATGAGTTTTATATCCAGACACATATAACTACCAATTTAGTTGAACATTCACCATAATATTACTGGTATTAAAAATATTTATGCGAGAAGAAAATTATTGTTATAGGAAAAGCTTCGTCAGTCTCCCTATATTCAATTACCTAGTATTTAGTTTAAATTATAATGATAATAGTAATTATTTCACGTGAAAACAGCGAATGGTCAACGACGCAACGGATTTCCAGAGCAGCACTAATAATTACAAATAAAAGTAAATATGAGGAACAGGTTTTACAAGTAGAGAAAAAACAAATGAATGTTTGTAGCGTTTGTTTTGAATTCATTACAATTGACATGTCAGAATACTGATTCATTTTTCGTCCACTCAAAACAATCATGCCTCTGTTTGGTGTTAACATAATTTCAATTACGAAAACTGATTTATTTATTCCTCGTAATTACATATTGTAAATTTATTTATTTTATTTAATAATTATTAATAATTATTTTATTAATTAATTATTAATTAATTGTTTTATAATTTTTAAATAAATATTCATATATTTTTTTTTATAAAACTTTAGTTGATATAAGATTTAATAAAGTAACATTTTATACATAAAAAATACAGTTTTTATAACCATGTAATATTTACTTTTCATTACTATTGCTGTGTATTCTCAATATGGTCACTGTTTTACATAATATTATTTATAGATAAAACAACTGAATTTGAAATTTCATAAATATCATTTATATTTTAAATAAAATACTTATTTATTTATACTTTTAGATAAATTTATAAAATAATAATTTGTGTATTTTATTTTTGAATACTGAATGAAATATAAAATCTATCTAAATATTAATTATGTAATAAATCCTATTAAAAACATGTAAAGTAACAAAATGTAAACAATAGTAATGAAATAAATTGATCGCTTGAGCCATACACTTACCATTATAAATATCCAACATTATGTAATTAATTGCATAAATAGGAGGCATGTTCAAATCAATAAATCAACGACTCAAAAGTTCTCATAAGAAATAAAAGAATTTAAAGAATATGATTTTAACATATAAAGGCATCAACTGTAAATTAAAAGTAAAATATTATTATGACTTATGGAATTCTAGTAATAGTAGCAGCAAAGGCACCAAAACATTAAAACAATTCAACAAGTGAAATACTGAAGAACATTGCTGACTTACTTGGTTCTTCGTTGAGTGAAGTGCGGCTCCCATTAAAATTTTAGTTTTATTTTTTCTTAATTTTACGCATATTATTAAATTTTTTTATATTTTTATTATATTTGGATTTTATTATTAAAATTTTGAAATAATTATATATGTTCTTATATGTGACTTGTGGAAATAGGCAATTACATTAAAAAAAATGTAATAATATGAAAAAAAAACGGATTGCGACTCTCTTTGGTCTCATGTGTGCCCACCCCTAATATAGACCAAAGTATATTCTATAGTCAATGAAATGCAATATTTTAATAAACTATATTTATTGCACGATTCTTTCTTTTTTTTCTGAACATGAACCTGCACCTATATAAATACACAAAGCAACGTTAGGTTAGCGGTAAATGTGATTATCAAACATTTTGCATTACAAACTACCGCTAAATCACAAAACTTGTAAAAAGAGAGATTTAAAAAAATGACGGAACATCGATGAGAAAATAGTTCAATATCTTTTATAAATTTCTTTTACATAATAAATAATATGTTGCATTGGTTTAATATTGTTTAGTTAAATGAATTATATGTAAATTAAATAAACTATTATGAGAACAAAGTAATATGTATTCTAAATCTGTGAAAATATAGTTATTGTTTTCATTTTGTAAATTTACAAATCATTGTTTGAACAATCAAAATGATGATAATGTAAATATAACATATTTGTAAAATGTAAAATATTACATAAAAATTATATAATGAAAATAGCAAAATAATGCAATTTCCATATGGATACAAGCATTGAACTTTAGAGCTAGGAGATATCAAATCCGAAAAAGTACATGCATTTGAGAGGGTTGATTAAAAAAGAGCATGACAAAATGTCCTTCGTACGCACGTTTTTGACATTGCGATGTACCTGGAAACCCGATTATAAGAAAAGGCAATGCACACATACCTGGTTTGAGAAGTCGGCTGGTTTTTGGGGGTAGTAAATTTATAGCGAAGGTGAAAATTAAATGGCGGGATACGACGGCAGAAGTGTTGGCGTCGCGACGTATAGATGGCGTTAGGGGTCGAAAGCGGTGGTGCCTACCCAGTGCTTCCCCACTTGAAATCTATAGAGATGGCTCGTGGGAAAAAGTAGCACTGGGGAAACGCATGCGTCTCGTCTGTACTGAATCGCCGCCGCCGTTGCCAAGTTTAGTTACGACCCTTGCAGCATCCGAAGCGCGTTGAACAGGTAAAAACGCTCGGAAGACTCCGAAGAACGGTCAACGCGCGTCCGCCAGCCGAGAACTAGAGTGGAAGAAGAATCTCTTTTCCTCCTCCTCCGTGTCTTCCTTTATTTTTATTTTTAGTTCGGTTCATCGAAATCGGATTAAGAGCATTTCGATGCGACCGATGTCCACGTTTTGTCCTCGCCGGTGCCAGTAGACGTTCGATCTGTCCTCCCCGACGCACTCGTCCTCCACGGGTAAATAAATAGTGGAAGATAACGGGACACAACGTATAGCGAAACGCATGCCCAGACGCGGTCCGAGCCCTGCCGTTGTTTGACTTGCGGCGTCGTCAAAGAATTTTTGACGTGCCAGTGCCAGTGTTTTGTTACTCCATAATGACATAAAAGAACAAGAGCGGATGCTTTCCAATTTGTACGCTCTCCGCCAACGGAGGAAGATGTAGGTTTGGGGAGACAATGTTGCATGCACCGCTCACCAAAATATACGGCCGCCGCTACAAGCTGCACGAGTCTCTGTGAATCCCGTCACACTCAGAACCCCAGGTTATTTTTCGTTTCTTTTGTTGCTGGACTCTTGTCGCGTGTTTCTTTGTCGAGGACACAGCTTTCCTGAGAGATGTACGCGAAGGGAAAAGGAACGGCAGTCCCGTCCGACGCACAGGCCAGGGAGAAGTAAGTACCACATTCGCATCTACACATATCCATTACTTCAGCTACCAACGCCATCCCCAAGGGATGGTGACCCAGTGTACATATCTATATATATATACAAACACACTCATATATATATTGTGATGCGTTCATAAACAAATATCTCTGAAAATAGCCCGCGGCCTTCCTGCTACCAAGATTTGCACACTGTCAATCAAGCCTGTTGCTTGGCCTCCTATGAGACCACAGAAGACCGACCCCTCGGCTACCACCCCCACGTGCATTTGTTTATTATTAACGATTGTTTCTCTTTGACCTAGGTTGGCTCTTTACGTGTACGAGTATCTGCTGCACGTCGGTGCACAGAAATCAGCGCAAACTTTTCTCTCCGAGGTAAGAATAGATCCGTGGCAGATCGTCCTGTATCCTTACTAACTTTGTGCTTTCTTTGCCTTTCTTTTAGATCCGATGGGAAAAGAATATAACGCTGGGAGAGCCTCCCGGGTTCCTGCATTCCTGGTGGTGGTAAGATTTTCTTTGCGGCCTATTGAGACTCCTTAATTAATGCCTATTTCGTTTCATGTACAGCGTATTTTGGGACCTGTATTGCGCGGCCCCCGAGAGGCGGGACACTTGCGAGCATTCGTCGGAGGCAAAAGCGTTTCACGATTATGTGAGTATCTTATTTATTTACCATTCCTCTCCGCTGGCATGCCACACATGTGACCAATACCACCTTCTTGTGTGCACCTAAACCAAATATATAAGAAAAAAATATATATACACATCATTTCATATTTCGTTATGGATCTGTTTTGAACATGTCTCCTACTCCATTTGTTTTTTCTCTCCCTCTTTCTTTTCTGTGTGTCTGTTTTTTTTTTGCCCCCTTGATTCCATCCACCATACTCTTTCGTGGATCAATACTCATAGCTGCCGGCATGGCAACGTCGCACCAGACCAGGTACATGCTGTGGCCCTGTCCGTTCTTCCTTTCCAACATATCCATATTATTATTATTACTACTATCGCAATATTACTCTTCGACATTTCCCCAATCCTCTGAGTAAGACCTGGAAATCAGAAAGAGCCGTTGCTACGAAATCTTTTATATGTTTTAGTGCACTTTGTAGTCTGTTTTATATGTATATTTTATACATACACACAAACTTGTAAATAATCATATTTATATATATATGTATACACATACATATATATATATATTACAAGTCGACCTTAGGTAGAGGCCTTGAGTTATTATCTGTTATGTTGAGTACAAGGATAGATAGTTTTGATAACTTGGTTCTTGTTCGGATCGCGCAAGCACACACATACACAAACTAAAATTTTCCTGATAATGGGAAAACTCCATGTGTGCAATTTCCACGCTCATTTTGCATTTCAGACGCATACACTAATGAATGTTAATTACTTCTACCTCATTTCTATCCACGTCTCTTTCTGTCTTCCGTGTATCCGCTTGTCGCAAACATTAGAAACATATTTCGATGCATTTAATATATATATGTATATATGTGTATATATATATATGTATATATATATATGTATATATATATGAACATATATAAAACTTTCTACTTTTTTTTTCTCTCTCTCTTTCTCACCAGGGCTTCGTTAATTCTGGCTACGGAGTCAATGGCATTGCACACGTAAGTTTAACCAATTACACGTGGTGAATCAAAGCGTTTCTGGATATAAGTTTTCCCATTGCCTAGAAACTTAAAAATGCGAGAGTACTCTGTCGATAATTCGTTCGTGCCTCGTTCGGTTTTTTTAAAAACATTTTTATATCGTTTTATAATTTACTGAGAATGTTTTCAATTTATAAAAGACGAAATATTTATTCGCTCTCCGATCAAGCACGAAGACGGTTTACTTGTTACTGGTGAATTCGCGTGTTTTTCCTAGTTTCTTCATTTTCATAAACGTTCATATTTTTTGTTTATCTTTTTTACATCAGTTTCCAACAAATATGCGACATTTTTATTTGCTAACCTGTGTCTCTTCAGAGTTCATAAGTTAAACATTCTCAAACGCAAAATATATATTTATCACCCTTCTTCAAACGAATTCATCTTTGTTTACACATATATTTATTAAATTTTGTTACGTTATATAATCAATATTTAAATAATAATAAAATTTGTTCAAAAACATTCATAAATAAAAAAAAAGCGTATTTATGTATTCATTACCATTGACAACAGTTAACTGATAAATAGTAATAAAGTAACATTTGTTATATACAAATATTGACCAGTCTTTCCACCATAGATAAATATGTTACTTTAATTGAAGCATATAATTTTTGCAAACGTTATATAATTAAATGCGCGGCTCAACATATTTATTACATATATTGTCTTCAGTACATACATAGATTAATATATTTTTTTGTTATCAGTTTTATCAATATTATTCATTATTATTCATATATTATTAAAAAATGTAGTAATCATTTTGATTTTATTTAAAAATGTTAAAGTTAAAAAGGAATTAATTAAGTTATCGTTAATGAATATAGTTTGTCATAACGTAATTTAAATACCGTTTTTCAAACAATTTATTGCAATACTCGCATATTCATAATTAAGACAATTAGAATCCTAAGTTTATACGATTGAACGTTACATGTAAGGCATAAAAAGAGAATTATAATTTAACAGTCACTCGTTTTATTGAGCTGTTACTCTCATTATGCATGTAATATACTGAAGATTAATGTACGATTTGTAATTTTACTACTATTTGTTCTTTAAGTGTATGTCGATCACATAAGTAAACTGCCGTTGATTTATGCTGAAATGCGTCAAGCGAATGAATTATTGGGGGGAATACTGTTTGCGTAAATTGGTAGACGCTTGTGCTTACGATGGTGTAATTTCTTTTAGAACGCTGGACCGGCGCCGAGCCCCTTGGGACAAATGCCCCCGAATGATGGTATGCCAGGCGGCCCCATGCCCCCAGGATTTTTTCCCGTAAGTAAACAGTACAAATTGCTCTTAATTAACAACAGCCAAAGAAGGATACCAACCAATGCAAAAAATAATGTTGTAAATACTCTCTAAAACAAGATACGCTTAATGTTTCGAACAATCTATGTTAAATGGCTTATTTCAATTTTTTGTTTTCGTTGTCGTTCGTAATGTTTCATTTGTTTATATGTTTGTTTCTCTCACACACTCTTCCGATCATCCCTCTTTTCTCTATGTGCTTTTTCTACTATGGGCACTTGGGAAGAGTCTAGTGAAGGCGAGTCCCCCTTCACACTACCCCCCGTCTTTGTCGGTATATTTATTCAGATGACTCATTTCAATCGTTATGTGTTGTTCTATTGGGTCTTCCTGCTATGGTACTTTGCATTTATGTGTTTTATTATTATTTTCTTTGGTTGCATTTGTAGAATTCAACAATGAGACCATCACCTCCCACACATCCATCAAGTCAACCTTCCCCACATTCGCAACCACCACCCTCACATACGCAGATGATGTCGACGCAACCTTTTATGGGTCCAAGATATCCTGCAGGTCCTCGACCCGGTGTGCGAATGCCACAAATTGGCAGTGATTTTAATGGCGTAAGTGTTTATTTTTTTATTTCATTTTATTTCTTTACATTATATCATTTCATTCTCTCTTCAAGTGTTTCTAACGTGGAAATGTCTTATCTTTATCTATATAAATATATATTTATATATATATATACATACACCAATATATACAAATATATATTTATATACCTTTTTTCTTTCTTTCCTTATTTTGACTAATACTACATTTGTCTCTAATCGCTTGCTTGACGCTTTAACCATTACAGTAATCCGAGATAAAATAAGAATAAGAAAAAAAAATACGAATAAACAACAAGAACAACATTCTCTAGTCTGAGGCGCGCGTGGAATATTTTTAATTTGTAATTTATGATTCCAGCCACCTGGACAACCTATGATGCCTAATAACATGGATCCAACGAGACAAGGTAAATAGTACTCGAAAAAATGCGCCCGCTAAATGTTCAATCAAATAACAGATATTTACATTTTTTATCTATTATTATTATTATGATTTCTTTGATTTACAAAATTTATCGTTTCCATTTATTTACTTTTTCCGTTTTGTTCATTTTTATTTATTTTTTTTAGTTTGTTTTTCATTATTAATGTATTATTTTGATAACGTTTTGATTAAAGAGAAATGCACAAGCATGAAGCCCGATTTCATATGATATGCCTCATGTAATTGCATCTATTTCTGTCTCCAGGTGAAGGCGGAGAGTTTGTAGGTTGGCAAGGTAGGCAAATGCGCTCCTTCACCACCACATACACCCATATATATTTATTTATATATATATGTGTGTACATATATATGTATATATATATAAATATATATATATAGACGCATATTTTTTTAATTTACACTATGTTTTATTTATTTTATTTATAATAATTTGGACTCTTTCGGCTATTGTTTTTGTTATTTAATTATTTTATGTTATTAATATTATTTTTAGTTTTGTTATATTAATTTCATTTCCACATTAAACATTTCGCTTAATTAAATATACTTGTATATGTATATATACATACGTACGTTTGTATTGATTTATATATATATATACTTATTTATAAATCGGACAGTCGCATATATTTTTGTTTTCATAAAAAAATGCCATTTAATAATCTTTTAATTATTATTTTTGTTACGTTTTCATTGAATATCTTCTTTTGAAAACGGGATGTCCACTTTGCGTTGTATTTATTGAGTTACGTTCAGAATATCGTCTTAAGTGTGTAACCTGGATGGATTTATATATTTACTCTTCTTTTCTTCGTTTTATGTAATCATTTCATTGGGGGGTTTGTTGGTCAGGTTGATGTTTGAACTGGTATTCAAATCCACAACATCTCTGCTGCTTGCTTTTGCTTATTTTATATAATTTTATTGTTTCATTAATTTGTCTCATGTTGGCATGCTGGTGTCGTTTGTGCGCTGTATACATATTAAAATACTTCGATAAAATAAGAATAAAAACAAATATTAAATGAATATTATGTACAATGCGATTGGATGTGACTAATTGTTTTTTGCCACCAGGACCGCCGGGGATGAACCCAATGAACCCGATGAATCCAAGAATGAATCCACCCAGAGGTCCAGCGATGGGACCACTCGGGCCAGGCTCCTATGGACCTGGACTGCGAGGACCACCGCCAAACAATAGCCTAGGACCCGGAGGCCCGATGCCGCCTATGTCTATGACAGGGCCCGGAGGACGACCGCAATGGCAACCGAACACATCAACGGTAATACAAACGCAGACATGGATTATTTTGAAATCATCAATATTGTTGCTTTTTTTTTTCTTATATATATTTTTTTCAATCCAGCCAATGAATTATTCATCATCATCACCTGGTAACTATGGTGCTCCTCCAGGATCGGCGGGACCACCGGGACCTGGCACCCCAATAATGCCGAGCCCACAAGATTCGTCAAATTCAGGTGGAGAGAATATGTACACAATGATGAAACCTGCGGTCGGCGGCAACATGCCCGGCGAGTTCCCAATGGGTGGGGGCCCAGAAGGTGGTCCGATGGGCCCAAACTCCATGGGACCGGTGCTTAACGGTGATGGCATGGATGGCATGAAGAATTCGCCGGCAAATGGCGGTCCAGGGACACCAAGGGAGGACAGTGGCAGCGGAATGGGGGACTACAACTTAACCGGCTTCGGGGGACCTGGTGAAAACGTGAGTAAAATTTTGGTGGCCGGTGCTTGTGCTTCTGTAGACTGACACCTAACCACTAAAGGTCGCTTTCCTTGCAGGACCAAACGGAATCGGCTGCTATTTTGAAAATAAAAGAGAGCATGCAAGAGGAGGCCAAGAGGTTTGAGAAAGACTCGGACCATCCTGAGTATTTCATGCAATAACTCCCTCGCTGGCCTCTCTGGCTGGTGGACGCCTCTCTTCCTTCCTAACTCTACTAACCCCGGGCGGTGGTCTGCTCATCTCCTTCCTGCCCCGTCGTCGCGTGCTCGTCCTGTCTACTATTTGGCACAGGGTAGTCATGCCTGTTTTCTGTTTTACAGATATTCATATGAATCGCAAATTTGAAGACAAACCTAACCAATCAAATCAAAAAGATGAACACCCATATTATGACCATGAATCCGGGAGGAAATTTTAAAGAAACTGACTGTGTGTGTGTCTGTGTGAGTGTGAGATAGGACTCTCTCATTGTGTCATTACTCTCTTACTTTTCTTATGATGAACAGTGACAGTGTGCATAGTAAGTGGAGAAGTGAAGGAAAAGTGTTAATGCTGCTGCTAAGTTTTTTTTGTTAGTTCCTGATTGCTCTAATCCATAACAATATCCATACAACAAAAAGGAGAAAAACAAGAAGAAATTAAAATGAAATTTGTGCACCCTGATCCAGTCTCCATATCATAAAATAGAAAATAGCATATAATCCCCGTCCACCAGCCTAGGCTAGGTAGAATGTAATTACTCAACACCTACATTCCACCAAGGGACAGCTGACAGATTTGACGTTATGACTACTATTCATAATCACAATAGTTTCAACCAGTTATCAACTGTAGTCGCAAAGAAAAGAGCGAATCTGTGATCTGTCTCAGCCTGGCGTGGTTCTATTACCTTCTAAATGTTGTACATGCAATAGAAGATTCAAAGAAGAAGAAAAAAAAACAAAGAAAATCCACGGACCCTCGCATCCGTAAAGCAATTTCATCGTAACATTGTTTTTTTTATTCAGCAATCTTACAAGATAAAGAAAACAAAAGGAGATTCAACTTAATTTTGTACCTAACTACCCCAATACCACTACTTAATCCAAAAGAAAACTAAATTCCAAAAGAGTTGATTAATTATTTTTTAGTTCGTTTTTTGTTTTATAAAATATTGTTTTGAAAATCTGTTGATCTTCGGTTAATCGGAAGCAAAAAAAAGTAATACAAAACAAGTATATTTAATTTTAATTATTATTTAGACTAAGCAAAACACTTAATTTATAAATTCTATTCTTGAAAAAAATAAACAAATCAGAAAGCGTTCTTATTTTCTTTCCTGCAAATGAGTCTCCGTTCCATCGGCTGAGTCATGTATTATGTCCTCTGACGCCAGCCTGCGTAGCATGCGCAACTTGTTCAGCCCGCCTGAAACTGAACTAGAGCACTGTTGTAGCTCTGTTGAGCTGTGATCTGAATAGGGCAGTAGCGGACTCTGCGGGAGTCCACCAAGTAGAATTTAGAATTTAAATACCCGTATGTGAGGGCGCAACAAAAATAGCAGTCGTGTTTTGTCGAGATTATGCTCCCACAGTAATCTTGCGCCACCGTAAGTCGAAAAGTTTCCAATTAAAACGTAATTGTGTCCAATTAAATGCTTCAAGTATTCTAAGTATGTTTTTCAAGTGATCATACCTTATTCCAATATGAAGAACAATATAATTTCAATTTACTCGGATCTAAATGAATTATTAAATGGTAAATAATAATTAAGTACATTATTAACAATGCTTCTAAAAAACGCCTATAACTATGCCTATACTCTTATCGTAACGGAAATCCGCTGTGACAGAATTGCTGTTTTAGATATTTGCAATTTTCTGTCTGAGGAAGTCGAACAAGGAAAGTTATCTGGTAATACCTCCGAAGTGGCCAAAAAACTCATTCAACGTTCGAAGGTACAACTTCAGGAGATTTCCAAAGTATCAAACGTCGACAATGAGTCAAATAGGTATGTGGACATGCAGCGGAAGGCTTCGATGGAATACCTGGTTCCTACTAAGCTTGAAACCCAAGAGCTTTATTCTGATATTGACGGAAGCGTCGGCACCGAGTGCATGGAAGAGATCTGCCCCTATCTGAGTAATGTATTCAAAGCATTCATGGTATTCCAAAAATCAACGATACGCTATTTCAGAACTTCCATTCTCGGAAATCTCGTACATGGAGAAATCTGGTTACTTGTGGAGAAGAGAGAAAATCTTCTTCATCGAACACTGCAAGAAGTTGTACGTCGCGCTGATGGACAATTGGATGCTGATCTACAACTCGCAGAAAGATTCTAGGCCAACAGAAGCGCATAATTTACGATTTTATAGTGCCACCCAATTGGAAAAGAAAGAATGCAATTTTGAGATGATTCCTACTAACAAAGAATATAAGTCTCAAATGGTAGGTGCGAAAACTGCAGTCATCAACTGTGAAACAACAACTAAAATGTTTAGGCTATTAATGTAATAATTTTATTTAGTTCACAGCAACTACAAAAAAGGACACGGTACAATGGGTAGTTGAAATAAATTTGCGGAGAATTAGTGCTCCTGAGATTATCCCGAATACTCCGACACCTGCAGTTCCGGATTTGTCTGATTATAACGGAGAGATTTATGAGGATCTCCATCATGATATAAACGAGGATAATTGTAGCAATGATTTGCCAAAGCCGATGCCAGTATTGCCTCCGCGTGCTTACGCCGAACGTTTTCCACCGAAGATGTTGTTACCTAAAACTCCTGATGCAGTAGATGAAGAAATTTATGATTGCATAGGTGGAATAATCGAGGAAGAAAATTACTCAGAGCTGGTTGCGCCTGCGAATGCGCCCGATGAAGACATCTATATCAATGCGTCCGAGGATGAAGAGATATATGACACAATTGGACCGAAAAGTAATGATGAAGAGATTATCGAATACGAAATGGTCAGCAACGATTTTCTAGACAAAGATGTTATAGAGAAGCCATACATACCGGAAGTACCCAAATTAAAACCAAAACTTCCAGCCAAAGGCAAATTCTGGAAATAATACAATTTGTGATTACTGGTCTTCTTTTAATACTAATATATTTTATATTTCTTTATAGGCTTAGAATTATATTATTTTTTAACTGTATATTTCGAATATAAAAGCATTTTCTATTTAATCTTTTATTATATCAATAAATTTTTAAGTAATCATTGACGTATTATTTAATTTTCTTGAGGATGAAACATGATCTAAAGTAAACTATATCAATATATTATACATATAAAATATAAAGTTATATAAAAACTAATTAAATTAAAACAACAATAGTAAATTTAATTAAAAGATAATTAATTGCATTAATTATAATAGAAATATAAATTATTACACGATTGCATACTTAAAGAATTAAATGGAATATTCTGCATACATAAAATAATAGCAAAGAAGTTAAAAAAATATAAAAATTACCAGAAATGAGATTACCACAATAATTACTTACGTTATATGACATAACAAGTTTCAAACTTTATTTTTAAACATAAGAAATACAAGTATAAATATGTTTTATTGTGTGATTTGTGTTTCTTAGATTAATTTAATGTGCTAACAGGAATTTTAAATAAACAAACTTCATTACAATTGTTTGCTTAATGTTATTATATTAAGAGATTAAATTATTAGTATGAGTTGTTTTCATTAGATTAGTTTCATATACAACTTTCAGATTATTTTGTCGCGTTTTAGGGTCCCGCGTTTTATTTTAAAAATTTCTTTTTTTGCACATGGACAATTTGCACATTTTTTTTTCATTTTCAACTTCAAACTTTTGGTTCATGCAATTTATGGCACATGATGCAAATTCACCTTATTTGAGCCAAATGAATTCGTGTTACTAATAAATTATTTATATTTTTAATAATATAATAATAACAATAGGTCGCAAAGGGCTAATAAATTTGTTTAATAATAATAACAACAACATTTATTGCACAATATTAATCCTATTACAATGTTTCCAAGTATGATTTGACATATTTAATAATATGTGTACACAAGTTTTAAAAATGATGTAGCAGGCGCACAATCCGGGACTATTCTTCTCATCGTCACTCGTTATACGAAACGTCGTTCGTTATGCGAGGTTCCACTGTATGTATGTATGTATGTTTTATGACAAGTAATAAAATCATCTCACTAATATGTATTAATAGGAACTCATTGTTATTATTGTGTTTTTTCATTTAAAAAGACAAGCGAAAAATCATGCGAATAATTTAAAAATATATACTGATATATTTTGCTACGTACTAACATGACAATCTTAGGATTATCAATTATAGTAAAATCTTGTTTACTGGCGGAAGACAATAACTTCTCTAGGAAACCTATGTTCCTTATCGTATTGTACAAATTTCTTACCTACTCGTAACCCTCTGTTATGTAATTATACTAAATTATTGTTGATATTGTTACATCAGAATCACGGAGAGAGTGTGTTTTTTTATCAATAATTCTTACAACTATGCAACTTTTAATAAAGTAAGGAAGTTTTTAGTGTGTTTAATGTAGTTTAAACTATAATTGAACTAATATGATATGCTACTAATTAGACATTTAATAGTATAATAATCAAATTATTTTTAATAACCTGAATAATAGCTGATATATTAAGATTGAAATACTTTAATATACAAGTAATATTGTTTGAATTGATTGTCCACAATAAAATTATCTTCCTCATAATATTGTACATTTGTATGGAGTTTACGATAAGATTTTTAACTGTATTAGAATAATCACCATTTGTTGCAATATCCCGGATTAATTGAGGAAATAAATACAGTGGAACCTTGCTTAACGAACATAATCCGTACCAGAATTTCCGGATTTTTACTCGTATAATGAACATTTTTCCCACATAAACTAATGTAAAATAAAATAATGCGTTTCATGTCAGAATAAAAGTATAACTTGGTCTCTGTTTTTAATTATTTTGCTTTTCATATCTATAGTTATTTTTATTCTTTCGCTTTTTATTCGGAGACAAAAAAATACAAATAATATATGAACACAAGTGTTGAAAATGATTTAGCAGGCGCACAATCTGAGACTTCTCCTTTTCTCGTGACTCGTTATGCGAAACGTCGCTCGTTAAATTTTTACAATTTATTTTGCTCGTTAAGCGGACTTGACTGTATAATGAAAAAGAAAAAAAAACGATTATTTATAAATAATAAATATAAATAATTGTATGTACTACTTTTTTAAATTTTGATTAAAATTTGTTTAAATTCAAACTGAACTATAAAGAATCCGAACTGATAAAAGTAATACATTTCTCAAAGAAAGTATTATTCAAATTGTAAAACAAAAGTGATCAATTCTTGTTGCAATAAATGTTATTATAATAAGAAATTTTGAATCGTACATTTTTTTTTATAAAATCATCATTATAATTGAATTATGAAACAATATCTATAGTTTTTTTTTAATATTCGATAATAAGCAATTCTAATATTTAACACAATTAAGATACATTTTCATAAGTTATAATATACCTAATTGACAAGATTTAAATTTATAATAACTAAATAAAAACCTTGAATTACAATTAGACAATTAGATATTAATTAAATTATACACGATTTTGGTTAATTTGTAAACTAATTAAAATACAAATATTAATTGGCTACATTCATAACAGTTATTGATAAAAAAATAAGTTATAAATTCAAAATAATATATCTACTGACAGATTCGCTATCATCAATCTACCAATTTTGAAATATATATAGATAAAAGTAAACATGTTTTATCGTATTAAAATCGTTACATATAGTCTTATTCGTATTTTTTTCCATACAAATTAATGTAAAATACGATACAGTCAAATAAATACTCAATTTTTATGTATAACGTTTATTTAATTACATTTGTAGAAAACAAAAAAGAAATTGAAATACAGTGGAACCTCGCGTAACGAGCGTTTCGCTTAACGAGCAAAATAAATTGTAAGAAAAAATGACTCACAAAATGGAATGCATTATTGTATATTACATTAGTTTATATTGGGAAAATTGTTTCACTATACGAGTAAAAATCCGGAAGGTTCCACTGTAATTCGTTATTTATTTATGATACCTAATTCGTTTTTACTGCTCTTTTTTATTCTCTTATGGCTGTATTCTTGTGGACTTTCCTTCGGGGACATTTTTGCAAGAGTTGTTAAACTTTGAACAAAAATGGAAAATGGTGTAGTGTGCGTAAATTTCTCATCTAACGAACATAATTAGCAAATGATAATAACTATGATTATTGACTAGAATTACAAAAAAAAACAATATAAATTGAAAATAAAATATAAATAAATAAGATAATAGAAATTAGAACAGCTCGGTTAGCAAATAATATGAGTTATTATAGTTATCTTAACACAATTTACGCAAATTTCCTGCTAGATAATATATTTTCTATACTATTTTAATCAGACCCTAATATTTATACTTTGCATCATTTCATGGTACTGTCACTTGTATACGATTTCTAGAGTTGGCAGTCCCGAAAATCAATTGCAAAATGTAAACAGTTGTATTTAGGGTAAACAGGAAAGAAAATGAGTTTTGAAACGGATGATAGGTAAGTAATATTCATAGGAATTGGCCATTGGATTTTAAATATGCTGCTTATTATCGTTTATATGAAAAGAAACAAATTAAGCAATTAATATATTATATCGTTATTACTAAAGACTAATATAATTAGGGTATATTTATAGTTAGCATAATGATTACATTATAAGCAATCACAATGTAAACATATCGGCCGTGAGATTCCAGTAGGCGTACGTACAATAACAACGGATAAACCAGGAAGGAGCATTACAAGATTTGCATGCAATAGTAAACATGATTATAATATTATGTTGACGAATTCTTTCGTTTACATTCGCTCTTTAAATAAAGCGCTTTATTAATCATTTGGTATATTTATACATACTTTGTTACGAATGGCGTAGAACGTTGCGACGCGTTTTGGTGCACGCAATGCTCGAATGCACTTCACGTGTTTAAACCCTATCACTAATTAGTCAAATTACAGGAGATCGAGTAAACCAAGGTTAGTCATTCTTTATTTTTAACGTACAAGGAGATAGAAATTGTCGAAAATAAACATCGACAATTTGTTCAAATAAATTAAAATGAAATATTTTATTAATTGTTTGCAAGATCTGTTCGCGCCCAGTTTTCTTTTATTTATTTATTTCACACGGGTGCCCCTTTTAAGCACTCTAACATCGTTGCCTTTTCTTACAAGGTTCTCGTTCCAGTCGAAGGTAATTAATATTATACATTGAATTGAGCTCATCAGAAACGGAGATCACGTCTCTTCCACGTGCTAGTAAATTGTAAACAACGATATTTTGGTCAGGTATATGAAGTAGTGGTGCCTGTTGTTTTCTCATTGTTGCGGTGACCGCGGCACAGCGAACACCGATTCACATTGTGACAATACCAGTATTCGTACCAGAATGTTAACCGAAATACCCAGTGATAATTTTCAATTCACGAGGTCATACAAGCGGTAAGATCCAAATAAAAAAAGAAAGAAAATTGTGGATAAGTAGTACAATCGATAACGATCGTCGTACCTCGCGATAAAGGAAATCAATCACTTACGCAATTACATCTCAATATCATATTTTAAGAGGAAAAAAAATACGTGAACTAAATTTATTTATCGATTACAGTTAGAGCGAACTCATCTCGTTCCAAAAGAGAACCATCTCGTACATCCTGCGTGTCTGATTCTTTGATTATTATTTACTTTTTTTTGTTCGTTTTCGCCGAACACCGTTAGAATGTAAATTCATTGTTGTGGATTATACCGTTTGATCAGCATGTTTTTGTTTCCAGGTCCGATCCGAACGACACCATGAGCAAGCTGTGCAGGCAGGTGTCTATAGAGTCACCAGGCGCTGTTATCAACAATTGCGTGCTAAAACATGAAGTGCCCGTCCCCGAAGAGATCCCTTCTTCTGGCGTGAGAATCCGTATAGTGTGCGCGGGGGCTTGCTACAAGAAGATGCGTACTAGCCATGACGGAGTTGAGCAACCAAACGCTACCCATCATGGGATTAGGGATGGCGCTTTGTTTTCCGGTTACGAAGTATCTGGAATAGTCGACGAGCTTGGCGCCGATGTCAAGAACGTCTTTAAAATAGGCCAGAGGGTTGTTCTTTACCCCTATGAAGATTTTCCACAAGGATATACGGAGTACATTGTTGTACCGAATCCGGAAAATCTGGTCCCCATCCCCGACAACCTGCCGCTCAGCGTGGCTGCTATGCTACCCACGGGAGCTTTACTTGCAAAGAATGCCGTAATCGCTGCCCATCTTCACGTAGTGGATCTGATCAAAGAAATACCACACAACAACGTGAAAATTCTCATTGTCGGCACCGGAGGCTTGGCTCTCTGGGCTATAAGGATTGCTTCCCATCATTTCAAAACACCGGAGCACGAGAACAAAGTTAATGTCACAGTTGCTACACTTCGAGATGAAGGCTTCAAACTAGCCAAAGAGATAATGAAGTAAACATCCTAAATATACTCATTGAACATATATTAATGGTGTCTTGTTTTAGCGTTAATTTGGTGCAATGGAACGAAGACCTCTACGAGGATCAGCTAATCGAGAGAACCAAAGACGCTTGCAGCGGATATGTCGATATCGTCATCGATTTTGCTACAACATCGAGATCTCTACAACGATCACTTCAGTGCTTAAACAACGTATGTATTATTCATTCTGTCTCATTCGTGCTTATTTACATTTTTTTACTTACAGAAAGGTGTTGTTTTGATTAACGAGGAAGCCGCTGAACAATTGATACCTAAGTTTAAACCCATCGCAGAACAGAAGCAGCAAAAAATAGAAGTGGTTGCTAAAGGTGACATTCAACAGTTGAAAGATTTGGTGACGTACGTTTCGAAAGGTGAGATTATTCCGCCGCCCCACAAGGAATTCCCAGCTGATGATGTTGTCAATGTCGTACAGATGCTCTGCCAATCTGAGATCCCCGGTCGGGCGATCCTTAGGTTCCATGACGTACAGTAACTATATCAGAGTCAAATGTAATGAAATTCAATGTGATAATTATTTTTCTGTTCTTCATATAAGTTTATAAAACATATTTAGAATGTTACTCTAAATATTTATTCATAATATATAATAATAACTTTAGTATTATTTTTCAATTAATAAAGATTTCTATAAATGCTATTTTTTTTATTATCCTCGAATTGGACCCAATCTATATATAGATATGTCATAAAAACTCACATTTGGATTGTGCTTCCGCCTTCAATAACTACATTTAAACCGTGTCAAATGTGCAAATCTATCATTAAATCTGACCAAATTAATCAAGTGAAAGTTTCTTTTCTTAAAATAAAACTTCGAAATTATTTAGTGTACAAGCTAACTGGAAATTTATTTAAAAAGTAGCCTACTACTATACACTATTTTTATTACTTTACCCTTATAGAATGTGTAAAAGGGATGAACTGCTTTCTGGCTAAAGTAATGAAACTTCAGTATTATTTCGAAAGCATATGAAATTAATATTATATATTTTATAATTAGTCTATTAAAATTTACTTACCGTTATTGTTTTTGTGTTAATATGTCAATTCATATTATAAAAAATAACATCAATAATGTTATTGAGTCATATTTTTCTTATAATATTATTGCAGTAAATGTTACTATTAGATTTGTTATAACAATTTATTAACTTGATGGGAGAAGTTTAGTTCCGTTATTTTTCAAACTGATGATGATGATTATCCCATTAAGTTTGAGTAATATTTTTTTTATTAATTTATAATTATATTTAGAAAAACTGATTGAAGTATTATGTTTAAATAAAAATAAAATAAATTATGTTATTTTGATGGAACATTAACTACAAAAAGTATAGAAAATATTTCTGTTTATATTTGTATAATGAGAAAAAATTATCAATTCTTATTTAGAAAAATATTAGTGCAATTCACAATATAACCAATACGAAACTATAACATACAAATTTCAGTTATCATTTTACAAAAATATATTTGTATTCAGTTGGCTGATAAAAGATTGAAACGTTTAAAATCCCTGGATTTATAAATATCAAGGTGTAATGTATATGTATAAAAAAAAACAAGTACATGAAATCAGGAAAAAAAAATCGTGTTTTTATGATGGCCTGATTTCAATCATGATATAGCAAACGTGTTTGAGTGGTGTTGAAATTATTTGATAGACACGTAAACATCCGTTGAAACACTTTTAAATATTAAATGTTTCATAAATATCGAAAGATTTATCATTATATATATTAATCATGTATGTGTTTTGATTCACTCGTTATTTATGTTTTTTTTTTAATATAACACATTTTAGAGGATTTGTGATTTAAACAAATACATACGTAAAAAGATAATTGAATGTTGTTTATTGTACAAAAAAAAGTACATTCTATAAATAAATAAATGATAATAAAAACTAATTAATAATATAACTCTCCAAAGGGCTATCGACCAAGGTCCGCCCAATATAGATTATTAAATTTGAATTTGTACAAAGAAACATTTACATCTCAGTTTATCCATGAGATAGAAGAAATGTGATAAGATGTCTATTATTTATATATTTTTCAACTGACTTTATCGCGTAACCAAGCACAAATAAAATGAAATAATATGTACTTGTTCGGGCAGAAAGACCTATGGTTAATAGCCCTTTGTATCAGTTGACTTCTTTTTAAAATTATATATATTTATTTTGTTTTTTATTACTGTATATGTTTTTTTGAACTAATACAATAAATATTATTATTATTATTATGTACTTGTAGTAAAAGAATATTTTCAATATAAAAAGATGATTGTTCCTCTCCCTTTACCTTAAATCTAATCCAGACACAAATATTGCTCCTCTCTAAATTATATATGTCTTCGCATGTGAATGCAATAGTCAGGCATCCGGGGTTCTTTATGAGCAATTGCTGCATAATAGAATTCCCATGTTTACGTCGTCTCATTCAATCCGAGGACGTTGACGTCTACAAAGCAATTCTTAAGTTTATAAAAACATCTAACGCCTTTATATGATTTTAATTTGTTAACACTTCTAATTTACAGCCTTCCGAGGTCTCTCCAAGTACTTATGTACTGAACCGCTGGGACCCCGGGTCGAAATACGTTGTATTCGTAACCTTTCTTCTTTTTACCTGCCTTGCCGTATCTCTCTTATGTATATATTTCATTGAAGTTAGTTTAAGTTTGGTTTTATAGTTATATTTTATAGTTTTGTTAGAAGAAGTTGTTTATTTTAATTATTTGGGCTGAAGAAGGAAGTTATGGTTAATTGGAAGAAGCTGTTTTCTTTAATTATTTGGGCAGAAGAAGAAATCCGAAGAATAAAGTGTTACTTTGGTTTTTGTGCTTTGACTGAACTGACAGTGGCTAGCTTGTTGGCGGGTAATGCGGAAGCCAAATGAAGAAGTGGGAAGAAAGGAAAAAAGAAACCAGTTGGTATGGGCATTGTCTGCGTGGTTTGGAGAGAAGATTATTTTCATCCATTAAAAGCGGCGATAGTATTCCATTGAGATCATTTCCTTCGCTTCATTCTCCATTGTTTGAGCATTGGAAAATTGCTACAAGGAATGAATCATTCAAAAATATGGATAAGGAGCGTATAAGTGTATTAAAAGAGTTTGTAAACTACATTTCACTAAGAGCAACAAAGCGTCCCTCCAAGCGAGAAGATTTCCGGTGAAGAGGACTTGATGCTCATATTGCTGTCAACAATTCGTCTCCTACAAGCTCAGCATGAGTTCCGGTCTCATCCTTTGGAGTAGCAGAGGGATTTGGAAGCTTGACCGAACATCTTCAACATCTGTTAACAGGGTTGTGGAGCTACCATCGGCTCAGACGAGGGCGGTACTCCTGCCGGGATCCTATCGTTGGACAACGATATCCAAGATATGATTAACATAACATTTACGGGAACCAGTCCAGAGCTGCTTGCGCAATGGACGACTGGATCCAACAACGCTTCCCATTAAAGGTCAGGGCAGCAAGGGGTCACCCCTCAGTAAGAGGGCCCTCAGGATCAGCCGCTCACTTAGCGGGTTCGATGTAATAGCACATTCAAACCAGTTCCAAAAACGGAGGTCTTGGGGGTCATTTGATCGTGAAAGATGTAAGCCCGGCCCGATGGGACTTCTGTGGAAGACATAAAGCGGTGTGGGGCCAGGGGAGTCGCATCGCACCGTCAAGATTTTTGCAGAACAAGACTATCCTCATCCACAAGAACGGATTTACCCTGCTGAATGGGATAATACTGGACCAATTCCTTAGATCTCATAGGGCCCAAGGGAAAGACTATAATGTCGTGTCTATGGACGTACGAAAGGCTTTCGACACCATATCGCATTGTTCGATACGCCACGCACTGCTGCGCCATTGCATAGAGGGAGAGGCCATTGACTATATTATTAACTCACTGTGCTCCTCGGTAACTCGAATAACCATAGGCCACGAAACATCTAGGCCACTGAGGATAAGGAGCGGGGTAAAGCAGGGAGACCCGCTAAGCCCCATCCATTTTAACTTAGTCGTAGACGAGTTGCTTTACGAGCTCGAGTTAAGACAACCCGGAGGAACCATCACCCCCTCTTTCAGATGTGCGATGACATTATCCTGCCGGAGGACAAGGAGTTGGACATGCCTGCGTCGTTGGATTTCGCTAACGAATTCTTTCAGCGTAGAGGCATCCACCCGAAAAAGTCCACTTCCATCTCGGTCGAGTCCTACCAGGGGAAGAGTGTTCCGCGGTCCCGGCAGTGCTTCAGACTAAACGGGCAACAAATCTCAATCAAGAGGGACGAGGAATATATCAAATATCTAGACTTCATCAGATTTATCCATTAGTGGATTACTCGAAGATGTTTGCATCTCGTAGGGATTGAAATTCCCTTCAAGTAATACGGATTTTCTACTTTGATAGAATATTTAAATTCTATTCATTGGATTCTACAGGTTTGTCTAAGATTTTTTATTATTTTTGTTTAATTGTTATGTGAAATGTTTTATTTATAGGTTCATCTGGATGATGATACAATTGAGGTAATACCTTCCAAAAAATCAGAACATATTTATCAAATGATACTACAGGAGATGATACTCCAGGTACACATATATATCACTCAGTGTTTTCTCTTAACTAAATGTAAAAGGTTGCATTTTAAATGATGTGTATATATACCAGCAGGTTTTGTATTCGTTTTGATACTTCCACATCTTTTATTTTATGATTCAACTTAAATACAGTATTCCTGATAAACTTAGCTGCAAATTTCATTCCGATATAAAGAGGAACTTAATATCACTTGAATATTTTAAGAAAACATTCCAACCCTCTATGTATATGCACATCGCACAGTGTACAAATGAGCCACGTTATTTTATCGAAATAAATGAATTAAATAGCAAAATGCCTAGTCATTCAATTAGTGACGCACATGAATCGATTAACGAGATTCCCTCTATCGCTATCTATTATCTAACGAAACCACTGCCAAGAGCTTGGAAGAATCAGCGGGGAAAGAAGACCCTATTGAGCTTGATTCTAGTCTGATACTGTAAGAAGACCTGAGAGGTGTATTATATACTTTAAATATATGAACTGACATTGATCAAGGTTAAGTTGAACAACTCAAATTCAACTTAATAAACGATTTATACATTGAGATCTTTATTACATTGTTGTCACTATTACGTTTATGTATTGTTATACAGCTTTGTAATGAACAAAAAAAATGTAGAATTCTCTACAGAATGAATATGTAGTATGGCAGGAACAACTAACCATATATTCTTTGAATGTCCTCACAACATTCAAGCTAGCACGCTGTTCTTAAGAGAGATCACAGTACAAAATGTGAAATTTTCAACTTCTATCTGTACCCTGCTAGCAACAGAAACCCCAAGAAATTTCTAGACCTATCTTAAAATTCGTGAGAAGGTCACAATCTGTTTTTTAAATCTTATTTTACTGTATACCTCTCTTTAACTATTACACAATTTTAATCACAATACCGAAACCTGAGAGAAATGTCCTCCGTACTCGCTATATTCGAAAAGATCGCTATTTCTATAAAACTGCAACCTTCCACTTCCAGCCTTTCTCTTCAGAAACTTCCAAACAAAAACTGACAAAACTGTTGAGCATAACCAGTGATGCAAGATAACATGCTAAGGAGCATTTACTTTCTCTCCTCCAAACTATGTACACCAAAATGGTACAAACCATTTACAAACGATGTAACTAAGATTCTATTACAAGAAACCATAATATAAGTGATACAACTGTTTTCATTTATGTGTAAACTAATGACAATTGACATTACTGTATTACACATTTCATGCTGATTTTAGTGTATTGGCCAATGATTGCTGCTGCTGTTTTGAGAACGAATCAAATCAGTGGGTTCTGTACATTATCTATATAGATAAATGCCTTGTCATCCATCCATCTAAGGTTGAAAAGAACCACCGGAAAAAAAGCACTGAACGATGAAACATTATATCATTATAATAATTATCAACGTTGAAATTGAAATAAAAATCTTTAGAATATAGAAAACAGATTTCACATAACAAAAAATATATTTTCTTTCAATGGTTCATAGTAAAATATGTAAATATGTAATCAATTTTGAGAAACATTATAGAAAATATCAAAAGCGTCTCATATTAAGCTTGTGCATCCGTATATTTATATGACATTCTATCAACTTTTCGTAAATTTTGTTACTTTGGAAAGCTTAAATAACGGATTATATAGCAAATATTACTACGTTCATAATTATTGCTTAATAACTTTAACAAAATCGGAAATTTCTTGCTCTAGACACGTGGCTGTGTACTACGTGAACATCTAATTTCTTTGATATGCACATCGTATAGCAATAACGAAATGACTTCAGGAAAGAAAATTTCACTTAACAATGGTTGACTTCTTCCAACGGGACTATTAAATCGTAGTGCATGTGCTATCTATAAATTCTAAGATTTTTTCGATTTTTTGATAGTATGAATTTTTGGTTGTAAATTTATATGCTTTATTTTTTATTTGTATCAAAGCTAAAAAGTCAAATACGATAAAACGAGCACGTTTATACTACAGTATACTTATTTATTTCATTTTAAAGATGTAAATATTTTCTAATTGAATTTTTGTATACTAAATTTTTAACCCAAAGAAAAATCTATAAAAATGGATTTTTATAAAGAAAAAATCTGTATTACATTTCTCAATATATTCAAAAATAATAATTCCGTATGCAATACTTTGTCGAAAGACTGAGCAATATTTCTTCTCTTCTAGAGATTTATATATTACGTAAAATGTATTCTGACTTGCAGACTTTTGTACAGCTGTGGTACGAATATTAAATAAATAATATTTATGAAAATATTTGAAAGTACATAAAATAAAACATAACGTATTTATTATAAATTAACAATTATCTGTTTCTATCCGAAAATGTATTGTTTTTCAATTCCAACATTCTATTGAAATTGTAGCAAGTAAATTAGTGCCATTGTCAATTATAACTATAAATATTATATAACTGCAAAATCCATCATACGGACAACTATCCTCACATTATAGATGCATTCATGGTGGAATGGTAAAGGAGATTTGAAACTGAATATAATAGAAGGGAGTATGTTTAAGCATGTCCATAAAAAACCGTGGTTCTCAGAGTTGGGTGTAAACAGAAAAGCTGATATAGCGCTTCTGTCGACTGAGATCAGGACATACTCCCACCCCGGCGTTAGGATCGGGTGGAGAACTACGACGGACGCGCTTGACCATTATTTCTTCGAATGTATCTCAAATCGGCAGGCTACTTTAAGACTTTTAGGAATTAGAGATAAGATCTAACTACCAACATCAGTCCAGATTCTGATTGCTGCAGAGAACATAAGAGTCTACAGAGCTTTACTTTACTTCATTAAGTACACGAACATACAGATATATAATTCAAATGTTTAACACCTTTGTGCCGAACCGGAGAGTTTCAATTTTGTTTTATTCTGAATAACTAGCGCAATTTTGCAAACAGTTCCATAAGCTAAATGTGTTGTTGTGGGGAAGAAGATTTACAGGTAGGCTATGTGCTTATATATACGTTAATCCTATTGGTAAACCATGTTAAAGCATTCTATCAATAGGGACATTGCTTTGCTCGGCCAGAAAGGTTTAGCTCTAAAGTAAGTACATAAAAAGAGTACAACTGCTTTCAAATATTCAAATTGCGTCTATGTGATAATTAAGTTGCCTACTATAAATATTAATTTTGTTTTTAGCGTCTAAGTATATTCTACCTCTACATCATCTTGATTTGTATGTATTTTTAATTTGTCTGATAAAGACAAAAAGTACAAACTGCTTAAGTATATTTAGAATAATGTTTGTTAGTGGATGTTTAACTCGGTCTAGTCGACCATGGTCGACCAATTGTCGTACGAGTTCGGATGTCGACCTCATGCCGATTGTGCACGTGCTGTTTATATTGGTCAATAAACAAATTATTCATCGTAGATTAGTCGTGATTAGAAAATTATAAACAATTGATTGGGTGAGAACGTGTGGTTTTTGTTCATATGTTATTCAACCAAATAGTGGTTAATATTGTATTCCATACTGTGTTATATCGAGAGCTTCCGCTGATTCTGGAACCAAATGTGTGCAAATGTGTACAAGTAGTACAATCCATACAGAAACACGATGGGTGAGTGGTGATGGGCATTGTTGATATTCACGCCTTGCGCATTTTTCAAATTGTTACAGCTGGCATAAACGATATTTCGTGCCAACCTTAGATTCTGTTTTTTTTTTCATTCCGTGGTGATCCCATAACCATCTGCACCTTACATTTTCTCCAGATTTATTTAAATCGTTTCTCGTAATTAATATCGTATTGACAACCGGATAGATGTAGTTGAATGTAGTCTAAACCGCTATCGCTTTGGTTTTCTTTTATTTTATCTTCATAGTGATACGCGTGAACATTTTGCGTTTCGGAAATTTTACACGAACTTATTTTTACTTTTTTGTTTTTGTTTTTTTTTTCTTCTACTCTCTGGTTTTTGCACGCCAGCGTCATATTATCAGAACCAGAGAATTAATGCGAATCACATGTCGGACACTGAAGGAAGGATGAATCCCGTAAATTCTAACGATTTAAAGAACCTAATCTCAATCTTCTCAAAGAGAACTTACAAGCCCCGAGATGAAGATCCTGAGGTAACATTGCACTTTGCTTTCCTTCTAATAATAACAATATGGGCGATTTTAGGCTGAAGCTATTATGCAAAAATGCGTGGATTTAGTCCAGGTGGATTATAACCTCCTTCTAATAAACAACACCTCTGGCGAGTTAAGTGGTCATTATCCCAGCAAAATCCTGGTCATGGAATACGAGAAGAACAAAAATGCACAGATGCCTTCCACATCATCTCAGCGGCAAACTAATACCATATATGAAAATATCCTAGATGCTCCAAAGTTGAGGGAATTAATTGCTAAAGCACGAACTGCTCGGTATGTATAGTATATGATATACTAACTCACATTGAATGTTGGTTATAGTTGCAGGGCACGTTTTCCTGTACCTGTAATTTTGTACAAAGGCAAATATATTTGCCGCTCAGCTACTCTCTCTGGAGGATATGAAATTTATGGAAGGTGTGGCTATGAGTACTTATTCAGCAGTGTTGGTTATATCAATGATGGTTCCGATACAGAGGCTGTAAACCCAAATGATTGGCAGTTGTTCAGTATTGTTAGGAATTCTGATAAAAAACTGTTACGTGCATTGAATGTTGGGACAATAATAGACTTTATGGTTGAGAAGAAAAAAGTCAAGTTTGGTATGAAGTAAGTTTTCCACAAATGCTATATTCAATAATAACAATGGGAAACAGAAATAGGGTTGAAAGTATATAAAAAATTTGTTTAGCATGTTTATATACTCTATTAGTAAGTATGGGAAATGTAATATTTCAATCCCACAAAACTGCTTATTGAATATATGCATTATGATACATTATTAATGTAATAAATTGTCAGTAATTATGTTTTATTTCTAGTATATCATCGTCGGAAAAAGTTGATAAAGAAAACCGGTACAATGACTTCATGTTGATGTCCCTTCCATACCCTGGTTGTGAGTTCTTCAAAGACTATCGAGAACATAACTATCAGGGAAATACTATTGTGTTCAATTGGAAACAATCATATGTTGATGCTTCTATCTTTATACCTGATGATGGTCTAGCCTCCCAATTAAATATTGATTGGTCGAAATACACAGAATGGGATTTAGATTTAATGACCACAAATTATTTGAGACTGCTACTTAAGTATCTGCAAGTAAGTAGTGAACTATACATTTATAATTTATCGTATTTATTTATTTTTTAATTTAGGATGGTAATTCTGGACTCTTGGTCCATTGTATTAGTGGTTGGGATAGGACGCCACTATTTATATCTCTCATAAGACTGAGTTTGTGGGCTGATGGTCTGATCCATCAAAACCTCGATGCTTCTCAAATATTGTATTTCACCATCGCTTATGACTGGATGCTTTTTGGTCATCACCTGGGGGATAGACTTAACAAAGGCGAAGAGATTTTCTTCTTTTGCTTCAATTTTTTGAAGAGATTGGCTGAGGATGAATTCAGTCTACAATCACCGACCAAAGTTAGGCCAAAGGTTGAACGATCTGTGGAGAAGACGGCCACACGCACTGATTCGGAAACCAGTCTGGAACCTATAATGCTTGAACAGGACTCGCGAGGCTCAAATATTAGTTTAAATTCGATCTGCTCTTCTGTTAGCACTAAATCACAAGAGTTTCCGATGATGTTCGGGCAAACACCAGAAGAAGCCAGCATGTTGAGCGGAAATGGCAATAGTAATGGGTAACTTATGAGTAAACTGCTAGTATTCAATTATTTTGATTAATATAACTTTTAGTAACTTAAGCGACCAATGTACTTCAAATGCAAAATCTCGCACATCACCAGTGACTGTACCGACGAGACAACGCAACGACTCGACCTCATCCCTTTCCGTGGGTAGCTGGCAAGTTATTACAGGAACTGGGTCCATTAGGGAATCTAATGGATTCTCTGGTTTAAACGCAAAGTAAGTTAATTTTTGATTAATCACCCAATAATTACTTATTTTGTTTACTTTATTTTCAAGTGAGAGAGATTCCAATAATCTAGATGAGGAATTTGGATTGTGAGTAAATCTCAATATTGATATATATTCGACATAACTAACTTCCTTTTTTCGTTTGTAGCCGGAAGAAAAGACTTTTAAATGTAAGGGAACTGTTCTTGGCTGCGTACCATGCGCAAATTGGTTTTAACTACCACCTGAACGACACAACATTCTCGTCACTGATCGGCGGCTTTGCAGAGAAAGTTGGCTTCACAGTCCGTTCATAAATATCATGTGTCTTCCTTTTATTTATTTGTTTTCTAGTTTTAAGAGAATGGTGCCAACGACTTTTGTGCACGCATATATTTTTTTATAACGATATATTGTACATATTTTTTAGCGAGAGCTTGCAGGCTCACTTCGCGATTTACAAATATGCCGTTTGTTTAATATGTTCTATTTGATTTTGTGATGTTCTTTTTTTATAATTTTTAATCAGCACGGCTTCCGGGGCTTTCCTGCATGTCACGATTATTGTTAGAATGAAAAAAAAGATCTCTTGTTGATAGAATCGAGACGTGTAAGAAACCCACAACGTTCTTCAAATGTGATTCAAACAGTTCCTATACCTGGTATGGATAGTTAGAAAACGGATCCGTGCTGCATTGTTGATAATTTAGATAAATATTGCGCTCGTGCCCCTTAAAGCAAGAGTTTTATTGGATGACGAGATCTAATAATGAAAATGATCACTCTCGAATCTGAGCTTTAACCATGTTTTGTGTCCCTATTAGAATTGAACTGAATGGGAAAAAGGGGGAAGGAAGGTGAACCAAATTTATTTGCTCTCTTGAAAAGTAAATAAATTTCATAGTTGCTTTAATTATTTTGTCCATACAACAAAGTTGTCATTTGGTTTTAGGAAATATTTACGTCATACGTTTAGTTTGTAAAACATCCATATTTAATGTGATCCATAATTCTAAAGGGAAAATAAAGTTGAATGAATTTTATATATACATTTATCCACATAAATACATTTAAAGATATATTTTATATACTGTGTATATGTTTTATATATTTATACACATTTGAAAGTCAGTCATAGATGAATAGCAGAACATCTAACAACAATGCCATTGTTCCCACATATATTTGGTTAATGCTATTACTAATATTTATACCACATAATACAATTAATGCATATAGAAATTTATGCTTCTTCGTCGGAAGGGACACGAGGAGTTGCAGCAGGGTTGTACATGAAGTTTGGAGCGATCGTATGAGAGAAGACAAATCGCCTAGGTCGCCTCTGTAACCAAACAAAAATATACTCTATGTTCTGAAAAATAATTTTATTTCATTTTGATTAGTTGTAATCTATGATTTCTAAGAAAACATACGTTTGGACGTCTTATGGCCCTACCGGTGGCGTACGGATTCTCAACGAAATTCCTATTGTCCGGCGATACAAAATTCGCATCGATGATTGGAGTCTGAAACAATTAATATGAATTAGCATTGCTCGGATGATCCATGATTATTAAATAAACTATTTACCCCGTTAGAGCGTATAGGGATGTTCTGCAGTGGACGCCTCCTTCGACGACGCGGTCTCTAAAGAAAAATTAAAAAAATCATATTAAGATTAAATGAAACTTAGACTTGTTACTTCTGCGGGCGGCATCGGACGTCCTTCATCGCTGGAGATGACGACGACGCTCTCGAAAGAATTAAGTGGTTCGTCAGAGCGGGACGTCTGCTGTAAATTCTTTACAAGTTAAAACAATGATTAGAATGGATTGCTTCAACAAGATACGGTTACTTACATTAGTTGGAGTCTGCGGCGGTGGCAGTGTTTCGCGGTTATTAATTTGACTCATAGCTTCGGTGATGTCGTTGGGGTTGGTCTGGATGGAAACGTCGACCTGCTCAACCATCGTCTGGTTGCCGAAGTCACCCGTTGTTACCTAGAACAGTTTCAAGGTTCCCAATGTTTATGTTATGACTAGGGCCAATTGGATTACAGTTGGATTAAAATTTTCTTCATCTATTTGGAACCGGAAGCCCTGCTATGGAGATTCCTTAAAGGGCTTTCGGTTCTTGGAGTATATGCCCTCTCTGCATAATTAATATTGGTCATATAATCAGTTTGTTATCAGTATATGGTATGAATTTGCTGACAGCCGTACATACCTGATTCTCCATTGTCGGAGTGTGTCACTTATGTGAAGGCTCGACTAGTAATGAACGGGACTATAAATCCCGCAGACTCCCTGGAGCTGACCGGGGGCGGTAACAGCAGTTGCAGTGGTGGTGGTTGTGGCGGCGACTGCGGAGGTTGCAGGAGCGGAGCGGAGCCGTACGTTAGGGTGAAATTCCCGCCAAATTGCTGTTCTCAGCTCGATCGATCCGTTGCATGTATTATTTCTTTTTCAATGTTTCGTGCACCGCTGTATTTTGTTGCAGGAATATATATATATATAGTCTGGAATATTGATTTATATTAACAACATATATACATTCTTCCTTGTTTCCATCAAACTCGCAAATAATATTGTATGCATTTCATTCATGTTCAACAAGTAACGTCTCAATGTTTTTTTTATTAGACAACTTAGCTAAAATGATTACGGAAATTTATAAAGTCGCAAACTGATTGAACATCAACTTTATTAGTTACTGAAAATTTAATAACGGTTCAAAAATGTTTTCTTCATTATTCGGTTTCTTTCATGTATGCTCCATGTAAAAGTATATTTATAGACATTTCATTTTAATCACTTTAAAAAATATGACTGTGGATAGAAAGAATTTTTATTTTGCGATAAAAAAAAACTTTGATGGTAGTGTGTTGGTGCTAAAATGTATACATGTTTATATGATGTTCGACTGGATTTTAAATTTTAACTAATTTAAATTATTTTTTTTTTTTTCGATTTTAAAATGTAAATTTTAAGCGGAACCGAACCGAAACTGAACCGAAACCGAATCTGGAACGATAAACATTTATGTGGAACGTAATCGTAAACCGGAACGAAAATAGTGAAAGCTGGAAACTTCAACACTCCGCGATTTTTAGTTATTTATGTAGAATAATGGATTTTTTGTTTTATACAATGTTTAATAAAAGTAATCTTTACTATAATAGTCACAGCATATCAACAACTAAAATTTAAAAGATATTCAAATTTGTAATTTGTTTCTGCCCTAGAATTATTGAAATTAATGGTAATATTCCATATTTTACAATAAAGACCTATGATTAATAATACTTTGTAACAGTTAATATTTTTTGTTTGTCTGTTATTATTCTATATTATGTTGACTTATGAAGACTGCAGAGGCTGTCCTAAATGGGCCAATAAAAGTTATTATTGTTTTCAAATTTTTAACGCCTATAAAATATATCAATTCCATAATTGTCAAAATTGGAAACTGTTTTTATTTTAAATTTACCTAACTTTCAACATCACCAAGCGTTATTAGTTAACAACATCTAAGATTGAAGCCAAATCAACTTTAGTTAACAGAGCGGTATTTATTCTCAACCTTGGTAAAAGCCTAACATGAATGATTCAACTCCAGATTTCCGGTTCATACGAGTCTAATTGCAGCAGAAAGTAAACCAATTCCAGAATCTACTGTGGACCATGTATTTTGTTATTTCTATCTTAAAATCATTGAATTACTGTTACCATTCTGAATAATCAATTATTTAGCATTTATATTAGTATCTTTTCCTGAATTTAAAGATCTTTGATTTTATTTATTATTATGTTTTATTCTTTCTTCTCTTTTCTCTTAATGATTGTTATCCTGCAAGGTTCTACTAGACCAGGCTATTCTAATAGCTAATCTTCTAATCACTCTCTCTAAAATTCCATTCAGCAACAAGCTTTTTATATAGTTCTTTGCTCCAGAAAGGTGGCTACCACTGCTATAGATGTTAGAATTATGTGGGAAGGGCGTCGCTAAGATTGCCGTGTGAAAGCATTGGGATAAGTGTGATAGGATAACAAAAGTTAGTGGAACGCACCAATGGCGTAAGAGGACGATTGTCTCTTATAACTTCCCTCCTCTTGCTTTATCATAGGTTACAAAAAGGGAAGAGATTAGCTTTACTTTTATACCTGGTTCTTTCTCAATGGATATCAACTATACAAATGTAAGTGAGTAAGTCTCACAATACCGGATTCCGGTGTAATAAAACTGGTATTAATGTAATAGTGTTAATTGTATATGTTTTTACAGTCATACTTACATCCGTTACTCGTGCGTTATTTTGTAAAATATTTACTCGCGTGGCGTCTGAGAAACTCTGTTGTATATAATTAATTACTAAATTAATATACATATATAATTGGTTAGATTGAAGAAAAAATAATTATTTAAAAAAAATAGAAATATACGTTATTTAAAAATTGTCTTATTTATTACAGAAAAGTTAGGTAAGTTTTTGAAATTATTCAAATTACATGTTACATCATTAACAAAAACATAATAAAATTAACCGCTAGTTCAAACGATTTACTAGGATTGTTCACCTATGAGAATATGTATCAAACAATTTTGATTTTTAACTAATAAAACAAAAAGTTTTCATAGCTGACTGACATCCTGATAAATCTTTTATTTAGCTGCAAATTTAACAAATATTATGAATAAGTTATCAAAAATATTAATTTGAAACAATTTTCATCTACTTAAATGCGGTTATCAGTTAGAATTATAAGAAGTATAGTGTTAATTGAACGATATACTGTCGAAGGAAAATTTACAGTTTTCCCCCTCAGGGAGGGATGACTTGGAACCGCTACCTCGCTATATTTGAGAAGCTTTCTGTATCCAGCATCCTGGACTACTTCAATCATCGCATTCAAGTGAGACCGACTGATGTAGCTGTGCCACCAAAGCTTTTTCATTGTCAAGCAGTGGCGTAGTCGACATTTCAATAAACGTCTCAGTTTTAATTTTATATATTAAAACTGTTTTAACCCTTTAATATCAAGACTGTTTAAGAAGAATCAATATATATAACAATTTAACAAAATTTAACCTTAAAATGGCATTAACATATACACTCTTGTTTAGGGGTGGTTTAATCATTCTGTTGAACGGAGACCGACCGATAATGCTCTACAATAAAAGCTATTTTATTTAAATGCAGTGGTGTACCGAACTTTTTCAGTCATCAAATATTTAATATAATCTATAATTACGTAATTCTTCATAATATATTTATTAAGTTATAGACGTTGTTCTATATATTTCTATGAGTTGCTTAAGCTTTTCTGTATCTACTTTATACTAAAAATGTAATGAAGTTATAACAAATAAAATAAAAAATAATACATTTTATATTTGGTGTAAATATTGTCATAATTTTCTTATAACATAGATTTTTGTATTGCAAATAATTGATATGAATGAATATTTATTTCAATATATTATTTAAATATTGAATCAAATTATTTTATGTTATAAATCAAAATAACTACATATTTATAATTACAATTATTATGAACTGTTGCTACTCATTTCTGTCTTCTTTTATTGTGATATTACTGAATGATGAGTATAATACAATTAACTTTATTTTTATATTTCCGGGCGGATATTCTGTAGTCAGTAGCACTTTCCATAGTTTTTTGTATTCATCTTGCTTAGCTAGATGAGATAGGAATAGCTCCATAGCAAAATTAGTTAGTTTCTGGAATAAATACCATTTTACATCCCCTATCTTCGCTATCAATTTTTGTATCTTAAAAGTTTGCCGGAAACTCTAATTTGTCTCAACTCGCTACTTAAAAAAAATCCCGAGCGATTTATGGGCCCGAGTAATATCTAGCAAGGGGAGACAAAATTTTATAGTTCCGCCACAGTCAAGAATATATAAATAGTTTTAAGTTAATACTTATCAGGATAGATATGGGAAAAACTGATTCATTTCGTTTAAAAAAATAAATGTTTTATTTTTGTCATAAAAATATAAATAAATAAATAGTTAAAAAATAAATAAATTCAAATATTCAATATACAGATACACTAAATCGAATAATTTATTCAATAAAAATTCCTCAGACCATATATCAATAACAAAGATTACTGAAAGGTAAAAGGTAGAAAATAAGTTTGTCATCCAAGAATATTTTTGGTTGTAAATATATAAGTAATACTTTTATCAAAAAAAACGATGCAAATACCAAATGTTGCATGAGACTGCCCTTCATTTAAATTGGGAAGAATAATGGGAGTAATAAATAAAATTCCTGAGGTACAAAAATGATAATTGGTTCCAACTTAATACTTCTGTATCTTAACCAATCGGAGTAAATCGTAGAAAGCCTGCAAATATTAAAAATTACTTAATTGAAAGATGTGTTTAGTAAGATGTACCTCGTCGACGTTGTCTCGAGTCTTAGCAGAAGTCTCAAAATATCTGCAACCCCACTTGAGAGCGAGTTGTTGAGCTTCGTCGCACGACACCTTTCTCTCGCTAGGAACATCGCTCTTGTTTCCAACGAGAATTAATGGGATATCAACAGACTCGCGGACCTTCAACAACTCCTTCCTAATAAAAACAAATATTTCTTAATCTGAATGCATGTGCGTTAATTACAAATTACCTGTACTCTTGAATGGACTTGAAGCTTGCTACGTTATTTAAACCAAACATCATGATGAAGCCTTCACCGTTACGGAAGTAGGCGCTGCGAGTGGCTGGACTGTCGTCGGCGCCGAGTGTATCAAGCACTTGAATCTGAATGGCTTCTCCATCCAAGTCATAGCATTTGGAGTATGTGTCTGTCTTGTTTGGATCGTAGCAATCGACGTATTCGTCGTAGAAGAATCGCAGATTGAAAGCAGACTTGCCTATACCTTGGTCACCAACTAGCACAATGTGATAGCTGGGGCGCGGTGGCTCCGGTACGTACTCGTCCTCTTCCTCCTCGTCAACGATATTGCCGGCGCCGGTATCATCAATCGCATCATCCTGAGCGATTTCGTTGTCCTCTTGATTTGCCTCGGTCATCTTGGGAGCGGCGAGTCTGATGAACAGATGTATACTGAATAAGTATCGATTGGATCTGACAAAGTGTATTAGTATTGTGTATCAACAAATGTTGATGAGTGTAGTTCTCAAATTACCTGTGCAGATTTTGCGATTTGTTGACGACTATTCACTTGTATCCAATTATCAATCTGCACATGTGCTAGATTATTGATGAAACTTTATAAGAGTTTAAAAATTTCAGAGAAGAATATTTATTAAACTGGTAAATACTCTTTTTGTGAATTTATCAGCGACTAGCAATATGCAACTTATGCAACATTACACATAATTTAAGCTATGACATCCCGTGCGCTCAATCAGAAACGCGCAAAAACTGTAACAGCACCATCTCGGGGGAAATAGATTTCATCATTTTTAAACTTGTTTACTTGTTGAACTTAAAATGATCACAACATAAATCAAACTTTCAACTATGTCGTGGAAACAGAAGGAAAGCATTCATTTTCTTCTCTTAGAAAAGAGACAGGTTAACTTAGAGACTCATATTATTAATATATCACTTATATCCAACATTACTTCAATGAGTATTTTCTTAAGAAAGATCAAATTAAGCGTCTAGTGTTTTGCCTTCAATGTTTGAATTTTGAAAAGGTCACAATTTATGAAGACATGTTAAAATATCAAACTGGTATTAGAGCAATTATGCAGTGACACAAATACTGTTTTGGTTTATCTTTAATTTGGTTATTAAATTTAATTAAAAAATGTATATTATATGAATATTATTTAAAAATATATACTTATCTTACTTATCATGGTTAAATTCCGTATTACTTACTTACAAATAGATTAAAATAAACAAAATACATACTTATACTTTTCAAAGAAACAAATGTAACAAAAAAGATAGTACATCTTCCAAAAATATTACTTTGTATTAAAGAAATTATCAATTTTTCTTTACAATTATTACAAATATGTATGTCCAACTCATTAATATTCACGATAGAGCTATTTTCCCTCTTCATGATTATATTAATTTCCTGACAATCTTTGTATAAAAACTTTAAAAATGTATACTCATTTATCTTAGAAATTCAATGTAGTTGTATTTCAAATTATGATAGGTAAAGTCATTCTCAAGAGTTCTCATGTGCCCATACGTTAAATCGTTATGGTGCTAAAGGTAGAAAGTCGCTCGATGTTGGTTATTTATCGCGCAAGATATGTAAAATAGATGCGCGTACATCGCGTATGTTGGATATAAATGAATGCAACTCCTTTCAGTGACGATATTGGTGATTAAAAATAATCATTATATGCCTCTAATGATAATATAATTTTTAATAATAATCGGCTACAGATACTCAATATTTTTAAGGCGGTTTTATAGGCAGGTTTTTCGTTATTAACAATTGCTGTTTTGTTTACATTTTTTTTTGCTTTTCACATCTATGGTTATTTTTATTCTTTGGCATTTTATTCGGAGACATGCAAGTGTTATTAAATTTTGCACAAAAAAAACACAAATAACACAAGTTTGGAAAATTTTTAATCACAATAAATACTAAGATGCAACTATATTTGTTTATATAGAAAAGCGTACAATAATAATAATAATAATAGTTGGACACCATACATTTGTGTTTTGCATTTACAGCAAACACAAATTATATTTGCAAAGTATAGTCCAATTGAAACAAAGATGACAAAGAAAATCGAAGATGGTTAATATATTCAAAAATACACTTTATATGTGTATTATTGTTGTATTATTCACAATAAACCTTAAAATTAAGAAATATTGTAAATTAAAATAAATTTATTGTTATTAATAATAAATAATCAAGCCCTGGAATTTATTTTAATATATTGTCGTGGCTGACCAATTTATTGTCATCTATTGTATAATTAATATATATATTTGTTAGGTCTACCACTTTCCTCTTAATTATCATACAAATCATATTTAACGTATTCATCAAGTATACAAACGGATACGTGATTATTTAGAATAACTTGTGGAATATGCCGAAGGACGGTTACACATTAAATCGTATAGTTGCGTCTATTTTATCACCACTTAACAGCCTTTTTCCGCCCCTAAATATTTGTGCATGATCATAAAACTTAGATAAAGAAACCGTTGTATTTGCATTTAATATTCATAATCCCCTCTAAGACTCCACAACGACATAACTACGAGATAATCCACAGTGTCCAGAGATCTCTTAATCCCGGGACACGACAATATTATTAATTTAGTTTTTATGTTATATTATAATTATTGCCCAATAAATTGTTATTATTATAATAATAATTATAAAATATTTTTTGAGTATTTGTCACAGAGTTGACCTTCGCCCTTAAAACATTATCATTATGATTGATTTCGGATTATAGAGACAAACAAAAAACTTGATTAGCTAAAATTTGTCATAATGCTATTAACCAAGTGATGGCGCTAGTTTTCTTTAGTGTTTTGTTTTAATATTAAAGTTTTGAAATTGCAGTACTAGACTTTGTTTGTTTTATAACGTCTATAGTCGACCGTATTTCTGATAGTTAACAGTGAACAAACCTATTGATAAAGCACTGACTAAATTCTAGCAATATGGAATATCACGTGAAGAAATTAGAACTAGAATTTAATAATCTATCTATAAATAATATTAGTGATAGAGAAATTGAAGGACAATTTTTGTTCTCAGATGAAGACTTACAAATTTTGGTAAGAAATATTGAATATTTTAAAGAAGATTCTTTATCATCATGGACTCGTTCCCAAATTATAGACTGGAAAAAGGTAAATAAATTATTTTTAAATATTAGTATTTTTTAATTTAAAAAAATATTTTTATAGGTAGCCTTTAATGAATATACAGCAGAGCAATGCATGGCGGCTTGGGAATCCTTAATAAAAAAGCAGAGGCATTGTAGAATTATAAGTGAAATAGATCCTGATATTAAAGAACAGACAATGGAGCCAATTTCTGTATCCAGCAAGTTTGTTCATAAAAATGGGAATAAGAGAAATCTAGCGAAGCTAGTCAATTCATTTGTTTCTAGAGATAAGAAACAAATATATAAATCTACGTTAAGAGTTGTAAGCAACATTACTAATTATCCTTTTTATTGTGATAGTTTTTTTGGCAATATCAATATTACTTAACTTTAAATATGTATGTCCTGCCAATTAATACACCGCTATCAGAAATACTATCTTAGATAACTAAACTTTATTTCAGCCTAATGCCAAACATAGTAGCTGCAAAAAATCATTAACATTTTGTAAAAGGGAAATGAAGTTTAAGAATAAAACCAAAAATCTCTGCAATAAGTATAAAATTTAAGGGTCTAACATTAATGTCATATAGATTTGATTTGTTTCTTTTAGGCCTAAATATACTATAACACAAAGACTTTTGGAATATTTACAAGAAGTAAAAAGTCTCTATAATATGCATGGAATTGACGTGCTTGTAATATACAAACATTACTAAAATTGAACACATTTAATAATTTTTTATTATTTTTAGGGAGAACACTAATCAAGAATGAATCTGAGAATTATAACAAAGCTTAGCTGGAGAATATTTAATTTTAGTTATTTTGAATTAAGTTTTATTTATCTTTTTACCTATGAAAAGATAAAATTAGGGATAAAATGTTTAATAATACTGATGAAAAGACCAAAGTCCATAGCGTTATTTTTATGATAAAATTATTGTTTTTTTAGAATTTATTTTTGTTTATTGTTTTTATATTGAATTTTATTTATGTTAGCCTGTTCATCAACTGAGTATTATTAATTAAACTGTATTTTTTCTTCAAATATATTACTTTTTTTCAATTATGTTTATTATTTATTTGTTTTCGTTGTTGCCAATAAATTGATATTATTATTATTTTTGTTCCCAGTAAACTGAAAATATAACATTAATTTTGAAAAAGTAAAGAACTTAATTAGTTACCTCCAATCATAGAACCTAAGACCATCTACAGGGAAAACCAAAACAAATCTTTTCTATAAGAAATGTTAGTTATGCTTCTCGACTTTACTTGTAATTCTATAGAAAGGGTGAAAGAAATAAAATATTTAGGTGTGGCAAAAAAGTGTGAAGCCAACTACCATGCTCATTTTTTATAAAGAATTTATATGTTCAAAATTGGATTACGCCTCCTTTATATACTCGTTCTGTGGGAAGTCAAGAGTAAATGTGTTGGAAAGAATACAAAATAAAGCCACTAGAGAGGCGTTGGGTTTATTTCTTTCATGCCCAATTAATAACTTACCTGAGGCGGGAGTGGTTTTCCTCAAAATCGGATGGAAAAGCTCCACCCAAATATATTTATATGTAAACTAATGGCATTGGAAGATAGCACTCCCCTCAGAGCAATCCACACTCCTCCTTCTATTTTGGGTCGAGACCTTTTTAGCCAAGGAAAGGTATACCACACCTCATCGACTAAATGTTGAGGAGAGCGGTCGCGGTCTGTTTTCGAATTTTCACAAACAATAGAGAGAGAAAGGTTTTTTACAACTTATTTTATTTTTATTTAATTATATAAAATTTAAAGAATATATTAAAAAGAATCTCACAAAACAATACTTAAATAGTTAAAGTATAGAAAACTATAAAACTTTCAATGGTATTTAATTTTTAGCATTAAATAATGAATCGAAATATTGAGACCTTCTGTTTGTACCCTTTTTTAGACAGGACGAATTTAGTAGGTTTTTAAAGATATTTATGAACTGATTTTTCCATATCATTTTTTAAAACTATGGCTTGATATGATAAGAAACTTATGTACATGTAGACTGGAATCACATAATAATGTTCTGGCGATTAACCTGCTTAACAACATTAAACTAACAAATATGTTTTGATTTTCTTAATGTTAATAATTATAATAACAATGGTAAACATCCAAAGTTTAGTCATTATGTCATCTGCGATCAGACTTATTTATTGTTCACATGGAATAGATAATTTATTTTTGCATTAGTTTTATTTCTTCAAAAATATAATTACAATGGAATGTATTTTTAGTAGTATAGTGAAACAATTTTCCCCACATAAACTAATTTTTCTTACAATTTATTTTGGTCGTTAAACGAGGTTCCACTGTATATACGTGTTCGGTTGAACTTTAGGTTGTGTTTAAATTATTCTCACGCGTTTTCTTGTGCGCATGCAATAAAGTTGCGCGCGTCACATAAGCTTGAAACCAAAGAATCCCACTCAATCCCACTCCTTTCAGTAAGAATATAACGTTTTGATTTTTTGTGTATTCAATTGTATCTGAAGTATTGAAAGAACATACATAATCAGCTATATTAACCAAGTGTTGGAGCTGCGTTTCACTAGTGTTTTGTTTGTAATGAGAAAGTTTTGATATTACTGTACTAAACTCTGTACAGCTCTGTATTAATTTCAGTGATTTCAGTCAATTTCATTTTTCTAACGGTTGTTGTCACTCTCATGTCCATCAAGCTTTTAAATAATGCAGTTCTGTGAGGATAAACGATTATCAGTACCTAAGAATATAGTCAATAAAAAGAAGTCAGATGCATTTATGAAGAAAATCGAAAATGAAATGGTGAATGAATTGCGTAATTTGCACTCTAAAAATATGAGTGTTGAAGCAATTGAGAGACACACAATGATACCATTCAAGGACTTACATCATCTGATCAAAGTTATCGAACAAGAATTGCCTAAAGAAGATATTTCATCTTTATCTACTCAAACTGATATTATAGATTGGTGTAAGGTAAATAAATTCTTATAGGAAACAATTCTTTTGAAATATTTATTGATTTGTCTATTTATTTTTGTTTACTTCTGTATTACTGTTGTAACTAAAGTTTTTTTATTTTGGAAACATTACAGGTATCCTTTAATGAATATTCACCTGAGCAATGTAGGAAGACCTGGGAAATCATAATGAAGAAACAGAGACGTTATAGAACTATACAAGAAATAGTTGCAGATGTTAAAGCACAGATGGAAACTAAATCAATTTCTGGATGCAGCAACACATTTGCTAAGAATGACCAGAAGAGAAAACATAAGTCTACGGTGAGAGTTGTAAGCACAATCACTATTTAAGTTTATATATTTGTCTTGATTTTTCTGTATACGATAATGATGTGTTGACATTGCTAATCAGAATTAACTGATTTTTACTTATTGATACTTTATTTCAGAATAATGCCAAAGATAGAAAGTTGAGATGTTCATTACCATTTACTGAACGGGAATTGGAGATTCAGAAAAAAAGCAAAATGGTCTCTAAAAGGTATAATACACTGTTTTTTTTATAAATGTTTTCTGTATATTTTCTTTGTCTCTTTCAGATTTAACTGTTCTACAACAGGATAAGGATAGGATGATAGACAAACTTTTGCGGATAAGGTCCAACAGTTAGGAGTTATACAAATCCTATAATGTGTAATGAGTTCAATCATTTTAGAAATATTTGTTTAATAATTATGCTTTGTTTTTTTTTAGTATAAGAAATAACATATGAGACTGACTATGTACCTTTTTTAAATTTAGTTTAATATATTTGTTATTTTGTGTAAAGTTTGAATGTTATCAGTTTAATGAATTATATTATTATTATTTGTTTAGTTTATGAAATGAGCAATATGAGACTGACTGCATATATCGTTTTTTACATTTATAGTTTAATATATATATTGTTTCTTGCTATTTTGTGTAAAGTTTGAATGAGTTTAGTGAATTATATTATTATTATTTATTATGTTTTTTTAACTAGGAAAAAACTTTTAAATGTGTAATGAGTTACATGATACACTTATTTAAGAATTATGTTTTTGTTTATTAAAAAAAATATATGAAATGAGGAGCAATATGAGATTGACTGCATATATCTTTTTTTAATTTATAGTTGAATATTTATATATATTGTTTTTTCTATTTTGTGTAAAGTTTCAATGTTATAAATTTAATGAATTATATTATTATTTGTTATTTTTTATCTAGGAAAAAACTTAAATGTTTTACAAAGATCTTTAAATATATTTAATAATATAAATATTATTTGTTACCTTTTGAATATTCATATATGTAACAGCACCCTAACGATGCCAAACGCCTGCGAACAACTGCCAGAGAACATTATTTTCTCATTTTTGCTTGTTATATATAAAATTAAAGTACGAGTTTATATGCTCCTTCATTTTTATAGATATTTCATAATTATTGCAATTGTATATGCAGGTAGACATGTTCTTTGTCCAAAGTTAGGTCAAGTCTTTAGTCCAGAGTTTGGTAACCTTTTTGATGCAATATCGCAAGCCCGACAACCGAAATCCCGAGTGTATTGAAATCCCGACTACCATAATCCCCACTATATCGAAATCCCGACAATCTAAAACTTAATAAGATTATTAATTGTCGTACTTATTAAAATATAGTAGAATAATATAAAATGTTATTGTAGAAATTATAATAATAAAAGACACTGTCGGGATTATCGTAGACGGGATTTCGAACAACGGGCTTTCAATAGACGGTCTTTCGGTTATCGGGCTTACGATATAGACCCAGTCGGGATTATGGTTGTCGGGATTTCGATACAGTCGGGATTTCAAATGTCGGGAATTTGATTGACGGTATTTCGGTTGTCGGGCCACCGTAGTCATATATATGACTACGGTGGACTACGATTGTTTCTTTTTATTTGTGTGCATAAACACAACGGTCAAACATAATTCGCAACATATTAAATCATATCTGCTGAAAGTAACATAAACTTCTTAAAACATCATCTAGATTCCAGATGTTGATCCCGGATTCGTGAGACGAAGAGGACAGAAGAAATAAATTTGTTATACTGCTATTAACCAAGTGATGGCGCTGATTTTCCATTTGTTTGTAATATTAAAGGCTTGGTATTAGTTTCTTAACATCTATTGTTAACCGCGTGTTTGCTTTTAAATAACGGAAGTCGCTATTGAGTCCTGTGAAGATAAAACATTCTTAATACGTAAGAAAGGAATAAAAGAATACGTAAGGTACAAGAAACAAATAGAATTTGAATTGGTTGAAGAATGGATTATATTATATATCAAAAATATTATTGATGGAGAATTTGATGAATACATCTTAATCCCATTTGAAGACCTAGATTAAATAAAATATTGACGAATCAATATATAATGATTATGAAAAAGTATAAAATCAATTTGATTATTACTACAAATATGTAGACCATGTCGGTAACCTTTTAGAAATGAAGATTAATTTTGCTGGTTATAGTTAATGCATCCAAACTTACCAATAATTTATTTTCCTTTAAACGATAAATATTTTAATTTAATAAAAAATAATTGAAAATTTTGTGTTATATAGAACTACTACTGGACACTGTGGATAATCTCGTGGTTGCTCGTGGTTATGTCTTTGAGCAGTCTTAGAGGGATTTATTCTAATTACTTTTATTGACCATATCATTGTTTTTATTGAGAAGTCAACTATATGAACCCTCTAATTACGACTAAATTATATAATACAAAAATGTATCCATTTTAAAAAGGGGCTGCGTGGCAGTATTATTTCGTTGAAATGAAATTAGTTTTGACTATGTGGAACGACAACTTATTAGCAAGAAATATATTTATAGTATGCGTAGTTTTAATAAAAGTTTAATACATACAAAAAATAAACAGACATTATTTCTTAATAAACAAAACAAGCCTAGACTTAAAATATAATAATAAATAAATAATTTTAATTACTTGATTAAAAGAAAACATTTTGCCACAAAATCGCATAAAATGGAGACAGCTTAAACTCAAGTAATGGAGCGACGTTTTTGTGCACGTAGCAAATGAGAGAGTCTATTTCTGCAACTTTTCTACCTAAAACAAGGACCTGTTTGAGAATTAGGTCTATAGACATTCCTTCCTTTTTAAAATTATATGTCCTGAGAAAAATAAGAAATAAAATAATATTTTATATTAATTTCGTTAAATGACTCTGTTATTCGTTTATTGTATTCATTTTGTTTAATATTACAGAAGTTTTTAAGTATAGTTTTGTGAAACTGTATTTTGTTATTATTTGTATATTATTGTATAAAGTTTAATAAAAAAAAAGTTGTAAAAATTCTTTTGGTAGTTCTCCGAAAACCGGTTTTTTAAAAAGTTGTTTTTATGAGTAACAAAATATACCGAATTTTCCAACTTCTGTAGCCGCTACATAAAAATGTTGGGAAACCCTGATCTAAAGGATGTGCAAAATAATTTAACCTATTGTTTAAACTTTCAACGACCTTAATCAGTGTAAACCATCAGTTATGAAGACATCGTACACGTGAAGTATTATGTTCTTGATTTCATGTTGTAGTTATTACTTACAATAAACATGAAATATAAACGATATACGAGTGTTAGAATAATTACACACATGTCAAGAAATATAATTTATATTCAACATATCTTAAAAATTATTGGAAATGAAAAATATATGTATTCGTTTTTCCGAATATTAACACCGAATTTGAAATCTGTATTAAAATAGATGTCAATATAATTTATTCGATATTTAAAAATCACTTTTTCTATACTTAACATCTAACACTTTTTTTAAAATTATAGTTTAGTTTTTGGGTAGTTTCAACTGGTTTACTATCCAGTTATTTATACTCACAAAATAATGCTCATATTTACTTCAAATGCAGTAAAGAAATAGTCATTATTTGATTACCAATATTAACAAACCTTTAAAAGTCCATGTGGTCTAAAGCGAAGTATAGCGCGGCTAAACTAGCAACCTAATTATATATTTTTTTACTAAGTTAACTATCCATAGAACACGGAAAGAAAAGACATATACCACTTAGATTATGCTTTCGTCAACCACGAACAACGTATTTTGCTATTATGTTATTTCATTTTACTTTTTTGAAAATCTTCAGCACAAATGCAATGTATTCTACATATTGCCTTGATATTATATAGATCTGCTGAAGACATAAAAAATATGATAAAAATTCTACGAATTTTAATTAAACTTAAATTAATCATTAAATCATATTTTATATTGTATCCGACTACTAATTATGTATATTAAATATAATAAAATTATGTAAAAAATACAAACATACTGTTCCTATTGGTACACATTTTTGTATACTATATGAATACCTAATTATGAACCTTAATAATTTCATATTATGTAATCAACAATAATTTTGTGTGTGGGTGAGTAGTTTAAAAGTTTAAACAGAGATAATAATTAATGACATTAGTTAGCATCGCCCACAGAATAAGAATTCTACAATATTAACACGAGAATTGTTCAACATTGGAATGTTCATTTATTTTAATAGTAACATTTTCATTATATGAATATATATATACATATATATATGCTCTTATAATATACTACTTAAATAATATTAATAGGCAATATAACTAAAATAACTAAAACATAATCATTAGAAAATTAAAATAAAAGTCCATCTGTCGGTTGGTATCAAGACAAAGGTTCGCGCGTCGTGTTTGGCAAAAATAGGCATAAAAGTCCTCCCCCTATCAGGAGAGCAGCCACAATGAATGTTGGAGCTGGACAGTATAAATCCAGAAGTGTCGCTATGACAATGTTGCCTATAATTCCTCCGAGCCTGGCGGCTACCATTGAAATGGCCACTCCCGTCGCTCTATTGCATAAGAATAAAACATTAGCATTTCTTTTACATCAACAAAACAAAAAATGAGATATAATACTGGAAGGTTATTACCTAAGGTTAGTGGGGAAAATCTCTGTGATCAAACAGTCGAGCGCTGCGTTGCCACAGGATATTACACTGCTGAACACCGCAGACACGACCAGATTGTGCAACTTGTTGTAAACAAAATACATCGAAGCAGCGCATATCCCAGATGTAAAGGTGCTGAATACTAGAAGCAGAAATAAATAGTTGTTTTGTGGACTACTCTTCGAGACGACATGAGACACTCACCTAAAAAGAACTTCCTTCCTAGTCTGTCCATACCGATCACAGCAACTATATTACTAGGTATCGCCGCTGCTACGGTTATCAAAGACTCCAGAAACACAGCGCTCTCAATCTTGTCCGAACATTCGCCACCGGATTGTTGACTTCCTGAGCTTACAACGTATTTTGTAACCTCGCAAACTGAAGCGCTTTGGCCTGGATGTTCCCTGGAGAACTCGTCGAAGCGATTGAAAAGTTCCGGGAACCACATCATTAAACCATAATATCCAATGTGGAAGGTGAAGTTGATAGTGATAGATATTATGGTAAAACGTAGTATGGGATTCATAAAGAGTTGCTTGCTGTTGTCTATAATATCAGTGAGCATGTTCAGGTACTTGCCCGACTTTTTCGGCTCTACGTCGCTAACCACTTTCTCTTCGTATATAAGGTGTTTAACTGGATACATGCTCTTATCGTTTCCGGTATTGATTTGGTATATCTTCCTGAATATTTCCAAGGCCTCTTCAGTTTTTCCACAGGATAGTAGAAACTTCGGGCTTTCTGGTAGGAAAAACAGGAAGATGGCCACCAAGAAAGAGGGTATGGCACAGATCAAAAGGAAAATGCGCCATGAATTATAAATGAAGTGCTCTCCATAATATCCAATTCCCGATGGTATGATGAGCCAGGCCAAGCCCGCCACAAACAAGTTACCGAGCGTCCAAAATGCAGCCATGAATGACAGCATAGAGCCTCTCTTCGATTTTGGTTGAAATTCTGCAAAGTAGGACCAAATCACTGGTCCGCTGCCTCCTAACCTGTAACACCACTAAAAGTAAACATCATACATGTAAGGATGCTTTCAAACAACTTACGCCGCCCCGTTTAGGAATCTGAACAACATGAACACTTCGTAGCTTTGCGTGAAGCTCGACGCTACGATGCAGAGGGCGTTCATGAAGGAAATCGCAATGAGCACTTTCTTGCGACCTAGCGAGTCAGCCACTGATCCCCAGACGTACGCCCCGGCCATCATCCCGATAAAGATGATAGAGTTGAGCCATCCCTTCGTCTGGGTGTTCAGGTTTAAGTCGCATTGTGCAGACGGTAGGATGAAAGACATCGAGATGACATCCATCTCCTCCGACGTGCTCACAAAGCCACATACTGTTAGCAGGAGATAGTGAAATTTGCCATAGCCGGTCTGTACGATCGCGCCCTCGAAGTCGGCCTTGTCGCTTCCGCCCTTCTCAGCGTCTTTTCGAGACGGAAACGCAGTTAGTTCAATTTCTTTGGATCCACATCCGTTTGGCACTCGGTCGTCCTTTACATCACACTTTTTCTTGGACTTTGAAGCCTGATCACTTTCTACCATTCTACGATGTCTGGTTTACTTTTCTCTTAGATCGGTTGATTGATAATCTGGGGACGTCGGCGATGACGGCGGCGTTAGCTCGGGGGGCGGCACTTCAGAGACAGCGAACTGCGGACTTGCTTTCTGAAACTCTGCAAACCGAAATATGTATTATTACTAATAATAAATAAATAATAACAATAAATTTTATACAAGAACTTCTCGCGCAGTGTAAATAACCGAACTCGTTAATTTTCACTAATCATTGAATAAATACGTCGACGTGACGCTGAGCGATAGTATTTATTCTTATAATCTTTTTCTAAAATAAAATCAATTAGGTTTTATAAATCAAGTACATTCGAAAGCCGAAAACCATTGATGATATTTGCATTTTAAATCACATTATCCTCTTGGCCTAGATAGACGCACAGGACAGAACAGAAGTTTTTTTTTAAATCGTGATATTAAAGCCGCTTTGTGTTTTCTCATTTTTTTTTGTTTGTTTAAATAATAATAATATTTAAGTGACCCAAGATTTCTGCAATATTTCCTTTAAATACTATTATTAACATCGGTTACTCACAATTGTATCATAACTTTTATTTTCTATTGGTATACTTTGGTACAAATACTTTGTAAGTGTAACAGAAAAACAAAACAACTGAAGTAGGAAACGCGGTGACTTCGTCAGCTGAAAGTTTTTTTCGATCCCGCACCGTATTTTAAACAAGACACAATCAACATGTTGCAGTTCTCAGTTTGTCTTTTCTCTTTGTTATTGTTGCCCGCTTAATGCCGTGAACGCTTCTTAGATCAACTGGGGAAATGTTAACAGCTCGTCGCTGACTGCGACGTCTTATTAACAACACTGACCACTAATTTCAAAACCACATGCGCACCTCTACATCTGACACACACCAAAGACAATTTACATAAAAAGCGAGTAACTCGGACGAGCAGCAAATTACGAATCATACGTTGGTAAATGCGCCAGTTCCTTCGACGGAACGCGGGTGGTGCGTTCTTGAGACGAGAGGAAAATCAGGGTCGTCCATAATTCAATCCAATACTTGTATTACACCATGCGTAAACTACACTTACTATCGCCGTTCCTCTCGAATCCTATCTCAATGAAAAATATCGAATCATTCAGTTGATTCTAATTATTCTAATCGGTTCCACAATAACCCATATTTAGGTTATTATAGATTTAATCTATTAATATACATTGTACATCCGAGGTAGAATCGCAGTTTTACCTTTCTACTTAAGCAAAATATTTTAATTTTTATTTATCTTCAACTCCAATAAATGTTATATTTATAGGACAGAAAAACCTTAATTTTCTTGTTATATTATATTTTTTTTGAGTATATGTTATGTTTTGTTACAATAAATGTTATTATTTTTATATTTATGTGAATATTCAAATGTTGTAAAATGAATTAATTTCCAACATAAACTAAAAATAGTAGTAAAACTATTAATAACCCAATAAAACAGAAACAAAAAATATATCTTTATCTGAACAAATTGTCGAATAAAACTGTTATATTTTCATGTTATTTAATTTAATACAATGTGTTATAATTAAAATTATTATGATCGAATATCAAGAAACAATTATGGGAAAATTTTCTGCTACACTCTGTGCTTCAAGAAATTAATGAAAATTATGCGCAGTTATTATCTCATTTGAATATTAAAATTATTTGTAGAAATATATACAATTTCAAATGTTTAATAATAAATATAAGATTTAAAGTACATGTAAAACTAGCACGTGACTTGATACTACGCATTTAATTGTATAAATTTCTAGTATAAAACAGTTATCAACTTAATATATGTATAACCTATGATCATGATTATTATTATTTATCCTATAATTACTAATTATGAAATATATAATTGTTTAATGTCATTTTGTCTGTTCTTGTTGATTTATTTATTTAATGATTGTTAATATATTTGTAACAATGTTCATATTTTCAATAAATATGAATCAATACGTTTTTTTTATATCAAAAAATAAATAAATACATGTTTGTGCAACTGTGTTATTTTTTTTATCAAAAATTAAACTTTCTATTAGTAAAATCTTCATGTAATTATAGTTATACTAATTGTTAAAATATGCATAGATATCGATTTATATTAATAATATTTATGTTCATTACAATAGTTTTATTATTCCAATTGATTATATTTATTAAAACAATTTAATTATACTTGAAATCATCGTATCTAGTACTGTTTTGTTAATGTAAATGTACCTTGAAAAGTATAGTATTCTATTTCAGATAGTGAAAGTAGAAAAAGAAATGAATAATAACAGTTTGCAATTCTTAAACTTCAACTATTCAAGTGGAAAGCATTCATGTCTTATATCCGATTGAAATTTCCCAACGCAATTACTTTGCAATTAAAGATATTGGTCGCGCTCACTTTCTATTATATATATATTTCTATTGTTTTCTATTTTGTTTTTCTTGTTCTATCCATTCGCTACTCTTGAGGACATCTAAACTTGTTCCCTAGGTCACGAGACATTTTGGTTGTATATGTTTGACGGAATCACATATTATAATAATGACTAACAAGTTTTTTTTATCGACGAATTATAAATACATAATTCTAGTTAGTATTTGTAAACACTGGGTTTGCAATAGAAATACATCGCAATAAAAGTTACAGGAATTGCCAAGGGTGCCTGCTCAAATACCGTTTTCCTTTCAATTGTTGTTCTCCTGGTGCAAGAGCGCACAAATCGATACCTACGATTCATGCAGCTCCCAGGATTCTCACTTCTTTCTTTTTATTTCCAGCCACTAGACTGGACGAAAAACAAAGCAAAATAGAACGCAAACAAAATTTGCATGCGAATGGCTCACACTTCAAATAGCACAGTCCCAAACGAAATCTTATAAATCCGTGCTATTAGTACATGCTTTTTTTTTGTTGCTTGTAGCAGTAGCAAACAAATAGGATCAAATACTTAAGCCATGAACAATGTGATGTGATAAGAAAAATAATCCCTTAAAATGAACAGCGTATATGTATACATATGCGTGTATTTAGTCCATAGTTGCATGCATGTGTATATGGAAAGTGTTTTGTAAATACGTGTGTCCATGTTTTATAATCGAGACAAATAAGTCGTGTAAACATTACAAGTCGCCGCGAGCGAGTGTAGGCTTCGGTAAAGGTCAAATTAGTATTATTATATATTTTTTTTATGTATTTCAGCTCTTAATTGAAAAATTATTATAGTTATTCCATTCAAGAGCTAACCACTTTCCTGTCGACACTCTGGCTAATACATAATGTGGTGCGCCAATTTGAAAAGTGCCCCGCATAATCGGACCGCTAAATTTTCCATTTAAATAAACCGCGTTAATTTCCGAAACTAAACGAACTAAAAGTAATTTGGTATAAATAGCCAATTACGTATATTTTTGCGCATTTTTTAAATAAAAAAACTCCAAACTTTACATTATATCAGCTTTATAATGTTGTTGACAAAAGACACAAAAGCAAAATAATATCCTACTACGTAATGTTACGCTTTTCTGATATCCATGTACATGCAGATTTACCGTGCACACTCCGCGCTATTCGTTTTTATTTTTTATATATTCTGTCTCATTTTCGGCAGAATTTCGTAAAAAACGTCGTTTCGCACGAATCGAATTTGCAATTCAAACGCGGCAACATTTCCATTTCAAATGCTGTGCGATGTGGAGATCATTTTAATATTGTTAGTGTAAAAATTCAAATCCGATCGGATCACGGTGATCACTTTCTATTATTAGATGCTAAACGGACTCTTGTTTTCATGGGCACAATTATCCTTCGCCTGTGATAATCGTAAAAATATTCTTTTACACGCTGCGTATTAAACAAGAAAAGCACAATAAAATATAATTATACGTAATTCCTGCTTTATAGAATCTAGTGTTATAAACTCATATGTTACGATTTTTATTAATGAAAACAATATATTTGTAAAGATGTGAAAAGGACCAATTCCTCACATTTTTTTTAACGTATTTTTAATTATGCAAATACATTTTTTTCTTACGACTTTCACGTAGTCGCCGATTTAATTTTCACAATAATATAAATATACAATAACTTCTTGGAAATAAAATGTACACACTTTGCATTATTATTAATTGAATACATAAATGACAAAAATAAATATTTAATAGTATACATAATTAGCAGTAAATTATAAAATAATATATATAAGTGGTGCAAAAATATTATTAAATGGACAGAAAGACCTATGATCAATAGTCCTTTGCAGCAGTTCAATTTAATTTTTGTTATTGTAAATCCTTTCGTGATTTTTATAGAATGAATAAAAATGATACCATTTCAATTACGCGGATTTTCCCAAATAAAACAGGTTACTCATTTAACATTATTTTTATAATTATTAAACAAATAAACACGTTCAGCTGTTCTTGGAATAAACGTATGTCTTAAAAATATTTGTTTATATTTTATTGCAATCATGTGAACAATATACAAATTTTTATTGTCCCTAATTGGGACAACAGAAATAATTTTATCCATAACCAAATTAGAAGTGTAAATAATAATATTAATTAAGTAACTTGATTAGAAAAGAGTATATGATCATGTGTAATGCTGAATCGCGTTTTAGTCATTCTTATTGTATTTTATTTATTTACTTAATTAATTGAAATTGTGATGATTTTAAAATCCATTTATTTTAAAGCTTTATTCTATTTAATATAAAACAGATTGGCGATAAGACGATAGCCTTCTGATCGAAATAAAGGCCAATACAAATGTGTAAATAAATAATATATATATTACGTTTATTTTTTGATAAAACAAATATTGTTCAGTTGGAACAAATTTGTCTAATTGTATGATTTGTACAAATATTTTCGGAGGCGAAATTAAAAGGTGATTATCTCCGCCCGCTTTCGACATAATGTGAATCTGTTTGTGCCGAATTATTTGCGTATTTAGTGGCTCTCATCCTTGTTTTCGCTTTACTCGGTACACGGCTGGAATAATTCCGTATGTAAATGCATTATCCTTGCGATGGACTTCGCGAACGGTCAACATTTCAGAAAACATTTCTCGGAAGGCGAGATTAATTGTATAT